GAGTAGTTTTATAACAGTAGATACATATCTTTGTTTCTAGATTTTTTTTCCTTATATTATAAAGTATAAGACGTAACGTCATGCTCTCTCTCACGCGACAATTTGGTACCTGTAAATTAAGTGTTTACATTGTTTTTTCATTTTATGTTGAACGAGTATACATGTATATCACTTGTTCTTAAAGCATTTAATAGGTCATTAAAATGTGACACTCTGACGAATTAGCATTACTGTGACATTGGTATCTATAACCTTATCTTATCAGGTTGAGGCACAAGAAAAACATGTAATTTGCGATCTAAAGTAACGAATACTTTTTAAATACATGTACACGTAAAAACTTGCGTATTTGACAATAGAATTACATTTAGAATAATTTCAGAACTAGCGTGGTTGGTTTTTAAATTAGTTAATCGGGATAGTAATTTTATTATGAGTATTATTCGTTGGTGTGAGTGAGTAAACATCTTTTTTATGTATACATTTTTACAAAAATTTTCTAAAATGCCTAACAAAATGTTTTACAAGGATTCCCCTGATGTTCTAAGTTTAGACATGAAGGAACTTGAAATATTTTTACGAGTTTTCTATACCTTTGAGGAAGGTCTAGATGTGCAAAATGTCAGATCATTGTGATTGCTTTTAATTTTAAACATTTTCATTCCAGAACTATGTTGCTAAAAGTTTTAGTAGCTATTTTGTTACTGGGAACCACAACAGGTTTGCTATATATCATTATCATTGGTAATATAAAATAAAACATTTAAAAAAAAGCATATTTAAAGTTTGCTAAATATTACCCTTCGTGCAGGTTATGAGAGAAAAGTCTAAGAACAAATTAGTGATAATAAATAACTTACATGTTATAATTTAATGAGTTTCTATGTGTCCTGCTTCTTCAGTTGAAAAAGTTATCTTCAAGAAAAGTATGATATTTCATAAATTTATCTTATATTTTGATTTCCAATTGTACTATACTTTTTCCAGAATATTTATCCGTCTTCTTGTGGTCACAATAAGTTTGAGAGTATGCAGGGTGTATTTTATATTTTCATAATTTGTTAAGGAAATCGACATATTTTATCTTCTGTTCTCTTGTATGAAACAGACGCTTCCAAATTACACACTTACAATTATATCTTTGACTTTCTGGACAACTAAGACGTATCAGAAAAAAAGTTTATTGGCAGAATTTTCAACGCCAAATATACAAATAGTGCATATGCGCGACAAAAGTTAACAAGTGCGATCATCATAAAATGTCAATTTCATTTATATGTTGATATAAAACATATAATTAAATATTCTAATAAATTTCATATACAATAATGTAAGTTTGGTATAATTCATAGATCCCTATGTGAATGCTTATAATTATGTCTTTTTCGGATATTCAGATTCAATTAAACTTTTCAGCAAGTCTAGTGTGTTTATACTGTACTGACGCTGTCTCGCCTGCTGATTGCGATACTGTTATAAGATGTGGATCTCACGAAGTAAGACCTATTGATGTTTTATTAAAGTAATTATTATTTTTGTAATATCTATCTAATGATTATGTCATTCATTATTTTTTATTACTGTAATTTTCTTAGGTAATTCTAAAACTGTTATGGTCACATGGCAACTTTCAGGGTTTGGAATGCCTTAGATGTTTCACCATGCATTGTGTCGTGTACGAGTTGGCACATTGGTTTTCTTGTAAATTTGTTTGTATAACTCATTCTCTTGGCTGAATTTTAGTTAATTAATCAAACTTTAAATGCCCATAACCATATATAAATACGTAATCATATATTCCATTGTTTCACCTCTGTAAAGCGCGATTAATTGGCGCTTTGTCTTTATTTTTGGTCTTGTAAGTTATTTTTTTTCTTTTCATGAAAACAAATATGCACGTGAACAGGCTATCTAAATAATTTGTTTATGTGCCAAATGATGCCATTATTTTCTACGAATTTTGTTGTTTTTCTTCAGCGTTGTTATGTTGACGCATCTGTGAGTGCTGCAGGAAGTATAAGATATAACCTCGGGTGCAGAGACGAAAAAAGTAAGTTTTCTATTTATCATTTTGTACAAGTACAGTTTTAACAAATAAACACTTTTCAATAGTCACCATATACGTAAAAGCTAGCTATTGGTGGATATGATTGGATCCATAACTGTGATTAGGTAGAGCATTTCGATTAAAGATAAAAAAACAGCCTTATTAAAGGTTGTTTATTACCGAGATATCAGTGAAATAAAGGTGTTAAATTGAAAAAAAAAATCAATCTAAAACAGAAGAAACAGAGTCCTCAAAGAACGCCTAAAACGGCAAAATTGAAAATGCTGAAGGCTCGGTTTGATTGAGCCAGTTTATGAACGGTAATGGAATATGCAAGTTACCTTCCACGCTCATTAGCAACGGCGTAAGCAGAATTCAACATTTAAACATGAAAATGGTGACATTTTGAATTAAGAAACATCTGCGCATGTGTTTGTACGGTGACTATCATGGTATCTTCAATGAGACACTTTCGTGCCATTCCATGAAAAGCGGCGTATGATCCTCTAGTAATGGAAGGCGTTTGCCCTAAACGACAAAACAATGGGCGAAACTAAAGAAAATGGAATTTTGAAATGGTCAGAGGTTATGAAGCGTGCATAGCACAGATAAGACGTCAAAAGGCAGGCATCATATTCGAAGGGTGATTCAACAATATTCAGTTAGAATTCTGAAACTTCCCATCATGAAAAAGATCAAATAGAAGAAATAAAAGCACTTTTAAACGCATGCAGACCAAAAATGTCGTGCTAAACGATCTTCAAGGGCCAAAAATACATCTTTAACATATAACTAAAGTCATTATATTAATTGTTTTATATTTAAATGTATAATTTTTGGACATCATCGATGTAATGCATAGGACTAAACTGTATTTTTCTTAAATTAGAACTCCCTCTATAAATTCCTTTCGGATTCCAAACGGATTAGTTTAAACAATATTTCTATTCAATGAACATTTATATACGCAATATAATTGCTTAATATTTCAGCAATGCATTGGTTCACAGAATATTGGTAAGCGTCAGCTTATTCCAGACTTGACAGACATCGGTACAGAGAAGATAAGTGATATCAGCTCCCATAAAAGAAGGGATCAAAGTTTGTATGAGATTGCAAGGGGAGCATCTAATAAAAGGGGGAATGGTTTCATTGTGTGTAGTGAATGTTGCAATGGCAATTTATGCAGTAACGATGGCTGTGGAAATTATGGTAATACCAAATATAACAAAAGCAATCTCTGTATCTAGTTTACTTTAAAAATTTGAATGTCAGTTTTTATAACTATGTGAAAATTAGAATTAACAGTAATTAAATATTTATGCCTCATTTCACTGAAGTGTTTATATGAAATTATTATTAAGACAAAAATGTGCCAAAACAACAAAGGAAAAGTTGAAAGTCAAGATTCAACATATTTAAATATAGAGCATTAATTACCCACGATTTCTAGATAAAATAATTTATTACTGTATACCTATACACAATGTTATTGATAGCAATTAATGATTGGTCCAAAATGAGTTGAAGAGTTTTATCGTTAAGGTTACAATCAATCCAGAGGTCCAGTTTGTTACCAATGTGATGAACAAAGCAGTCTCGAAGACTGCAGTAAAATACACTTGTGTGGTCGGGGAGAGGTGATTAGAAATATGAATCTATTTAAAGCTTGGCAATTGAAATACAATCTACATTTTGCATTAGAAAATAAGCGGAGTTCGGATGTAAACACGCTAAATAATAAGCAAGAACTAGTCAAATATATGTTAAGTAATTATTATTCAAAATCTAATAACAAAATGTTATACTTTGTTTTAGAATACTAGTATTTCGCCAACCTTTCACAGTCAAAATAATGTTTAATTTGCTAAATGTTAAATGAATCACACATAAGCATAATTATTTTTATCAAGATGTCTAGGGAAAAAAATAAAGCAAGTACTTGTATCCTTATTTTGCAGGTGTGTTTGCTACAGAAGGTGTTGAATTCCATGACACATATAGTGAGATATACGACAAAATGTATCGGAGAATATGTAATTAAATTGGGAATAAGTCATTTACACCATTTCCCTTTTTAGCTTGCAAATTTTCTTAAACGTACTTTGCCAGTTTTCTTTTTTAAAGAAATCTCAATTATCAATAGGGGATATCGAGATAAATATTTAAAGTCCGTCGGTCATAGGTAGGCCCTATAGAGCGTGGTCCGACAGCAGAAACTTGTCACTTGGGTTTAGCACGATAGAGGTTAGTAAATAAATGAATATTTCACACAGATTACTGCGGGTCAAAGAACAACTTATTTGTTCATATGATTGTGATGAAAGAAGATAAAAAATATAATTTTGCAAGTATGAAAGCATTTAGTACACATATAAATGTAGAAAGGAGACCTAGATCTTCCAGAAAATTATTGTGAAATAACATTGCTTAGTATATTAGGCAAACTATACACACGTATTTTAAACACCAGATTAACTAAATGGGCAGAATATTATCATGTATACATTGAGGCCCAGTCGGGGTTCAGAACCAATATGGGAACCACCGATAACATTTTCGTATTACTCATATGCTGAACGAAAATAAACAGTTGTTTTTATGTTATATTGATTTCACAAAATCCTTTGATTTTGTTGTAAGAGAAAATTTATGGTTGAAATTGATTAAACTTGGGATTCGAGGGAAACTTTTACAAACACTTAAGTCAATGTATAAATCTATAAAATAAAAAAAATAAAAAAAATAATACGTTAAGTAATGATTTTTCTTGTAAATTGGGGGTCAACTGAAGTTCAACTGAAAACTCAACACGTGCATATTCTCAGAGTTTGGTTTTCATGAATATTTAAAAAAGATACATGTGGTTAATTTCGAATTGCATTAACAAGATTTCGATTGTCAGCACACAGATTAGCAAAACTCTTGAAGACGAGTTTAATTTTTATTGGAGTGTATTGTATATAAAAACTTAAGAATAAAATACATTGACAAACATTTTTGGAAATATCCTAATACATGTATATTGAAATTTATTTAACTTGTGAAAACAGAAACCTAACTTTTCTCCTTACCATGTCAGCAGTGACAATGTTATATTTCCTCTGTTTTCTATATGGTTTGCATGTATGTATGTAAAATGGTTACATGTTTCATTTTTTATGTTTGAAAAGCATCCATTGGCTTATTGTTTTGTAAAATGTATAAGAGTATTGTACTGTATAAACTCATGGGTTGTAACCTTTTGTTTAAAAACTATCTATCTATCTTTTATGGATAGGCATGTACTGGCGAAATACAAAGATACCGAGACCTAATATCGTTAATTGGAAAGCGACAGACAGTGTCAAAAAGAAATAACCTTGAAATAGGTAGGTAATAAGCATATTTGCTACATTAATGTATACGGAATAAGTTCTTCTATCAATAAAATTTTTTATCATATCCAAAACACAGAATAATTTTGTACTGAACTATCTTTAAGGATTTTCAATATTTCTGTGTCTGAGAGTTTCGCTTTTTTTCCTGTCAAGACTCAGTTTTGATAAAACTGTTGTTTTTACATTTAATTAATTACATACTTGTCCTTCGGCATATCATTACCAATCCAATTAAATTTGAAATGAAAGGTTGTATAGTTGATACCATGGACCCAAGAAGCTGTAACTCTTAATGTATCTTACTTCCAATGAGCAGTATTTATAGAACCACTTGCCCCTTACCGCTTTGTGCTCGAATCTCACCAAGCAGAAATGTCGCTATATCACGTTAACTTATGAACTGTGTTGGTGCGACATAACCCCTGCCCCCACCTCCACACTACAACCACCCCCACAGAAAGAAAAACAAGTTCTTCAACGTTTGTCACCTCACTACATAATTTTACACTTCCCCAAATAAATGATATTTAGCAATTTATTTGTAGATAAACTAGGTTAGTCTAATTTGTTCGTTAAATGTTAAATCCTCTCATTTCTTTCTGGCTTTTTCTATAATATTAAAATAGAACAATTTCTGTTTAAATTTTAGGAGGATCCTGCCTTGTGCAATGCTGTAAATCCGATTTGTGTAACATCAATTGTAAAGAAAATGTGACACTGAATTCTACAGCCGCAACAATTGCAAGTTCAAGTTTACCAACAACAACTATGGAATCTACACGACCACATTTCACTACTGCCCCATCGACCTTGGCATCAGCAACATCACAAATATATAGGTCTTCCTTCCAAACAACCACGAAGTCGTACATGATACCAAACACATCATTTTCTCAACTATATCCAATGCTGACAACAAGTGCAGGTAGGTACTGGCGTTTTTAAAATAAAGATATGACTTAGTATTTCATAAGTTCATTCGACTAGAATGTACTTTCCGACTTTTTTGTATTTGTTGTCCAGCACTGTTTCAAAGAGTATATGGAGAAGTTATTGACAGATATTGATAGAACACAATATTAAACTAGTAGGCTACATAATCGTAGACTAGACACGTATATAGTCATTGCCCTCTCAAACACGAATGTCATATTCTTAAAACAAACTAAAAAATCTGAAGAAAAGAACAAAAATATGGGTTATTTTTATATTTTACAATGTATTATTTTATTTATTACTGTATTGTATTTTTTATTGATTATATAGCAAGTTTCTGTATATACAAGAACAAGAGTTACAACCAGGGAGAGGTATGGCAAGATAGTTGCCGGTATAATTGTACATGTATAAATGCTGGGGCTGCAGGATTTTACAGATGTCGTGATATGTAAGTGACTTTTTGTATATGCATTGTTTTGAAAATGTAATAAGTAATTATCAATTGTTTATTTTCCACATAAGAAATTTAGGTTATTTGCCGCAGCAGTGTACATTTTATATAAAGATAATTATAAACATTACAATAGACAACGGCTTATTTATGCAGCATTATGCAGTAAAATTTTTAATCAGTCTTGGTCGTTTGACTTGGATTTAAAATATCACAGTACTCTAGTTTTGACTGATTAGTAGTTTTCTTGTTATAATGCAAACAAAACTCCATAGGGTTAAATGTAATTTGAAAATTTGACATAAACAATATACAGTTAAGAGGAGAAATATGCATATATTTCACTGAATGTTGTTTCAATTACAGATGTCCAGTATATAACAACCTTCCAGCTGATTGTATTTTAGAAAAGAAGCCAGGAGAATGTTGCTCTCATCCTAGATGTGGAGGTATAATATTTAGTATCAACTCATCAAGATGTTCAGATTGTTGAATTAATGCTTTTTTACTTTATTGTATTTCTTTCTCGTTCCGTTTCCAATCTGTATCTAAATCATCATATTGAAAGTAGTATGTATTTAACTTTCAGAATTATCAAAATTATATATTAAGGATATCATTTCATTAGAAGTTTGTATGTGAAATACGTGTACATTACATGTTGCACTTTTAGATATACTTTTAGTAATCAATGAAATTATATTGGCAACATTTTGCTCTTTTCCTAAATACTCTCAAGCTTTACTGCTTGAGGAAGATCTTAGTTGTACCTATATACTATAAGGTCAATGCAGGTCTGGAGAAGATTCATGCTCTCCTTTTCAATCATTCAAATTGAAGTAATAAGTGAAAGGCCAATAATTCAAAGTATGCACAGCAAACTGAATTTATGCTTACACTGAAACAAGTTTTACCATTTTATTTTGTTAACCATGACATTTCTTAAAATCTTGCCTCTTTTAAACAGTTATTGCAAACACTTGTTATTACGGTGGCACATATTATCATGAAGGAGAGAAGTGGAACGATGGTTGTAAATATAAATGCACCTGCCAAGATGGAAAGACTGGGTTCTACAAATGTGTAGCTCTGTAAGTGGACTCTTTAACACTAATTTCCATATCTCAATAAATATGATATGACTGGCTAGTAGTGTTAGTAAGGTAATTATTATTTAAGAAATTATTCGAACTACAAACAGTGATTTTATCGCTAAATAAAATCACTGTTTGGAGTTCGGATGCGAGGAATTACATCACGAGGGCGTAGCCTAAGTGATATAATGATTGATATACATCCGAACAACAAACAAGCGATAAAATCACTGATTTGAATATATATTTTCGATTCTAAGACAACAACAACAAGTAAATGCTGCCGTACCTGATATCAAGCTAAATTGCGCCTGATTTGTTTCCGTACTTATTTTCAGCGCGTTGCATTTTTATTAATTGTTTATTATGTTTTTAAGAATGTATTACAATTTGTAACAACAAATGTTTTTTAAGATAAATTCCTACCACTTTTCCATAAACATTATCATCTTTTTTCTTTCTTCTGTTGTAGATGTCTTAACTGGACATTACCACCAACCTGTCGCCTAGACCCAGCTCCTGCCGGTAAATGTTGCCAAGTACCCGTATGTCCAAGCAACATCAAACTTTCATATCCACCTGGTTATGTACAAGAATAGAATCACTTATGAATTCTACCATGCTTTATTTGAATTTATTTTTATATAAATTCTAAAGAAATAAACATTTGTTTAAAACATACTCAGATTTTGTTTTGTTTGCAAATCTTTTTCTCGTACTGTTTGTAATTTTTGCTCTAGTTGTAGATTTATCTTATTTAAGGCTGAAAAAAGTAATCCTAGACAAAATTAGGAACAAAGTTATAATGTGGAAGTTTTCCAGCTAGCTTACGAAAAAAACAACGAATTTTAGCATTTTGACTTTTAATACTCAACTCAACTGGAGCTGGCATAGTAAAAGATTTGATATAAGTGCCATTTACTGAGTGTTTTCTGAATTTTAATAAAGTACAGGAGGAGCTTAAAAGTCACATTGGTTTAAATGCTCAGAAGAAGAAAGTAAAATTTAATATAAATGGTGTTGACTTATGGACGAAATAAGGACAGTCGACGATAATTGCTAATATGTTTAACTTAATTAAGTTATGTATTATTTGTAACTTAGTTACAAGATTTCCAGTCTTGCAAAACAAATAATTCAGCTGAATAATATAATATATAATTTCATAGATCTTACTTCAGGACTTTTTTTTACCAGATACACGTCATGATATAATAAGCGTATTTAAAGTTAAAAAAAACTTGTACACAAATTTACATTAAAGTTGTTATAAAAACACAACTTATCTCTTGCTATGTCGTTTATATCAACCCAGAGTTAAATTCTTTAAGTTCATTATATTCAAACTGTTAGTGTCTGCTGCCTGTAGGTTTTGAATTTTTGAAAAACAATAACTCCAAAACACCTTATGAAAGAAATATGTTTGAATATTTCCTTAAGAGCAAATGGTGCTGGTACCCTGCTTTAAACAATCTTCGGAGTCAATTTTCTCAAAATAATCTTTTGACGCCAAACATTATGAAATTCAGGGACGTCTACCGATACACATTTTATAGCTTTTTACCAGTGCTTTTTATTATGTGATGGAAGAATTGGTGTATATTCCTTTCTAAAAATAATGAAACATTTCTATACAAGATGAGGCGTTGTCGTGTAAGGACTCTTTTCTTGTTGTAAAACTGTTTTCATTTCCTTCATTTCAGTGTTCTTGTGGAATCGCCCAGTGACTGTATGAACCCTTCCTCTAAAGATAAATATTTAATTAAATGACTTCAAAATTGAGTACCGGTAAAAAACATAATAATGTGAATTTCCGCTGGTCCAGATGTGCAACTTAATCCCCATAAGAACGAGAAGACAAGTTATTCAAAGGGTAAGTTGTAACATTTGTATGAAATGCAGAAATTTATGAAGAATATCGAAATGTAATTGTACCCTTATGACTTTCCTCTATATTTACCGATTTTTTGTTTCGAGCTTTTATGCAGTCTTTGGGGAGAAGTTTACCCTGATAACTTTCCACTATATTGACCAATTTTTGTTTCGAGCTTTTATGCAGTCTTTGGGGAGAAGTAATTTACGTCGACTTGTGTTCGCAAAACATGCGATGTATATGTAGAAAATGTCAAAACGGTCTCAAAAATCGGCGGTCAAAATTGTGAGGGATTTCTGTCAATCACATCATGCTAAGAGAAAATACAAATGGAATGAAACACTATATGCACAATAGAAAGAATTGGTTATACATACTATGTATACCTTTAACCGATCAAATAGGTAAGAAATAGGCATGTTTTCTATATATTATAATATGTCTGTTTCTAAAAGCATAGAAATTCAGTAAATTTACTATGAAGATAGTGAATTCGTACGATATTTGTATAGTATTGACACATCCGGTCGTTGAATTTAGTAGCTGACGCTACACGTTTATTTTGCACCTTGTACAATAGTATAATATACCTGCGGACATTTTCTATTTTATTTAATTATTATTCCTTGCGCAAATACCCGCTCCATTTTCAGCATTCACGCGGTAATTTCTTTCCTTGTAAATGAAGTGGTCAGTTCTCTTGTTTGCATAGTTTATCAGTTTCATATTGCATACCATGTGGTCATTAAAGGTCATTTAAACTATGACCATCTTTATCTCATTTATAGCAAAATTGGAAACATTTTACATTGATATGTATAACCTTATCTTAACAGGTCGAAGCATTAGGGGAACATGTAAGATATGCTTTTGTCCAAGGATTTTGTTAACAAGAATTAGGAACATTGATATTTAAGGTAACAAATACTTCACATTTTTTCCCGCAAAAAAAATGTTTAATACCATGTGATAACTTACGTCTTTGACAAAAAATGGTATTTAGATTTCATAACATGTCTGTTTGGTATTTGAATGAATCAATCGGTATCATAAATCTAAAGTAATGTAATAACTAGCATGAGCATTTTCCTCTGGTGTGAGTGAGCAGTAAGTATATACTTTTTATTTTATTTCGCAACGTTTTTCTAAAAATACCTAAAACAGGTTTTAATAAGAAAATGTTGTCATTTGGCCACATCAGTATGGATTTTGTAGACACCACACATCAGTTGAAACGTTTTTATTTCTTATGCATAGTTGTTTTCTATCCGCTGCCAACTGTATTTTGTTGTGCATGAAAAGGATCTGTCTGTATGAGGTACATTGTAACATAGTAGTAAACTAGTTGAAACTACCACTTTATTTAATATATGCTGGATACAAACATCTGAAAATGAAAACTTATGAAATGATGCTTACTCACTCTCATCGGAAGTGGCTCACAGTAATTTTTTGAATTAATACTGTTTGTTATGTTACGTGCGAGTGTTTTCGATCCGTCCGATACTATAATTTTCCAACACCTACTGGATAGGGTAATCGCTATTGACCCACCATTAGCGGTAGGATAGTGAACCCCGACTTTGTTTTAACATTTTAGTATTTCCATTTGAACTCAAAAACAATACCGTAACACTAGTCAAGCAAACTCTCAATTCAGCAGATAGTGAAAAATAAAACAATTAATAAACAGGATTCCATTCTTTTCATCTTGAACCTGGAAAGGATACCATAAGCGGGAAGAATGCAGAAATCGAAATTTGCAGATTTTAGGACCATGGCAATGTCTAAGAGAATGTCACAAAAAATAATAAATGTCCGATAAACATTTTCATTCCAGGAATATGCTGCTTCTACAAGTTTTTGTAGCCATTTTGTTACTGGAAACCACATCAGGTTAGTGACATTAATATCATTGATAGTGTTAATTAGAATACTTTCGAATAACCAAACTTTCCGCAAACTTATTTTAAGACAGATAAAGATAACCATTAGTAGGATTTTTCATGCAGGCTATGAGAAAGGAGAATAGATGTAAGAACTAATTTGTGAAAATGAGTTAACTACCAAGACATATGAATCACTTTTTGTATGTCCTGTTTCATCTATATCAATATAATAATAATTATTACTACCCATCGTGGGTATCAATCCGCATTGTCACAATGTGTTTGAGAGTTTGTAAGGAGTATTTTATATCTCAATATTTGTTAAGGAAATAGGCATATTTTATCTTCTTTTAATCTGTTATGCTCCTGACTGTAACTTCATACATATACTTATATCTTTGATTATCTTTGCAAATAAGAAGTATTGGACAAGATATGAATAAAATCTTTATTGGCATAGCGAAATATACGCGCGTCAAAAGGTAATAATTGCCATCATCTCTAAATGTAAATTTCATGTATATAATCCTTATGTCTTTTTCGAATTTTAACATTTCAGCAAGTCTTGTGTGTTTATACTGCACTGACGCTGTCGCACCTGCTGATTGCGGTACTGTTATAAGATGTGGATCTCACGAGGTAAGTTTAATTGATAAAATATTCTTCAATCAACATATTTTTGTAAGGTTTTAGGTAATAACAACACTGTAATGGAGACTTAAGAGTTTAATGGTTGAGGAATACCTAAAAGTAGATTGGTCTATAATGGAAGGTCTATAATACAAGAAATAATTATGTCGATAGTATATGTAGGTAGTTTTCAGTATCACACGTAACAACAAACCACGAAAGAAGTATATATGGATGTTGTTGGCAAGTGTGAGATACATGATACAATATTTCATATATTCATGTAGCAGATATCAGAATGTCCTAGACAAAATAATATGATCCAACATATCATATAAATGTTCATACTAAATAACTTAGACGTAATTAAAATTTTTTTCAAGTAATATTTTATAGGAATATCCATGAACATTTCTATTCTTTTTGTCAATACTAGAGATAATGATTGAAAATGTGCCCATTGTAGATAAATCCATTTTAAGCGTTTCATCATGCATTCATTATGCCATGTACGAGTTAGCTACAAGGGCTTCACTAGTTGTATAACTGACTCTCGATCGTGTATTAAAAAGTCCATTGTCATATATTCAATTAGTTCACCTTGTTATTGTGTATGTCGTAAAGCACAATTCATTGGCACTTTGTATTAATCTTTGGTTATGTTGTAATTGTTTAAGTAATTATTTTCTTCTTTTCATGACATAAAGAAGCTATTCTAACTAAATAATCTGTTAAATAGCCGAGTGATGTAGTCTTTTTTTCTACATATTTTATTCCAGCGTTGTTATGTTGATGCATTTGTGAGTGCTGCAGGAAGTATAAAATATAACCTCGGCTGCAGAGACCAAAATGTGAGTTTTCTATTTCTTACTAGTATATATTTTGTACACAAGTACAGTGTTAACAAAAGGACAACTGTTTAATGAGATTTTCAATAGTCTATAAATAGATAGCTAACAGCTGATTGAAATGTGTGGAACCATTTTAACTTTGACTAGTTAAAGTCAGTACATACATAAGGAAATTTCGATCAATGAAATAAATGTTAAATCATGCCACAAACACAAGTCTAAAACTTAAGTTATTAATTGTTTTAAAATTGTGTATACTGTTTTTAAAACAATACAAAAATTAATGAAATACTAATAATACCGATACTAAAATCAAATTAAAATAAGGAGGTTTCTTATTAAAGAATGACCTGGATTTTAGACAAAAAGCATTGCAACATACACAATCACATGAAAATAGATAGCAAAACATATTAAGCTCTTTAATTGGTTTATGTGACTTGCTCCATATATTTCAGCAATGCAGTGGTTCACAGAATATCGGTAAACGTAAACTTATTTCGAACTTGACATACCCCGGTACCGAGAGGAGAAGTGATATCAGCTCCCATAAAAGAAGGGATCAAAGTTTGTATGAGATTGCAAGGGGAGCATCTAATAAAAGGGGGAATGGTTTCATTGTGTGTAGTGAATGTTGTAATGGCAATTTATGCAGTAACGATGGCTGTGAAAATAATGGTAAAACAACAAAGAAATGTCTGTTTCTGGTTAACTTTTTTATATTTTAAATGTCTGCTTTTATAATTATGTGAAAATTAAAAGTATAATTAAGTATTTAATTTATATCTCATTTCACTGCAGTGTTTATATGAAATTATCATTAATTAAGACAAAAAATATGTACAAAAGCCCCTAAGGAATAGTAGGAAGTCAGAATTAAACAGAGTTTAAAATAAAGCATTAATTACCCACGATTTCACAATTTTCATTTAGCTCTTAGGGCACACGCATTCTTTTATTTTGGGACCATACGCCGCTTTTCATAGAATGGCACTTGTAAACGTGTCACATTGAAGGTTCCATGAACACATCTGCGGATGTTTCTTACCATTTATCTTGCACTTTTCGTTATCGTGAATGAACAGGCTCCATTAAACCGAGCCTGCAAAATTTTCAACGTTTTGATCGTTTTTTTAGGGATTCTTTATTACTCTCTATTCTAGATGAAATAATTTATTACTGTATATTTATACACGTAGATAGCAATTTATGATTTGTCTTTTCAAATGTTCTGTAAAACAATATATGTAAATGTATTGTTTAGTGCCCCTTTTATAGAATGTTTTTACAGTGTCGTTTTAAAAGCATTGACATATATTTCGTTATGATTTATTATCCAAATGAGTTGAAGAGTTTTCTATTACAAACCGTTAAGGTTACAGTCAACCTAGAGGTCCAATTTGTTACCAGTGTGATGAACAGAACAGTCCCGAAGACTGCAGTAAAATACGCTTGTGTGGTCGGCGAGAGGTGACTATTATAAAATATTATTAAAATATAACTAAGGTGAGATTCTAGTAAACATGAAAATATTGTTAGAGATTAGAAATATGAGTCTTTAGGTTATGAATTAAAAATACATCTTGCATTAGAATATGAGTTTTAATCGGAGTTCTGTCAACTTTTCATAGACAAAAGAAAGATCCATTTTTCAAATGTACCACCCATGAACATTATTATTTTATCAAAATATCTAGAAATATAAATAATATAAAGTAGGTACTTACATTCTAATTTTGCAGGTGTGTTTGCTTCAGAAGGTGTTGAATTCCATGACACATACAGTGAGATATACGACTAAATGTATCGGAGAATATGTAATTAAATTAGGAATTAGTGATTCAAACTATATCGCTTAACTTTCTGAATTTCTTAAATGTACTTTGCCAGTTTTCATTTTCACAACTCTCATTTATTAAATGTGGATATCAATATGAAAATTTCAAGTCAGTCAGTCATATGCAGGCCCTGTAGAGCCTGACAGACTGCAAAAACTTGTCACTTGGTTTTAGCACGGTTTTAACGCTGCCAGCTTCTATTTTAGCCTTCCGGTTAACTTAAGAGCTTTGGACTGTGAATCGGAGAGCCCGGGTTCGATTCCAAGACTGCGCAGGTCACTTTCGTTGTGATTGATCATTAAGTCCTGTCTACGGTCATTCGCACTGTATCTCTGCTCTGGCACAAGTTATCATTTCCTTACGAAAGAGAAAGCAAATAGTACTGGTTAACTGCTTAACAGTCTGTCCAGGAACGAATCAGAAGCTTTGGTAATTTCAATATGGCGTATTGCTGTGATCCAGATGTAAACTAAGAACACCACCACCATTTTCAAAACTCTTAGTTATTGATTGTGGATAATAAGAAGGAAATTTAGTCTGTCAGTCATGTGTATAAAGCCAGGACAGACTGCAAAGGCTTTTCACTTGGTTTTTTAGCACGGTGAAGTTTAGTTAAAAAATGTATATAAATTCCAACAGGTCAACCAACAACTTATTTGTTCATAAATTTGTGATTAAAGAAGATAAAAATATTATTATTATTTAGTACATATATTAGTTGTTTTTTATGGATAGGCATGTAATGGCGAAATACAGAGATACCGGGACCTTGTGTCATTGTTAATTGGAAAGCGACAGACAGCATTCAAAAGAAATAACCTTGAAATAGGTAGGTAATCAGTAGATTTGCTAAAACAAGTTCTTCTGCAATCTTATGGGGTTATGGTGTTTGTCGTATTGTATATTAAAAGCATATCATTCATACATAAAATGTCATCGGGTATGATCAAAGTTACATCAAAGGTTATTTAGTTGATAGCACAAACACTAGAGGCTGTGACCCTTAATGGTTTCTAACCTCAAATGAGCGATATCTATGAAACCACTTGCCCCTCGTCGTTCTTAGCTCGAATTTCGCCAGGTACTTTGGATTCATTTATGTGAGGACGCTATACGACTAGCTTACGGAATGTCGGTGCTTCTACTCAGGTCCTGGTTTGTGCCCGAATTAATGCACTGGAAAGCAGAAATATATCTGTATCACCTGAATTACTGTGTTAGTGCGACGTAACCCCTACCCAAACCTCCTGCATCCCCCCACTACAAAAAAAAGAAAAGGAAAAAAAAGAATAATAATAAATTTTAAAACATCTAACAAATTCTTCTACGTTTGTCATCACACCGTAGGCTTTTACATTTCAAAAATTAAATGCTATATACACGTACTAATCTACATGTAGATAAACTTGGTTAATCTATTTTGTTCATTAAATGATCCATCTTCTCATTTCTTTGTTTGAAAATTTAATGACTTTTTATATAAAAAAACAACAATTTCTGTTTAAATTTTAGGAGGATCCTGCATTGTACAATGCTGTAAATCCGATTTGTGTAACATTAATTGTAAAGAAAATGTGACACCGACATCTACAGCCGCAACAATTGCAAGTTCATCAACATCAACTATGGAATCTACACACCACATTTCACTATGCCCAATTTTAACCCTTTCCATCAAAACAACGCACAAAAAATATAAGGGCTTTTTTCCAAACAAACCCCCAAAAACGTTAAAATGATAAACCCAAACAAGTAAAGGGTTTTTAAACAACTTATGACACTCCGAAACCACCTACTAAAATTATTCCGACATCATCCCAGAAATTACCATCGGTTACTATGGCAACATCATTTTCTCAACCAAATCCAATGCTGACAACAAGTGCAGGTAGGTACTGGCGTTTTTAAAATAAAGATATGACTTATCAAGATTAGTAATTTCATCAGTTTATTCGATTGGAATGTACTTTTCTATCTTTAAGATTAAATGCTATTAAGTATTTTGTCGTATTGCTAAATACGGTATTGTGGAAAATCTTGTAAGAATATTGACAAATATCCGTGTTTTGTTCATTTTGTAAAGATTTGCTAAACTGTTACCTGAAAATCATTTCTATTACAGGTGGGTGTTTACACAATAAAGAGTTATACCGAGAAGGCCAATCCTGGACCATTGGTTGTGAAAAACGATGTACGTGTATAGATGGGAAAAAAAATTTACACAAATGCACAGACCTGTAAGTTTTTAGTATTGATATGTTTGGCTATAGGATACAGAGTAAAGATCAGTAGCATTTTCTGTTTACTGAGGTTACACTCAGTTTTATTGTTACCTGGTGCACTTTCTTTCACGATGTTTTTATTAACACATCTTTGTTATGCGTTTCGTGCCGAGGCCGTAAAAGTCGCCCCGCAAATTTAAATAGGTTTTAACTGATTGGAAAATAGGAAAGTCTTGTATATTTGATACTCATATTGTGAAATGTATTGGAATCATTGTCCAGTTGAGTGTAATAATGAGCTCTTCAGGTGTATTTATAAATACACAAAATATCAATGCAAATCTTTTGCTGGAATTATTTACATGTTACACGTTTGTCTTCTCATATTTTTTTCTTTTCATTGTCATTATCAGAGACTTGACGATTCAGTCTGAAAAAAAAATGTTTAGTTTGACAAGTCAACACAGAAACGAGTGGTGCCGTATTTCTATGCGGATGGCATGCATTAATTGTACTATTGTCTGAATGACCGAACACTATTGAATATACATTAGTTTTATTCTAGTTACGAAAGCATATGTTTACATGTTAAAGCATTCTATCAAACTCGTATCAAAGAGATAAGTCTACACAGAGTTAAACTAACGTAACTAGAGAGCATATCATATTACACAACATTATCCGCTATAGATCATCACAAATGTTTAAAATATAATAATCTGTGTTATGATACGCGTTACGATATGGGAGACAACTCTGTCATACGTGTTGTGATATGGGAGACAACTCTGTCATGTTAACTTATTTTTTAGATGTATCCGATGGCAGCTGCCAGACGTTTGTTATCTATCACCGCCATTGCCAGGAACGTGTTGTGAGCAACCGGTGTGTCCAAACTATATAACCATTCATTACCCTCCCGGCTATTCACACAACTAGACTATATTATTTTCCTGTTTTTATTTATCTTGATCAATAAATGTGATTTCATTATTTTACTTATTTATTTTATAGTCTCTTAAAAAAAGTGCAAATAATCTCTTCTGGCATTCACTAAACTGGGCCACAAGTGAGTTCTAGGCATTGCAGTTTCTGAGAAGTTTTCGAAATTTTTTTACTTTACAAGTCTTTTATAAACTAAGTTATCCATAGGGCGGGACTAATTTTGACCCCAGGGGAATGATTTATATAACTTCTGTAAAGGGCCACTTGACAAATACTACACGTCAATATATCGAAGCTATAGGTATTGCAGTTTCATAAACGAAAACTTAATGTATTTTCCTATATAGGCCTATGTCTTTGTACAACTTTTGTAGAGAACCAATATGTGATGTTACATGCCAAATATCTAAGCTCTGGGCACGGTACTTTTTGGGGAAACTTAAAGATTTCATGTTTAAAGTCTATTTTAGCTCCTGTGACCTATTTTATACATCAGACTAACTATTTATATAACTTTTGTTGAGGACCATCCAAAATTCATTCCTGTAAAAACCTTGCTTTGTAAAACTGCATATCCCTAATAAGATTCCAGTCAGTCACCAATTTGCCAAGAATGGCTTACCATTAAATGAGTTCAGAAAATGGAAATTACTCCAGAAACATGGTTGGCACAGGCACAGTAACTTGATCGTGCTTTTTTCTCATCAGTAAATATGTGAAATGACATGTCAACTTGCGAAAAAGGTTAACCAAACTGTCAGAAATGTATTAAGGGGAAAGATTGACGCCTTGGTAGTGATTAGTATGTTGATACGAATCCATTAATATCAAGATATCTGTAACTTCAAATCAGCCTACTTTCATGGGTTACAAAATTACATATCTATAATAAAAAACAATTTATATTGATAGATTTGAAATATATCCAATTTACTAAAATATGTTAACTGTACGTATGCTTGTATTTGCTGGGTACTGGTTATGTAAATGAAAGCAATGAACATCATTACCAAACTAAAGGGAGGTAACTAAAAGAGAATGGAATGAAATGCACATTGCTGTAGTACAGCAACTTGCCAAAATCATGGCTTTGTATGTGCATACGAAGCCATTGGTAAAGAAGGAACTTCAAACAAAAAAGTTGTAAAAAAAAGTTAAGGGGAACCATACAGACATTGGGTTCAATTACTTTATGTTGGGGCATAGTAATAATAAAATACACAATGCATGTACAGAAGTTTTTCTTTATTTTCACAAATTCTCCTTTTCACTAACAGCACTATGCTATCAGGTCTGAATTGACCTAAATAAAAAACGTGATAGGTGTCTCTGTTTTTTTTGTCAAGCATTTTAATCTTTCAGGTAAATAAAGATCTTATATGTGTAATTCAAAATATATTAGAAAAGTCTCATGTTGTGCACTATGTTTGTAAAGAATGCTTTGCATTTGGTAAGAGATAAGTAGATCTGTACTGAAGTCAGTTCAATAATATAACATGAAGTTTAAATATTTTTGATGCGATGATATAACACAGTTATCAGTTCTGATCTTTAAAGAGTTTTAGAAATAACTAGTGTAAGTATTCAAGCATCTGACTACAGTGATGAACCATGATTTACAAGAAAACAAGCAATTATCATAGTATTGCAAGCAATCCATAAGTCCCATACCGGTTAGAACCCCATCAACATTCTGAAGGGCCATTGGCCATTCACTAATGTTTCAATTTTTCTATATTTTAAGTACATTTGTTGGAAAAGTTCTTTATAAGTGATCACAGGAAACAGTTTTTATGAACAGACAGACAGACGGACTGAAGGACACTCTAAAGTTAATATTTGAAACATCCCTGTTACCAAAATATAACAATTCTTAAAGAGGAGATAACTCTTGAATTAAAGATGCAATTTCATAAAAAAAAATCAGCTCTTTTTGACTAATCACAAATAATGTTATATTTGCCATGTTTTAAGCCTATTTGTTGCCAAGGCAACCAATATTTTTTCAAAATAGGCAGAACAGATAAGACATGCATAATCTCAAGACTGCCATCTACCCATATGTCAAGTTTCATAAAAATATTTCCAGTACTTTTTGAGTTATCACTGGATTCAGTGTATGTGTAAAATTTGCCATATTTTCAGTCTATGTGTTGCCATAGCAACCAGAATTTTCAACATAGGAAGAAAAGAAAAAGATGTGCATAATCTCCAGACTGCCATCTACCCATATTACAAGTTTCATAAAAATATTTCTATTACTTTTGCGTTAACACAGGATCCAGTTTATGTGTAAAATTTGCCATATTTTAAGTCTATTTGTTGCCATAGCAACCAGAATTTTCAACATAGGAAGAAAAGAAAAAGACGTGCATAATCTCCAGACTGCCATCTACCCCTATTTCAAGTTTCATAAAAATATTTCCACTACTTTTTGCGTTATCACTGGATCCAGTTTATGTGTAAAATTTGCCATATTTTAAGCCTATTTGTTGCCATAGCAACCAGAATTTTCAACAGAGGAAGAAAAGAAAAAGACGTGCATAATCTCCATACTGCCATCTATCCATATATCAAGTTCATAAAAATATTTTCAGTACTTTTCAAGTTATCGCGGGATCCAGTTTTGTGGATGGACGGACAGACAGACAGACAGACGGACGGACAGACAGACAGACAGAGGGTAAACCTAAAGTCTCCTCCGGTAAACCGGTAGGGGACTAATAACCTCCTTTTAGAGCTGAACTCGCACAACAAAAAATCAAAATTAGTAAATATTTGTTAATGGCTTACATATTCATTAATTGTTTTCATGTGCAGATTAAAATTAAGAACTCACTACTTCCACTCTTGAAAAGCACTTTGTCAAGTAATTTATCTTACAATATGGAGAAAAAGAGAACATGTGCATCATAGACAGCACAAATTTTCATAATAATAAATATCAAAAACATGCTGCGTTTATCAATTAAAAAAAAATCAAAATGACAAAGCAATAAAAATCTGACTATTACATTTCACACACAAATACACTGAATTATAAGTCAACTACAAACAAATTTCTAATTAACACTGCAACTTTTCAAGCGTCTGAAATCAAAATATACTGTATTTTGTGACCCAATAAATTACAACAGGTATTTGAGAAGAAAAATAAAATGCAACATTTTTGATACAAACATATAAAGTGTAAGGGGATAGTTGGATAGCTTTGGTAATACCAACAGAGCAGGTTACAAAATTATGACCTTCATAACTGCAAACACATGGGTGCAAGTTGAAAATATCAGAAAACCTGAAAACCCCGAATTTAGTATTATTTTAATTGTTTTTTCACATAGGAAAAGAGAACTTTCAGGAGTAGAAAAAACCTGAACTTCAGGCAAATGCCTGAAAACTTGTACTCATGCTGAAACACTGCCCTACATCGTACATGGGTAATTTCATTGATTATCATTTATTCAACATTTCTTATTCTAACTTTAGAACAAGTTAACAGCATTTCATCTAGCAATTTATGAAATAAATATTCCAATTGTCAAGTACAATGTAACAAATCTTATTACAAAATTAAGAACATAAAGAAAAGCAATAGATGGCCATAAAAAATAAATCATTTTTAGTAGAGTTTTATGTTACACATTCACGAATTTGATCGTAAGACAACATTTCCTACAGATGTGGAAAATAAACTCTTATGTAAATACATGTAATATCAAGCAAAAGATGACCATATTTTCTTCAAAGTTAAGATTTAATGCTCTAACCCACGTAGGTGAGGGGGCAAATAAACTCAAAATCAGTAACATTAACAATACCGAACCCCAAATGCAATTTTATAAATAGACTATTAGTGCCATAAGAACTATCAACAAAATACAAGTCTTTTATCATCTTAATATAAGAGAAGACAGACATTTAATAAGTACTAAATTAAATGACTAAATTGTTAGTATAATTGCAGTCTTTCTCAACATGTTTTAGTATCTGTTAAATTCACACTGATAAGTAAAGTAAGTTTTGAAACACTGATATGTAGTATATGCCATTATATCTGTTATACATGAATATAAAGTTCTTCTATATACATGTAGTTTAGCACATAGTGAAAAGATTTTAATTGGCAGCCAAATTTTCTTTACAGAAAGGTGACGACGGACTATAAAGCTTGTGACTGAAACAGCAAAATAAAATACAGTACAGTAAACTCCACTTATAATGATGATGTTGCTGCCCTCCAGAGACTTCTTTTTCAAATTAATTTACCTCTAAGCTGTAGCAATATCAATTTGTAGTCCCCTGTAGATCATTATAAGCAGAATTTACTGTATATATTTAGTTCTCAGTATATTTCAACTAAATATTTGCTAAAAATATTTGAAATAACAATGTGATCTTGTTTGTTCTTTTTGTGTCTTATAGGACAATAATATTTACTAACAGTCTCAAGAAAACTTCTGTAACAGTATCACATAATTGTTGTAACATCAATAAATAAACAGTTTCTACAGTCGGCTACATGTCTCCGCTATGAATCTGCTGGTGCGTTTTCTAAAACCGTTTTATCTTCTGGCTTCATGGCAGGAAACAACAAAACCTCCTAAAAATAAAATAATAAATCATTTCTTTTAAATTTCAAAATAAGAAATCCTATAAAATACATTAAAATTTCGTAGAGCATACTGATGGACAGGATTTATTAAAAGAAATATGAAGGCCTTGTATCTGCTAACCAGAACAAGTATAACATTTGTTTCAAATACTCTTAGAATTGATAATTTTTAGCTAACTAAACAAAGGACTAGAAATATTTACTATCATTAAGTTTTATTTCATAATTTCCACTTTTCCAAATTAAAACATTGAAGTTATCTATTCTAACAGATAATTCTATAAACTGGTTTTCAGACGAACATTTTACCTTGATGTTATTTGAGTTAGTAAGGAAAACAGAAAAACTCTTTACCTTGATGTTATTTGAGTTAGTCAGGAACACAGACAAACAATTTACCTCGATGTTATTTGAGTAAGTAAGGAACACAGACAAACAATTTACCTTGATGTTATTTGAGTTAGTAAGGAACACATACAAACAGTTTACCTTGATGTTATTTGAGTTAGTCAGGAACACAGACAAACAATTTACCTTGATGTTATTTGAGTTAGTAAGGAACACAGACAAATAATTTACCTTGATGTTATTTGAGTTAGTAAGGAACACAGACAAACATTTTACCTTGATGTTATTTGAGTTAGTAAGGAACATAGCCAGTCTATCTATGCCCATTCCCCAGCCAGCTGTTGGTGGTAGACCATACTCTAGTGCTGTACAGAATGACTCATCTACAAACATAGCCTCATCATCACCAGCTGCTTTGTCCTGAAATATCAAGTTTTAATACATCAGTGTCTGTGTAGAGAAACATCCTGTTAAAAACTCATGGCAATGACATAAATAGAGTTAAAATCCACAATCCCTTGATTGATAAGCAAACACCTTATAATTTGTGCATTATTTAAGGTACAAGTATGTGTGAAAGTAGAACTGACTATCAGGATAGCTTAAAGTCCTTGGCAGGATAAAGCCTATGACTGTGAGGGGTAAGTGATTTGAAATCTGGGACAAACCACTCATCCTTAATATTAAAGTACCTAATATTACAGTACATGTAATTAGTTATTATCATAAAATAAGAAATTATAATGTTGTGTCAACAGACTGCTGTTTGAAAGTTAGCAACAAATATGGCTAGAATAAACCAAACTTGTTTTTCAACGTCCAAGTTAATTTTGCACAGATATGATCTTATCCCTGTTGAATAAACAGGATAGAGGGACCTGTGCCCTGACTTTTCTTCAAAATCAAAGCCACGTTCTCAAAAACTTTGTTTATATTATCATATTAAACAATCCTATTTTTTACTAATTGTTTGAAAGTAAGCAACAAATAAGGCTATAATAAACCAAACTTGTTTTTCAACGTCCAAGTTAATTTTGCACAGATATGATCTTATCCCTGTTGAATAAACAGGATAGAGGGACCTGTGCCCTGACTTTTCTTCAAAATCAAAGCCATGTTCTCAAAAACTGTATCACATTAAACGATCCCTTTTTTTTATTAATTGTTTAAAAGTAAGCAACAAATAGGGCCATGATAAACCAAACTTGTTTTTCAACGTCCAAGTTAATTTTGCACAGATATGATCTTATCCCTGTTGAATAAACAGGATAGAGGGACCTGTGCCCTGACTTTTCTCCAAAATCAAAGGCATGTTTTCAAAAACTTTATCATATTAAACAATCCTTTTTTTTTATTGTTTGAAAGTAAGCAACAAATAAGGCTATAATAAACCAAACTTGTTTTTCAACGTCCAAGTTAATTTTGCACAGATATGATCTTATCCCTGTTGAATAAACAGGATAGAGGGACCTGTGCCCTGACTTTTCTTCAAAATCAAAGCCATGTTCTCAAAAACTTTGTTTATATCCTTGAATATTAACTGTTTGAAAGTAAGCAACAAAAAGAGCTAGAATAAACCAAACTTGTTTTTCAACGTCCAAGTTAATTTTGCACAGATATGATCTTATCCCTGTTGAATAAACAGGATAGAGGGACCTGTGCCCTGACTTTTCTCCAAAATCAAAGCCATGTTCTCAAAAACTTTATCATATTAAACGATCCCTTTTTTTTTTTATTAATTGTTTGAAAGTAAGCAACAAATAAGGCTAGAATAAACCAAACTTGTTTTTCAACGTCCAAGTTAATTTTGCACAGATATGATCTTATCCCTGTTGAATAAACAGGATAGAGGGACCTGTGCCCTGACTTTTCTTCAAAATCAAATCCATGTTCTCAAAAACTTTATCATATTAAACGATCCCTTTTTTTTATTAATTGTTTGAAAGTAAGCAACAAATAGGGCCATGATAAACCAAACTTGTTTTTCAACGTCCAAGTTAATTTTGCACAGATATGATCTTATCCCTGTTGAATAAACAGGATAGAGGGACCTGTGCCCTGACTTCTTCAAAATCAAAGCCACGTTCTCAAAAACTTTGTTTATATTATCATATTAAACAATCCTATTTCATATTAATTGTTTGAAAGTAAGCAACAAATAAGGCTATAATAAACCAAACTTGTTTTTCAACGTCCAAGTTAATTTTGCACAGATATGATCTTATCCTTGTTGAATAAACAGGATAGAGGGACCTGTGCCTTTATATTTATATTTTTATATTTTCCCTCTATTTTCTTTTCTTTTTATCCACTTTATTTGGAGCAATATATCATATATTATTTGATATTTGTGAAAAATGTGTTTAAAAGTAAGCAACAAATAGGGCTGGATTGAACCAAACTTATTTTACATCTATTAATTTAATTTTGCACAGATATGATCTTATCCCAGTTGAATAAACAGGATAAAGGGATCTGTGCCCTTTTTTAAAATTTTGTTTTGAACAATAACCAAATTAATTTGCTAATTACTATTATTCTTGTTTTTCTTCAGCGACAAAATATTTGACAGAATTTAATGGGAACAAACTTGATCCAAATCTATTATCCACACAAACTTTACATATACATGTTATACCTTTAATAAAATCTGGTTTGTGGTATAAATATTATTCTTAAATGTTAAACTGTTACTGTAAGACATACCTGAGCTTGCTGTTGGAACCTTTCTCTCTGTACAACTGGGTCATTCAACTCTGTGTAAGCATTACAAATCTCCTTCTTGCACACAAACAATTCAAATCTCTCTGTCAAACCAGACTTTGCTCTGTGCCTGCATCAATCAAAAAAGAAATTCAAATGTACATTTCACTGCTTAGACAACCAAAAACATATTACCTTTGACTGGACAAACATGTCATAAAAATTGTAAGCATTCTTTTATGTTTGCTTTTTCAACCTTCACTGATCACACTAGATGAGCAAACATAGGCTGTTAAATACCTTAGACTGCAAGAAAAGAACACAGGTATTTATCTAGTTTAGTAGCAGAGGTTCGAACCAATAAACCCTGAAGCTAAAACCAGACAGTGTTACTAATGGACCACTCCACCCACTACAGCTAAATCCTTTCCACCAAAAATATCTTATATGAACTTGTCCATCTTTAAATCTAGACAAAAACCATCATTTCATATGAAAATTCAAAATATTCACTGATTAAATTGTAAAACTAAGTATAACCTAAAATATTAAAATAAAATTTTTACCATTTAGCAAGTGGACTCATGACTTGTGGATGATCAATGATAAATGTGGGACTCACACATGTTTCTTCTATAAAATCTCCTACAAGCTGGAAAATAATACAAACAATCATCATTATTTTTAGTAAATCCTTCAAATGCAGATATTCTCTTTGACATTTTATAAATCCCAAACTTCAACTAATACCTCAATAAAATACTATTGACAGTGAACAAATATTTTTTATATCTACTTTTTTTTTTACTCTCCATTAGTGACTGGCAAATATCCTTATTCATTTGGGCTTCCATCACATGTACTCCAAAACTACACCCTACCTAAATTTTGGTGAAGAACGACTAAAAGACTGACTGCAGTTGTTTAAATTGTTTAATTTTACCCTTATTAGTGACTTGACTTACTCGTTGACCTACTTTTCACATTGACCATGATTTACCTAGATAGAGGCAGCTTTAATACAATACAATATCTTTGTATGGTTAAATAAAAGCCGTTATATTGGAAATAGTCAAGATTTTTTTCCTCCAGTTAATGCCTTAACATTGGTCAAAAAGTAGGACACATACCAAGAACACTTTGAATAATTTTGTAATGGAATAAATAGTGCATAAATCCTAGACTGTTTAACTTACTTTATCTAACAATCTAGCTGAAGTTCTAGGTGCTGTACAATCAACATTATGCTTGACACATTGGTCATCTAAAAACTTCTGTACCTCTGAAAATAAATAAATGATTAATGAATGGTATACAATATTTAAAGTCTTGCTTATGTAAAGTTCTAAATAAATGATTAATGAATGGTATACAATATTTAAAGTCTTGCCTATGTAAAGTTCTGCATACCCTAAATCATATATTTACAGTCTTGCTAATGATTAAGTTACCAAAACCCAAAATCATATCTGGCAAGTGCTTAAGTTAATTTCAAAGGTAAAGGTCATATTTCTATTACTATAGACCTAAGTGTTGCTCTGTCAGAGTGTGAATAAATCTTGTTCCGTAAAAAAAAAACAGTTTTGGCCAATTATATATTTTTGGTTGGGTTTAACATCACACAGACATAGTATAGGTCATATGGTGACTTTTCTTGTAGAGGAAGACCTCAGGTGCCCTTCTGTTCATTATTTCTGGCATAAACTGGCACCCCGAGAAGATCCACTGATGCTAGCTTCCTCAAATGAAAGAATTCAAAGTCCCTGTCAGAATTTGAACCTAAAGCAGTGAGAGAAATAATGAGCAGAAGGGCAATATTTATATATCATAATTAAACTTAGAATTTAACTAATTAGTATACCTGAATGATTAAGGTTAGCTGGGTCGGGAAACTTTACTCCTAATTTTTTCTCTAGCTCATCTATCATACTGACTCTCCTAAATGGAGGTGTAAAATCGATGTCCCAAACAGGCCCGTCGGGACCTTCTGGATGATATTGCACCTTGTGTGAACCATGAATTTCTTTTACCATACCTGAAATTTTTTTTTCATATTTGATTAAACAGAATACTTTCACACTGTCATTTTATCATTGGGCTTGATATGAAAGGAGCAAAATTTATGAAATCTATTTCAAAGATAATCCAGAAACTGAATATATACTGGCAAATTACTGACGCCGAATAAAATACATGAAATTTTAAATGCAAGTATCTGTATTTCATAAAACATTGCTTTACAAATATAGAAACAGAACAAGCTACAACTTTTGGTTCATATACAAATGCTACACAATGATTTGATGTCTACTGCTTTAACATTTAGTTAAGCTTGAATCTACAATGAATCAGACTTTTAAAACAAAGTTACATTGCAAACAAAAAGAAAACAGATCTTATAACTATTCAGTTTTAAAAAGCCAAACATCATCTTTCAAAAACTGTGACAAATGACAGAGGAGGAACTTACCAGCCACCATAGTTTCAGTGATGGTCATCAGATCATTATAGTCAGCATATGCCATGTAAAACTCCATCGTTGTGAACTCGGGATTATGTGTCATGTCTATTCCTTCATTTCGGAACTGCCGTCCAATCTCATAGACTCTATCTAAACCTCCAACTATTAACATCTGAAATACAGGAAATATTGTTATGTACAAAAATCAATGAACTGAATGATAAAGATATTATTTGTTCTGGACACTAAAAACTTTCTCCTATTTCAATGCTTGTTTAGAAGAAATGCATCCAAAGAATTTTGAATGTTTCATAGCATAACTGTTGTTCCCGACATCAAAAAAAACCTGAGGTTTTTGAGTGACAAAAAACGACAAGGAACCTTGTTTTTTGTTAATTTGTTCATAGAAATATATTGATATCCAGTTTCAGAGAAATCAAACTTTGCAAGATCTATTCAAGATTAACGTGGAGAATCAGACAGTTTCCAGCCCTTAAGGTAAAATGTATAGGCTGGCAACTTTGTTATCTACTATCATAGTAGAAATGAGATCATTTAAACTGCTGCTGTTTTTTTTTTAACATGAACTATGAATAGTAAAACCAGACAAGTAAGGAGCACATTAATCACCAAACATACTTTGAGGTAAAGTTCTGGAGCAACTCTCATATATAGGTCCATATTGAGGTCATTGTGGTGTGTGATGAAAGGTTTAGCAGTGGCGCCACCTGGTATCATGTTCATCATTGGTGTCTCTACCTGTTAACAAATAAACATAAGATATTTTGTTTGTTTGATTGGGTTTTACTTCACACCGACACATAATAGGACATACGGCTACGTTCCAGCTTTACTGGTGGAGGAAGACCTCAGATGCCTTTCATGCATTATTTCAGGCACCCGAGTAGAACCACCGACGTTCTGTAAGCTAGCTGGATAGCTTCCTCACATGAAAGAATTCAAAGTCCCTGTCGGGATTCGCATCCACAGCAGTGACGGGCAGGTGATTTGAAGTCAATGACCTTAAACATAAGATATAATACAGTGCTGACAGTGACCTGTAAACTTGTTGTTTTTTCTTCTTCTTTATTTGTTTAGAAGATCTGACAACATTCTTGATAATCCTTACTGCTTTACAGGATTTATTGCATATCTTAAAAAAATTCCAAGGTAAAAAAATGCAAGTGTTAATTTGTCAAAATTCATGTGATCCCTAGGAATGTGTTGAAGGTCTACATCTCCAAGCAATATTTGAAAAGATGGTGAAAAAGTCAGGCAGTATGAAAAGTTAACTGAAATTTTAAGTCTTAATCTTAACAAAGGTATGATATATATGAAGAAACTAGAGCTGTTGTTAGGACAGCATGATCAACTTATAGCAGTGCTCAATAGTAAAACAAAAGCCCGGATAATGTAGAATTGTCTCAATTTAAAAAGGGTTATAATTCTGTCAAAATCCCAGTTAGAGTTAGGGGCTTTGGTCAGTGACCTTCTATTATGCTCAAACATAAGTATATGAAGTTTCAACCTATCCCTTTCAGTTCTTTTAGAAATAGCAACATGCATGGCAAAACTTAACCAAAACATTACAGACGCCTGGGTGTGTACAGTAGCTCTTCTCCATTCTTTAAATGGTTAAGCTTAAAGCACAGTAAACGTTTGGTTTGTAAGAGCTCAAGACTTTTACTGGATTATCCTATTTTAGAAAATCAAAAATAATCCCTGTATACATGTAATATACTTGAGATATTGTAAATTGAATTACGATTATTATAAGGAACTTTTTGCTTACCTCCAGAAACCCTAACTGGTCCATAAATCGTCTGAGATAATTGATGATTTTGGCTCTCACAATAAACTTGTTTCTTGTTGTCTCATTTATTATAAGATCTAAATATCTTTGTCTAAATCTGGTCTCCTACAATAGCAAAATGACCATGTGTGTGTTAATTTTTCTATTATTTAAACATAGGAAGATAATACATTGTCACATGTATAACAACTAAACTAGATTCTATGGAGAACAGAATATAATAACTTGAGTCTCCCTTCTTGTGTACCATAAGAATGGCTACAAGTAACTACAATTTAACTTTATTAGGTATTGGTTCCCAGGCAAAATGTAGTTCTTTCACATTTATATGGGGCTGGGTTTGAAAACAGATTAATTTTACACATTGTTCTTTTCCTTTATTTCTTTTTTTTGTCAGGTTTCATGACATGCTGACACTGTCAACCTCATTACACTCCTTTCAAACTTTTACTGGTAGATGACTATCCATGCATTATTTAAGAAAAACCTCAAGAAATTTAAGGCCTGTAGAAGGACTAGAGCAGACAAAGGAAAGTAACATTCAGTCAGTGTCCTTGATCACCTGTACAATTTGGCAAAACTCAAGATTTACTTAACATGGTTCCCAAGATTAACATTTCTAGAAAGATAGTTAATATGCCTAAATTAATATACATTTAATAATTGATTCATTTGGAGTGTTACTGTTTTGTATATGATGTAACTGAACTACTAACCTTATCTTTCACACCAAAGTGTAATGATGGCAACTGATGTAAACAAGGTGACAGAAGGACTATCTTTTTTGGTATAATACTCAACTCTCCTTTCTTTGTTTTACCTGAAAACATTTTATAGACAAAGACTGAGCTATCAAATAAATCCGAGTACCAATAACTCGTAGAAATTTTTTTTCTTTCTTTCTTACCCCCTTAAAAACATGTCCAAATACTGTTTAAACCATACTTATATTTATCAAAATTAAATGGATCTCCGATTATTTCCAAATTTGATATTTAATTATTTACACCTGTTTCCAAGTCAATGCATTATGGAAGCATTTTACCCAATCGTTACAAAAACATGGAATTATTCCAGAACAAACTACTGTTTGGTAAAATGAGAAATATTCAAATGGGACCAGTTTAAGCATGTACCTACCAGGCATTCCCTCTACCCCAATGATATCTCCTCTCTTGACCTTTTCTAACATCTTAGCAAACTCATCTTCAGATTCATAGTACCTGCATGTAATAGATATACTATAATTTTAAACACATTTAAAGCTTTTCAAATGTAGTTCATTGGATAATAAATGGAGCCTGCAGACTCCTGAACCTCTCACTTCTACAATTTGAATCTTGTTTTGTTTCTTCTTTTTCTGTTTGGTTATATGTTGTACCAACACAGTATAAACTTAAGTTAGGTCATACATTGACTCTCCAGCTTTACTGGTGTGGAAGACCGCAGGTGCCCTTCTGTGAATTATTTCAGACATGAACAGGCACCAGAGTAGAACCACTGATGTTCCGTAAGCTAAAGAATCCAGTCACTTTGGGGATTTGAACCTGCAGCAATGATGCCCCTATTTGAATCTTTATTCTAAAATGATTAAACTCTACAAAGATTCTGCCCACAATTGCTAGCAGTAGGTAAATAATTCAACCCATACACTTATATATACAAATAACAATATAGAAAGGGGATCATATATATACACAACCAAGACAGCTTCCTTTAACATATTCTGTTATCATTGTAACTATGTAAGCCAACAAAGCCAAAAATTACTATAAGAATCACTTGCGAATCATTACGATACATACTGGTAGTAACACCTTTCAACTTATGATCTTTAAAATAATAAGCTTTTTAAGTCACTTACTTTGCATTTGCCATTATCTGTATCTTCACTGCTTCAGCTCGGAGATCATAAAATACTAATTTAGCCCCACTTTCTCTTCTAGAATGTATTCTACCTGTAACAATATTTAAATTAATGGCAAGTTTATATGAAACTTTTGAAAAAATAAATATATACAAAACAAAATATGATTATATATGATTTCAGTAAGTTTACAGGAAACCAAAATCTCTAAAATCTATGTACATGTAATCATGTAATTATATCCAAAGAAACTTCATCACAACTTCCACAAGTAAAACAAAATGTTCAATAAAGTTCTATAACACTTCAAGTTTTGTTTGTTTGTTTGTTTCATTTTACGCCTTTCCCAACAGTATTTCAGTCATATAGGCGGGTAGTTTCCTAACCATCGTTCCTGGAGAGTTACACCAGTACTAGACTACCTTCCTCCGCGCTAAACTACCAAAGATCTCCCGTGGATCGAACCAACGCCAGAGAGGTAACTGGATTAGAAGTCATTGACTCTAACCCCTCAACCACGGAGGCGGTTCAAGACACTTGTTAATTAAATAATCACAAAATAATTTCACATCTTGAAACTTATCCAAATTTAAGGCTTTCAATGCAACATGATTATGACAAGAAAAAAATTGGACAATTACCAACACAACCACCCAACTTACCTGAAACAGTGACAATGATATCCTCCATGATGGTGCCATCACCTACACTCTTGTATTTGTCTATATACTCTACCAGAGACATGCTAACATGGAACTTGTGAGGATATGGATTGTCATTGCTGCCTTTCAAATTGGCAACAGCTCTTGATCGCAATTTGAAATATTCCTGTAATTTAAATTTTTTTATATAAAATCATATATTTTGATGAAGTTTAATGTTGCTGTTGGTTTTCAAGACACACCATCATATGTCAACTTCTAACTTTGCCATTAATCAGTTAAAGTCATGATTTACCATTAATAATCTAGATGAATGGTTTCCAAGCACGATATAATTCCAAATAAAAAATTTTCCAGGTCATGAACTTTCCCACTTTTACAGTTGATCTACATCTCATTCATGCCCAAGTTACTAAGAAATAATGACAAAATAAACAACTATTTTGTCAATGAAAATGGAGATTAGACTTTATGTCCTGCTGGGGCACTGTAAAGAACTCAAGACCATATGGCAACTTTCCAATTTAACTGGACAGGATAAGACCTAAGGTGCCCCTTTCTTCATTTTTTCCGACACCAATAGACATACAGAACTTTTCACCTTCCATTTACTGTAATAGATAGCTCCCTTACATTCTGACCAAGATCAAAATCACGGGTTGGTTTCAAACCCTCTGTGTTAATGATTTTTCACCTTATATACTAGAGGCCTATAAAAGACCTCTTTCCAATGGAAATTTTCTCTAAAATCATGCAGTTTTCCCAAAAATCTACACTTCCCAAATTAGTAATTTTAGCCACAATTCTCCCAAAATCAAGAGGCCTGAGGCTAAGGCCTCTTCCTGATAGAGAAAAACCACTGTATTTCCAAGGCAGTGCACAAAACCAACCACAGAAACCCCCCTATTTCGATAAAATAATTACACAAATCCTGATAATATCAGATACCAACTTACATTTGGATCAATATCCTCTTCCTTGATTTTATCTTCCTTCTTAGCATCTTTCTGTGTCTCTTGTTGGGCTGCTAATTTCTCTGCCTTTTCTTTGGCCTTCTTCTCCTCCTTCAACCTTCTCTTCAACTCACTGAAATTAACACAACACTCTGTGGTTACATTTATCTTAACTTTAGTTACATAGTTAAGATAAAACATGATTTTATTTCATAATTTACTGAGATTTTCTCCACAGGTAGGGGCCAGGCCTGTCTCTTAAACTCGATAGAATTTTAGCAATACAAGCTTATGTTTTGTACCATTAACCAACTATAAGTACAGTTTGTCTTACTGTCTAACTGCATGACTTTTTTTAAAAGTTTTCCAAAGGGAAAGATGTCTGAAACAGTCCCTGCTTAAGGGAGGATTGTTTTTTTTTAAATATTTTAATTAATTTACAGTGATTTGATTGAAAACCCTATGGAAAGAACATGCTATTTTTGCAAATGAGGCTTCTATATTTTACTTTTAAACTTTTATGATGCAATCAATATAAAGACAGTGAAATCAAAAATACACCTTATTTCTATGCTAGCTTATTGAATTACAGTGAAAATTTAACTCTTTTAATACTTTTATTCATTACTTGTAATGAACATTTTACTAGTTTATATATTTCATTCATTTAATAGCCTTAAACACAAAAACTCAACTCTACTCTACATATCAATTATATATATTCAATTCATATAAAATAATCTATTCATTTAGCAGACTATGTTCATAAAACCATAAAATGTCACATGAATTTTTATTTTTTAAAATAATCTTCTTTCAAACCATAACTATTAAATACACTGTATATAAATAATATAGTTGGGTTTTTTTTCAGTTTTTTTTTTCCGTTCCCTAAAATTTATTAAAAAATTCAAAATGTTTTTTTTTTTTTTTAAATAAATTTGTAAATAATCATACTTCTTGCTTAGATCATCATTTCCTTCCATTATCCTAAAGTGAGTAAAATTCTGTGCTTAATTACGTTGAATAACTAACTTAAAAATAAACCAATTTATTACGGTTTATTGGTTTTACCCCTTAACCAGACCAAGGTTTAATATAATGTAACACCATGCTTTGATAACATGATCATACCTTATCTCATGGCATTAAATATACGAAATCCCTTTATTGGTGGTGCAATATATTTTGAACTGAGTGATATTCAAAGATAATTTCACCAAACCACTATATGTCTATTATCAGAGGAAAACAATCCTTTAAAAATTTAATCAAAATTTTCTTCCTTTGTAAATAAATCATGCAATAGGGCAATAAATGAGTGTATTCTATTTACATTGTAAAACCTTAAAAAGTTCAAAGCAAGATCAATACAAGGTGACAGTATGCACTGGAAAAGTTTCACGCTTTTGCATGTCCCTTATTTGCTTTAGTGAAATGGGGGAAAAAAAATGAAAAAGAAAAGGAATCTTTGTAGGTGATCATTTATATCCAAGCATTAGAGTAATTTAAACTTGGTTTGTTTTTAACTCAAAGCAAGGTCATAAACACTGCATGGTTCTCAAATTATTACTTCATTCAAATCTTTTAATCCAGAAATAAAATTACTGGTGAAAATTTCCTTTTAAAACTATTTTTCATGAAATTTAAAAAAAAAATAAAAAATATGTTACCAAATTTCAGATCTACAAAATTTAATGTAAAGAGGAATTGAACCATACAATGTTCAATTACCTTGAAAAAAATCCCACATATACTAAAGAAACAAATCAATTTAAGTTAGTAAAATGGATACTTTATTTCAATAAATTTTCTAATAATCTTGCAGAAATGGTGGATCTTGTACGATCTATATTGTAATTTTCTTAACTCTTCTTTGTAATATCAAGAACCAATGCAGTGAATATACCATACCTTGATGTAAACTCAGTTTGAGTCAGTGAAGTGGAATGCAATTTTTGTGTCTGACTCAATAGTGTAACCCTGTAGGCATCTGGAGCATAGGCACTTGCTGCTTTTAAACCAGCCGATTTCAAATGGTAATATTTCAACTGTTTAGTTACAGTTTTATCCAACACTTTCAGTAGACTTGGCCACAGTTTGAATGAGGACATTGTGCATTGTGGTATAGCACTTGGATTAAAGATGATGTGTCTTCAAAAACAGTACTTTGCATCTGAATATATAAGTATATTATTTAAACTTAGTGTCTACAATAAAAACCGATTTACATTTATGGAAAACTAAGCTTTATCAAATATAGTCTTCTTTTGTACTTAACATGACACAGAAATTAAGTATCTTAAATCAGGCCATTCCCATTCTTTATTTAATCAATACAGGTATAAGCAACTAAAGAAGTAACAATTTTTAAGCATGAAACAAACATTTATATCATTAAACAAGTGTCTTGTTTGATGGCAACACTGATGACTTTCTTTAAAAATTAAAATATTGACAACATGATAAATTAACACTCAATTTCATAAGTAACAGTTCATGTACACCAAGTGTTTTAAAGTTGACTGATAGAGACAATTCAAAATTTGGGGGTACTAGGCAGTTCAAACATTTTTTTTTTATTTGTAATTCTTTATGAAATTTAACTTTTTGTTGAAATAAAAACAAATCCTCATATTTCAAAAGCAATGAAACATATTGTGTTATGTCCAAATTTATTGTTTGCAATTTGTACTCAATAATTAGTTTATACAAATTTATTTTAGTTCGATTGTGTTGGAAGCTATAAGCTTATAGAAACACTCTCGAATCCGTTCCTGGAACCAACCAGTACTAAGCAAAGAATGTAAAGTTTCTTGCTCAAGGAAACAACGGCTTGCCCCTGACAGGGTAAATAATTGACTTCATTCCTTAAACATAGCAGTTACTGATGGAAAATATTGAAAGCCCAATATCAACTATGTATTGAATTATTCATTTCAACATGTTTTTTTATATACATGTTATACATGTATCAGCCAATTGGTGATGTTGTCCTGAGAAAATTCTCTCTAAAAAAAAAGGAATACTTTTATAAGATCAATATTGATTTTTCTATACAATATGAAAGTAAAATAAAATACCTTTTAAGTCATAATTTTTTTTTCTCCTTCATATAATTGATTTTTGTCAATACTTTTGATGTTTAAGGGTTTTGGGTTGTAGAGGATGAGGGTTTTGGGTCTTAGAGGAGGAATGGGGTATAGTCTAAGTCATGGCCATGTGCCAAACACCTGTGTTTACAAAGTGAAAGTTAATACTACAGTGTATCTGTTTACAAATTTACTAAACAGTCTAAATGGAGGAGTAGATTCCCTTCAGTTTTCTTTCTAAACAATTTAAAATCAATTGAATTTGAATATTCGAACACTGATTCACACAATTTAAAACCCTTATTTTCCTCTTGTGATTTTTTTCTCTATTTGTCAGAAGAACGGTCACTTGTCTCCCATTTTCTTGGCAAGCTAGAACCCTCAATTTAATTTTCTGAGGTCACTTGCAAATAATGACCAGAAACCACACTTTCTATTATTTGCGATATCTAGAACAAGCATGTATCATGTCATGACAGTTAAACATTAGTTATTTATTTCAATATATTGTTAATAATTCCTGGTCCAACTTATCTGCGAAGAGCTCCAAGCTTTCTGAGCTCATACTTTTTTTGTTTAGGAAAGGTGTTTGTGACCAAGCTCAATAAACACTTCACACAAAGCCATGAACTCTTCTTGTATTACTTGGATCAGATACTTAATTTACTTTCAATATCAATGAAATGTTTTTGATATTATGTGATTTATGAATGTATATTCTTATTGCACTTGAAATGGAATTTGACAACTATTGACAGACACTGGAAAATCAAGTCAAGTTTCTATTGAACATGATTGTGTTTATCATAGATGATATATATCATAATTTTGTTGTCTTTACTTTACTTGACTTTATCCAGCGTAGGGTCGCGAGATCAGAAATCTCTTGTAACCCCCTCAAGGTCTGACACCCAATGATTATTATCCGGTATAACAGTATATAATTTGTTTATCATAACCAGTAACCTTATCGAGTCTGTTTTTTAGCGAATTCAGCGTTGGTGAACATATAGTCCTAATTATAAGACCTATACGTAACCTATTTCATATTTATCATTCATTAATCTGATATTTTACATTTTTCATTTTCCATGTTACGTTAGGTCTTATCAGATCTTTGCAAAATCGTGTAGCAAAAAAATTGACATTAGACATTGATTTAGATCTAATGAATTAAAACAGCGTGTATTTACATTAATTTTGACCTATTTATGAACAAAACTAAAAAATAAATACCTTTAAACAAAATAATTGAACTGTCACAACCGAAAAGACATGATTCAATCCTCTCATTTAATTAAATTCTTTGTACAGCTGATATACAAATGGCCGCCATACAGTGCGCGAAATCTGATTGGCTAATTCAAATGCAAGCGTTTAAATGAGTCCAGAAGTTTCTAACGGAATATTTTTTCAACGAAATAATTGCCCATGCACCGTCAGTGTGTTCAAATATATTTTTCCGTTCAAAAAATTGGAATCAATCTGTAAAATGCTTTACTTAACCAGTATGGCCGATGAGCGAAATAGACTGATATTTATATTTTATTTTTAATTGATAAGTACATTGTTTTAAAGTTTTTGTTAATGATAGACCATGCAATTGAAAGAACAGAAGATAAGCTTTTGAATAAAGCTTCAAAGGCAAGTCAACAGACATTTTTTTAATTTTTCAAAATGCTACGCGTTTTTGAGCAATAACTATTAGACGTAAAGGCTTGACCAACATAAAACTATAACAAGCCTGTAACGTCTAATCTATTGGACTAGTGAACATACTACAGTATCTGGTAATCTATTCCATTCTGGTACTACCCTTAATGAGAAAAAATGTTTTCTTATTTCCTTTTTACATGATTTTATTTTCAACCTCATGGAATTTCCTCTGATGTGATGATTATCTGCAAATTATCTTCAAGTTGTGACTTGGACAGTAAATGGCTTTACTGGGACGTTTGTCAAAGACAGATGTCACATTTGTATTTCAATATTTTAAGTTTATTATTGACCGTTTACAGGGACGGTTAAGAGTATTAAATTGATTTTCTAAACAATTTCATAATTTGTTTTTTATTGCATCATTTTTTAAAAAGTAGATGAAGTTCATTGCTTTACTTCCAAAAAATTTACAAAGAATAATTTGTTCCAAAGCAAAAATATATATATGGCGACCAACATTTATTAAGCACTTCATTTTAAATGATTATGTTTCTCACTTCTTGCTTAATTTTTCGCCGGTGTCAGCCATTTTCCCACGTGTTGCGCCAAATAAATTGGTGTCTAAACTCCGTTTAACACGTACCTCAAGAGTCGGTAACTGGTTTTGAAGTACTACATTGTATCAGAGGTACTTCGCCCAATTTTATCCGACTCTTGCTTTACAAATAGCATTTATGATTTTATAGATAATAAACACGTATCTTGATTTTTATCAGCTGCAGTACAAGGTTTCTAAAGGTACATGTAAGATGTCCTATTCATGTAGCTATGAGTGTAGGACAAAAGCCCTCCCGGACAAAAGCCCTCCCGTCAAAAAGCGACAAGGCGGACAAAAGCCCTCCCTTGAAAATGACAGGGCGGACAAAAGCCCTCCCGTGAAAATGACAGGGCGGACAAAAGCCCTCCCGTAAAAATGACTTGGCGGACAAAAGCCCTCCCGTGAAAATAATAGGGCGGACAAAAGCCCTCCCGCAGCAAATACATATATGTACGTTGAATAGGTTATATTGTACTCAACATATTAAAATTGTAATCATGAATATTTTTGTTTTCCATTGGCATAACCGTGTTTGTATGAGCTTGAGCACATTCCTGAGAGGCATTTGAATAATTAGTGCTAAAATCTGTAATTAAGTGCATATTTATTCACGTAGATATGAAGGATTACTCCTATGTGATGTTAATAATAATAGAGTAATAAATGATGAAAATAAGTTAAAATTATCTAACTTAAAAGTTATAGACATTTATAATGTGCCTTGTAATGAGTCAATTACTTTTAAAAGTGACTTTGGTTTTAACGACATTTGTGTAAAAAGTTACCTCGTTAAACATTTCAGGAAGGTATATTCAGAATAAAAGGTGGTTCATACTGGTTCTTAGGCCAATTGAAAACAACAAGAAATATATGTAACAATTTTAATATGTTGAGTGCAATGAAAAAAAACACAGGTATTCAACATACATATTTATTTTTGTTACGGGAGGGCTTTTGTCCGCCTTGTTAATTTCACGGGAGGGCTTTTGTCCGCCCAGTCATTTTCACGGGAGGGCTTTTGTCCGCCCTGATATTTTCACGGGAGGGCTTTTGTCCGCCCTGTCATTTTCACGGGAGGGCTTTTGTCCGCCTTGTCATTTTTTGACGGGAGGGCTTTTGTCCGTTTCCCTGTAGCTATTATTGTGTAAAATGCTGACATGTAGCTAATACTGCACTAATAAGTGCACAAATATCTCACATCAAACACAAATTTTACCTTTTTATTATTCTCCTCATTGTTTGTTATGTAACATAGTAAGATTGTTTTTCTTTTCGGCTGTTTTAGAATTGTTCTCGAACTAAAATGATTAGGAAAGTATATAAATATTTCAAAGTAAGTATCATATGACTGAAACAAATAAATGTATATTATTTTTGGCTTGCTGGTGCATACAACATAGCAAATCCTAAAAGGTGTGAACTACTGCCTAACAAACTTTTAAAGAAAAAAAAAAATAATTAAGAAACAATATCTTTCCTTCTTTAAACAATCCAAATACAGAAGTATGAGGACCCCCCCCCCCCCCAAAAAAAAAAAACCCCAAAAACAACAACAACAGTTCACTTTAATTTCAGAATTTAATCCATATTTTATTTTATCTTCAAGTATGTAACAAAGAACACAAAAATCTTACTTAACATTTACATTAAAAGATATTTTTAGCTTTTAGTGAACTGTGTCACAAACCTGTTACCTAAATGTACTATTGTACTATTTTTTAACAAAATATTCATTACTGCAATGTGGTTCCAGCTTAATTTTCAACTTTCAATTAAATTTATGGTATTGCTAATATTAATAACATGAAAGTTCTTGTTCCTTATTTGAGTACTTAAAGATCCCGTATATTGTAATTAAGGTTGTAACCACACTTAATTATGCCTCTAAAACAATTTTCAAACATCGAAGAATATGTAAAATATGTGCTGCAAATATTTGTGCGCATTATATGTAATCATTAAAATATATGCATTTATTTCTTATTGAAGAATTTGACTTAGACTTTATAGAAAATAAATTTCTAATTACCTCCCTTTATTAAATAACATGAAATGTAAATTCAGTAATATCTTTACAAATAATGCTTTTTGGAACTTACACTATTGATAAATCTGCATTTGAGCATGATATATATGATATAAAACCATAAAAAATTGAGTTACAGGATCTTCAATATGGCATTTAATATCTGAATGATTAACCATGCAATAACATTATTATTATACGATCTAAATATTGCTGCAATCTCATTGGTCCAAACAGTAGTCAACAGAACTTTTTATAAAATCATATTCACTGGGTTAGTATCATTTTCACTGGCGCGCGGAAGACAAAAAGCCGTCAAAACACGTCTATATGAAGGAATAGGTTAAAGGCTACACCACAATGTTGAGTATAAACTTGAATTATTTTTGTATGCGCAGTGTTCACGTTGTCGTTGCACGCTTAACACATGCGTCTTTTTCCCCGCGCTTCAACAAGGCAAAATTTGTACATGTATATAAGGTTGTACTTTCTGTGATTTTTTTTTAATTTTTTAGCCTATTCATATAATAAAACAATTATTGACTAGTGAGCCATTGAATATGATGTGATATTCACCGGCAGAAAGTCATATTGATCTCTGCTTGTTGTTCAGACATTTTCAACATGATGGATTTTTTATATACTTACTAATATAACAGCTCAGTCATTGTTGAATAAGAAATAATGGAAACCATGTTAGAATAAAAGGTATAGTATCCTTGATAATGGTCTATATAAGAGCATTTTACTTCATCTTGAACGTCTTTCCAGAGAGTTGATTTTCATAGTTTCTGTTTTCAAAAGTCTAAATATCAATTTTAAAATGTCATTAACTCATTATATTGCACTGCTTTTTGATGTGTTTAAGATATCAACTACGAGCTTGTTACATAATATTGACCTGTCAAAGTTCAGGGCTCATGCAGGGAATCAAATGTACAAAATATAAAAAACAATTAAAGGATAAAAGAAAGCCTGGAGGATTAATTTTCAAAAAATTTTCATTAAAAATGTAATACAGTTTAAAGTTTAAGGCATAATTTTGGGAACCCAAAAAAAGTTTTTTAATTTTTAATGTTTTTCCCCATCAAATTTTTTAAAAAAAATAATAAAAAAATAAAAATTTGTCGACAGGATTAAACATAAAATATTATATCATAATTGGTATCTATAATCCCCTTTTTCATATCACTTCTTTAAATGTTTTCAGTTTCTTTCAAAATGGTTCAGTGGTTAGTGTCTTAAACATTGCATCAACTTTTCCTACCACCTGGAACTGGCATTCCTATAGCCATCATTGCGGCTACAATATGACAACATCTTGATGTTGCTGGACATGAACATGTCTCTTCAGGAAAAACTGTAACCACATATTTTTTGTCATTGTTGCCTCTCACCATGAAGGCTCCCATTTCAGGAACAAGTATGATCCCATGTTCATCAATAATTTTGATAGCTAATGATCTTTGAGTTATGATACCCTTATTTATTTTACAATTTGTTGTATTTTCTGCTTGTGGTTCAGAAGTATCTTTATATTCATTGGTATTTTTGTTAGAAATCGCTGCCCCAACCTGGAAACATTCCTTCATTTCTTCCAGTTCACATATGTTATTTGGTAACATATTATTGGTATCTGGGTCTTGAGCGCCTACATTTAATTCAGACCCGTCAGACTGTGTCACAGCAGGTGTAGAAGAATCTCTGAAATCTGGGCTGCAGCACTAAAACAATACACAAAATAAATTAAATAAAGTTTATTATAAAGTATTTCTTTTGCACCATAAATACTTACATTATAAAATTATAGGCTTTAATTCCATAATATTACGTATTAAATGAATTTAATTGTCACACATATGCAACAGTTTACTAGAAACATTTATTCTTCTTCTGATAAATTGGATAAATAATAAAGGTTGCTAAAAACACGGGAAATTCCATGTAGTATAAAGCTATAGCTCAAACACCATAACATGTTTATTGAAAAGTTTATTTACAAGTTTACAAACAAGATGACAAAAACAAATCATAGGGATAAAACTGTAAGTATTAAATTTAACAGAATAGCTAAACCATACCTTGGCAATTGTTGTTTTGTCAAGAGGGAATATACCAGCATTCCTGAAGGCCGATTGTAGATTTTCAGTAGAAACTGCTTTAGTGTATGGATAAGCTGTTAATTCTGCCACACTGTACATAGAAATATTACGTCCAGGGTTTTGTTCCATGTAGGCATGACTCACCATACAGTACATTCTCTTAAATGGAGCAAAAACTGAATTATCCATAGGTTGAGTAACCAGACTAGTATGAGGTGGCAGAACAAATATTATAACATTATTTTTGCTGACCCACTGAGTACATGTGAGTTTGATATGAGATTTATGTCCATCATAAAGAAGTAAGGCTGGTTTATCTGGTGACAAATTGGCATAATTCACAAAATGTTTAGTAACATAGTTCTGAATCACTTCTGTATTTGTCAAACCATTCTTGGTCATTTCTCCCGATGATCCGACACTTGTATTCCGAAGAAATTCAGGGTTCCAGCGTTTCCCAGGAAATACATAATACGGAGGTATACAATTACCTATAGCATTTCCGCCAGCAATAATTGTAACTAAAGATGATTGTGATGATGATTCGTCCTGTAAATTGGTGTCTGGACTACATACAGCATTTGGAGATCTGTGTTCTGTTGAAATAATATTTTCATCTATCATAAAAATACGCTCAGGTTTGTCAAATAAGTTATTTTCATTTAAGATAGTCTCAAGTTCAGCACAGTAATTTTCTACGGTTTCTCTTGAAATGCTAGGTTTCTGTGCTTTTGCTACATCCAACTTTGGCCATCTCTTAAGAAAATCATAAAACCAATTATCACTGAGATGTTGTGTAGATTTCACAGATTTACCAATGTTAATAGCATATTCCCTTGCCATGAATTTTATCTTGGATGCATTATATCCATATCCAATGTTAGCCATGTAGGAAATATGCTCAACAAGTCTCTGTTCCTCATCTGAAGAAAATATGGGCTTAAAACCAACTTTGGCATCTATAGGTACCAGTCCTCTTGACCTGTCACGAAGAGTTGATTCAGGTATATTGTATTCCCTCGAAGCTCTGTAAACTGACATGCCCATCTTGGTAGCTTCAAACGCTCTCAACAGATTGGTCCTGTCATACTTCATCTTGGATTTCTTTGTAGACTTTTGGAGCTGAAATTGTAAATTGTATTATATCCAAACAACAACTCATTACTTTCATCATATTAATTCAACTTTTATTTCTACAATCAGGCAGTTAAATATAAAACAAGAGGGCCTAGATGGCCGTAGATCGCTCACCTGACCCATCAAACTCATCCGAATAAAAGAAGATTTATTTAAGTTTTTACTATATAATACAAATAAGGAAAATCAATGACGTTTCATGCCAAATATTTAAGCTCTAGCTCTTTCGGTTTTCTAAAAGAGGATATTTTAAAAGAGGATATTTTAAGTTTTTTCTTTTGGTTGCCATGGCAACCAGAGTTCTGCTTGGAATTAAAATTTTTGAACAATTTTTAAAGCTGACCACCAAAGGAACATTCCTGTGAAGTTTGGATGAAATTGGCTTATTGGTTAATGAGGAGATGTCGTTTAAAATTAAAAGTTTACTGATGGACGGATGCCGGACGAAAAGCGATCACAAAAGCTCACCATGTCACTTTGTGACAGGTGAGCTAAAAATATTTACTAGAGTTGTCAAAAAAGGCCAGGAGAGCATACTTCAAAAGCAAACTTCAGTTCCTAGTGAGATCATCATCAATCTGGCACATTCAAGGTGACAGATATCAAAGTCATGGTTTTCTCTAACCTGCCCATAAGTGTTCAGTTGATATGGAGATCTACCATGCAAGACATTGAAGCACATTAACACTACTTAGGTGTATGACATTCTGTTAGTACTGTACAGTATGCAGACTGGAAAAAACTAAAATATATGCTGTTGCATAGATGGCACAGTAATTCTGTCACAGTATCTTTGCAGCATAAGCATGCCACAACATAATCAGTCTTCCCATTAGACATATTCCACTGACCCTAAACTAGGAACGTGCCTGCCACTGCCATAAGTCTAGTTGGACTATGTTATCTGGAGCCAGCCTTTTGACCAAAACGAAACCCTGTCATCAGCAAAGGTCACATTAAAACTAAATTTGTCCATAGCAAGTGTTCGACTGCCTGTGCATTCAGTGATTATGGATTCAAACCCACTGGTTCCTTGCCACTTTTGTGCAATATTTAGACTGTCAAAGGGGAGGGGAGGCTTTAAGTGGTTATGGTGTCTGCCTCTCAACCCAGGGAACATGGGTTCAAGTTATATTGGGTCACAACCATGTTTCTTTATATGACACCAGTACTGGTTGATTACAGGAAGGGGACTCGAATGTGATTAATACAAGTTGAAAAAATTTGTTTCGCAATCGAGCTTAAATTATGTCACATTGTTAGAAAAATGTGCAGCCTGGCCGGAACTTGAACCCGGGACTCTCAGAATACCATTCCACAGCTCTACTGACTGAGTTATCTGGCCACTTACACATCTTCTTCCCTAAATAGTGAACAGTTCTGAACCATGACAATAATAAAATATTTTTAAACCAAACCAGTTTTGACCTTTCATTATGTCATTCACATTATTAGCTACAAGACACTTCAGCAAACAGGTTTTTTATAGACTATAGTACTGCTAGATATGTTTACTGTCGCACGACGTCAAAATAAAAGCGACATATAAAGTTATGGAATCCAGAACTATCGAATCCAGAACTATCACATTAGTAGTTGTGACCAAATTTATCAAAAGTACAAAAAGACATAAACAATGAAAAGGCCTTAATTATGAGTAGATCTAAATGAACTAAAAATTTTGCATTCCATGTTCTATCGATAATACAAAAACGTTTAGGGGCTTTAACAGTTCTATATTTGACACATTGTAATTTGCATAAAACTTGCTAGATTTATTATTCTTTTATAATTTAAGTATTATTATTTTATAATTAAAGTCGAGAGACTTGTCACTATACAGGACGAAAATTGGGTTGAGCTGTAAGTGGGGCGAATCCGTATCAAACTTGAGAAATACGGTATAATTTCTAAAAGACAACAACGATAAAGGTGAATTACTAGCTTTGTTTCTTTGTTTTCTTCAATGTTCATCTCTTGTTTCGTCGGACTCCTCTTTGCCTTTTTCATTGTCACAATTATTGCAAAGTGAAAGCAACTTCAACTACAAATTCTGCTTCCGACTTAGAAAAATCGATAGGTGGCGCTGTATATGCAAATTAGCATTTTCGGATTACTTTCCCACGTGGTGAGAAAAATAACAAAATATCGTCAAAATGTATCTCATGTACCATTTAGATGACCAAGGAAATCGTGTTTATACATTAAAGGTATTCATAATGGATATGATTTATATATAACCTAACGTGCCTTATTGATATTAAAAACTATATTTAAATAATTGAATTAATGAATTGTTTATAGAATTACAACCATTCGCCCCTCTGTCGATTCGCCCCATTTTGGATTACGTTATACAGACCATGTATATATGTAGCCCAGACCACATTAAAGAAATCACATGGAAGCCGAGTTATCTATTAATGAAATTTTGCCACTAACAGTTTCACAAAGTCATCTGACAGATCTGTACAGATCATGTAAAAAAACATGACTTTAACATTTATATGAAAGTTAATCCCCAGACACTTCACCCAAGAATCAAAATGCTTCAGCTCCCATCCGTTATTGTACCTATATTTATACAGTTTTTTTATAAAAGACTAACTCAAGTAAGTGGTTCGGGTACAGAACTGGGGTCCGGTACAGAACCAGTTCCAGTTTTTCAATGACTATTTCTGACATTTGAATTATTTGTTCATTATTTAATACAATGTGTGTCTAACCATCTGCTGGCAGCTCATTTCTTATGAATTGCTGATTTTTTGAGAAAAAAAAATACATTGAATTAAGCTCCTGTAGTCCAGCTTTAATCTTCATGTTATAATACTGAAGAAATATATAATACATGTATATAACTTCAGGGCTCATCCTGGGGGGAAATTTTAGGGAGAAGTGACTTCCTCGCGAAAATTAGGGAGAAGGGAAACAACCCAATGTGTATGCATTAACATGCATGGCTATACATCCTTTAATTATAATATAAACACAATTAACATCACTTATAATATTTCTCCAGTTTATTAATTAATAGTAGATTAATTAATAGTAGTATTAATTAAAAGTAGATTAATTAGTAGTAGATCTGGCAATGGCATCTAAATGTTTTTGAGCTGCAAATATGAATATAAAAAATTATTTTTGATATCTATTGATCAGCTATTTATAAGCTTTCTCTAAATATGTGTTTATATATTTTCATGTACATTTGTTGATAATAATGTGTAAGAAAAGATATGATGATAAAATCAATTTCATATTCTTTACTTTCCTCACTTTTAATAGAAGATTATGTCACATTGGACATTGATTAATAATATCTGTTCTATTCTGTTCTGGTAACAGAAATTTCATTCAAAGACCAGAATGTTGTAATGTCATGTTTATATGCATATAATTATGCTTATAAAACAATTTTCAAACATCAAAGAATATGTAAAATATGTACTGCAAACATTTGTGCACATTATATTTGATCACTAAAATTACATACATTCATTTCTTATTGAAAAATTTGACTGAGAAATTGTAGAAAATTAATTTCTAATTACCTCCCTTTATTTTCATGAAATGTTAAATTAGGTAATATCTTTATAAATAATGCTTTTTAAAATTTACAGTATTGATAAATCTTAATCTGAGCGTCATATTTACGACATTAAAACAAATATATATATTGAAACAAAAAGAACACTTCTTTCCTGACAAATTTTGTTGTTATATACGTTACATGATATACGACCGATATGTAGGATATGTAGTTTAGCCGGGATGTCTTGCCCACGTGCGTAAACTGTGTCAAATTTGGCATTTCTACAAAGAGAACAATGCCTAACACCCCCACTGTCTATCGCATGGCTTTCTTAAATTTTCGCGTAGGTGTAACTTTCAGAATCAGTAACTTTCTTACTGCTCGGTTTCGGCATTTCGCCTTGTAGCTATGACGTGAGCGACATGACAATTTTACAGTAAAAATTGATGTTAACAGACTGAAATCATTCAAAACTATGATTAAGTTTTTAATCCGGTCGCTGATCATTAATGAAATTGATTATTTTAATTGACTAACAGTTTTGTGATAGCCGTGAAAAATCCATTGCACATCGACTTTACTCGGGTTAAAAACCCACCATCAAAGTGCATCGTGTATATCAATTAGGGAAGATTGCACGTGTTTAGATAATCGGGGAAAAAACAATGTATAATTATCGCCAAATCCCGTATTAAACACACAATTATACCGTTTCGGGCCGATGCTCTCATTATTTATTGTTTAGAGTAGGCGGTCTATCGCTTCGCTTACAGGTGAAGGGTAGTATAAAACGACGCTCTGATTGGATAATGATAATTAGCGGTCGTCATATGGGCGGATACAATCTCTGCTCTTTACATCGCTAAGTAATTACTATTTGGGAATTAAGATTTTATCGGCGATGTTGACTTCTCTTTGATCAATCGGAAGAGCGAAATTGGAATATACACGGCGAAGTTTTCGCCTGAATCGCCCTTCCGGATGAGCCCTGAACTTTGTTTATTTTTTTCAAAAATATCATTCTGGTATGAACCTTTTTGAGTAAAAAAACAAACAAACAAAAATTTTAATTCACTTTTCCAGAAAACAGATCCCAATGGTAGACCTACGTTGTCAGCACATCCTGCCAAGTTTTCACCAGAGGACAAATACTCTAGACAAAGAGTGACCCTCAAGAAAAGATTTGGACTGCTTATGACACAACAACCCAAACCAGTGTGGTGATCAAATATTCCAAACTGTGTACAGACATCTTATTGCTAATAACTTTCATAGAAAAGGGCAATTAAGATTAATTTTAAATGGAACATCAATATGGACTTCCTTGTCATACTAAAAAAAAGATGCTGGATTGAAAATAAGGAAGACTGTTTACATCGTCATCATCTTATTTTAGAAAAAAATAGTTTCTCTATATGATAAAATATACATTTCAAGTTCATGCGAAGTTCATTGTTATTTCTTCATCAACTTCATAGGACATGTAATTTCATTTCTTCATTTTATTTACTGATAATGCAAGAACATTGCAATGTCTTGGTACTTACTATTACCTTGCTCTATATATTAAATGTTTTTTAAGTTGATGCCAGATTTTCGAGTTTATTTATTTACCAACCTACTGTGTTTAAACTCCATAAATGTTTAACAAATCAATCAATGTGATATTTTTTGCAAGGAATCAACCTTACACCTGGTTCTATTTTAATGCTGGCTTATGTTCTACTAAGATGCCAACTTAAGTCTCTCACTTGCTACTATTTGAATATCAGCTTTTTATGCCCCCACAAAGTGGGAGCATATAGCGTTGCACTTGTCCGTCCGTCAGTCAGTCTGTCTGCCCATACGTCCCGAAATCTTGTGAACGCAACTCCTCTTAAACCGGATGGCAGATTTTGCTTAAACTTTCAGGGATGAACAACCTTAATGTGAAGATGGTAGCAAAGGAAGGAATTTTCGCTGCGACCAAATTTAACAGAATTATGGCCCTTTGTTGATTTTTTCACTATATACTATGTAGAAATTTTGTGAACGCAACTCCTCTTAAACCGGATGGCAGATTTTGCTTAAACTTTCAGGGATGAACAACCTTAATGTGTAGATGGCAGTTAAGAAAGGAATTTTTGCTGCGACCAAATTTAACAGAATTATGGCCCTTTGTTGATTTTTTTCACTATATACTAGGTAGAAATTTTGTGAACGCAACTCCTCTTAAACCGGATGGTAGATTTTGCTTAAACTTCCAGGGATGAACAACCTTAATGTGTAGATGGTAGTTAAGGAAGGAATTTTTGCTGCGACCAAATTTAACAGAATTATGGCCCTTTGTTGATTTTTTCACTATGTACTATGTACAAATTTTGTAAAAGCAACTCCTCTTAAACCGGATGGCAGATTTTGCTTAAACTTTCAGGGATGAACAACCTTAATGTGTAGATGGTAGTAAAAAAAGGAATTTTTTCTGCGACCAAATTTAACAGAATTATGGCCCTTTGTTGATTTTTTGTTTTCAACTTGTGGCACATGTAGTCCAAAAAATATTTGACCTAGAGTCATAAGATTGACAGAACAGTGGCGTGTGGGGGCATCCGTGTCCTATGGACACATGTCTAGTTGTTCCTCACCAGGTTCTGCTCTGATGCTAACTTAAACTTGGTTCTATTCTGATGGCCACTTGAGCCCCTCACTTGGTTCTGCAAGGAAATCAGCTTAAAACCCTCACTTACTATAATAGTCTACTTGATTGCCTACTTATTCTCCTCTCCTAGTTCTATTCAGATGCCAAATTGAGCCCCTCACTTGGTTCTACTTGGATGCTAGCTAAAACCACCAGCTTTAGCCCATCAACTGGTTCTTCTTAGATGCAATCTTGAGCTTAAATTTCTGTTAACTAGTTAAACCTGGAAGTTTAACTGAAAATGGCTATTGCCATTGAATAGTACTGATCAACGTTTGTAGTGCCAGTTGTACTTGTTGAAGATAAAAACATGCAGAAGTTGACATATCATGTTATACTATTTTCTGGACAGGATCATACCCTTTGTCTTAATAATTATCTAAAAATTAAATTGAACACCTTGAAAGAGATTAACCTTTTTTCATACATACATGACAATATGATTCCCATTAGGGGCATGAGTTCACAACAAACAACATTTATAATAACAAAATCATTTAATTTTGAAATATGTATCATGATTATTTGTGAACATTTTAAAATATCTAGAAACAAAAAGAACTAAGCTAGGAACTGAATAAAATAAAGCAAAAAACCAAGTTGTATATAAAAACAGCAACATTTTCATCAAATTTATATACTTAATATAAATGTAAATATTTAATTCTTGTATATTTTGTTCGTAGTAGTACTTGAAACTGCCACATGCACTTGAAAATTTTAAATGCTTTTGAGGGTCAAACTTGTACAAAAATCAGAATTTAACAAAAAATATTAAATTTGCAAAGTTTCATCAGAATGCATACATGCTTTTACTTGATGATAGAAACTGTGTGTTTATTATATGTTAATGACAACAGATGTACTCCTGGATTAAATGACCATATTGAAGCCAACTTTATAAAGGGAGATAATAAATGAATAATATGAACAGTTTTACCCTTGTCTGTAAATTATGCACTAATAAAAATCTAAATTTGTAGCAGTCATAATATTCTAGTGAAGTCCAGACTGCAGCGATATAGGTTACTTTGGTGCCATATTAAATATCATTTCAGTCGCACATATAGATCACATATCAATGGTCTCCTTGGGGTAATTTTTTTCCTTACAAATAATACAGAGGAATATTATTGATGATCATTCTGTTCATTCTTTTAAATGAACATTAAAATATACCTCACCAGCTTTTTAAACAGGTGTATTAAAAGGCCAAAAAGCCTTAAGAATATATAATGTTTATAAACTGTTGGCAAAAACCCTAAAATTTTAGTGCAACTCGTCACAATTTAAAATATACTACGTGAATTATGACCTTGATTAAAAACAAAAGTATTGATTAAAATGGTTTGAAACTGATCAAAGTAATAAAAGTTAAAAGAATTTTTTTGATAAATGTAAATAAATAGAGAATACATGTACTACATGCTAGTATCTGAAAATAAAAGAATTATCATGCATGCTTAAGAAAAGAAGGGCAAGGCACTGCCGAGCCTATCGTGTTTTTCATGCCGAGCCTGTATCAGACACTTGTTTTGTTTTTATAATTTATCATGTTTGCAATTTTAATATGCATGTCTTTCTTTAAATTTCAAATGAAACAAAAACCATAATGGGCGCAATAATATGCAAAGGGTCAATATTAATATGAAATAGTCCCAATTATTATATAATCTATAAATAGCTTTGAAATGCCTTTCCCTGATTGGCTAACAAGCAACTTTTTGTAAAAAATAACAGGTCAATATCAGAGTATATTCACTGTTTTTTTCCTAAAAATAGATTTTCAGAGTATATTCACCGGCTTTTCTTCTAAAAATAGATTTTCTGGAAATCCCTAAAAGACGCGAGACTTTGACGTGACGTCACGCCAAGTTTGTTGTTATTATTCTGAAGAAACGTTGCATTGCGTGTACATAAGAGTCAAATTAGTCTATTTTAGTTACCGTTTTTCATTTTTAAATAAAATAAGGATTAGCATGCCAATGGAAAGGGCCAAATTATGGAAACAGTAGACAAGCTGAAAAATAATGATTTCCGTCGTATGCAATGGCAGATGTGATAAGCCATATAAAAGCTATTTATAGATTATATAATAAAACAGATATGTACTTTTTAGCTGTTGATCGCCTCGGTCAATATTAATTTTTTCAGTACATATCACATCATATTCAACAGCTAAAAAGTCCATATTTGTATAATATTTTTATATTTCAAAAGTGAGAGACTTTAACATTCAAACATTCGAAAAATGTATTTGATTTAAAGTTTAGATCAGTTTGATTCTATTTTTATTTTTTTAAACAAAAGGGTCCGAGGTAAAAATACTCCATTCTCTTCATTTTATTATGTAATTGATGAGGTCTCTGATAAAGCTAGAGGGTGACAGATAAAGCTAAATTTATCAGGCATGCACTTTATCAACAGAAATCAATGTAATGGCATGATAAATCACTCTTCTTATAACTGATGTAACCATTTCAAGAATAAGAACTTTATCTACAACAAGAACTGTTGGGAGGACAGCAACGCTAGACTATTCGAAAAAGTTGTCACAAGGGTGTTTCATGGAGTATAATAATGCTACCTATTATATGAATACATAAAATTGTCCAAAAAGGTACAAAGGCTTGTTACTAAGATGTTTTATCGAGTAAATCACTGCTTGATTATTACAAATGCATAAAGTTGTCACAAAAAAGGCCCAAACCCTTCAGTAGTTATGGAGATACCAGCATACAAGCAAAAACTAAACCAAGAATTTTTAAGTCGAAAAAAAAAAGGGAATAAATAAGCAAACAAGAGGGCCATGATGGCCCTGAAGTCGCTCACCTGTATATAGGCCCCCAGAGTGGGGCCAGTTTAAACCCCAGGGCTTATATCTGAACAAACTTGGTAGACACCCATTACAAGATGTTTCATGCTAAACATCTAAAGTCTAGCTCGTTGAGTTTTTAAAAAAAAGATTTTTTAAGATTTAACTATACACATATAGTTCAAAGCAATGACACCCCTAGGGCGAGGCCAGTTTTGCCCCCAGGGCTTTTTTTTTTTTTAACAAACTTTGAAGACACTCACTAGAAGATGTTTCATGCTTAATATCTAAACTCTAGCTATTTGGTTTTTTCAAAGAAGATTTTTAAGTTTTTGCTATACACATAATTTATAAGGAAAATCAATGTCCCACAGGCAAGGGCCAATTTTGACCCTAGGGCTTTTACTTGAATAAACTTGAAGACACTAACTGGAAATTGTTTCATGCTTAATATCTTAACTCTAGCTATTTGGGTTTTTTCATAGAAGATATTTAAAGTTTTTGCTATACACATAAATAAAATCTTTGACCCCCGGGGCAGGGCCAATTTTAACCCCAGGGCTCTTATTTGAACAAATTTGGTAGATACCAATTAGAACATGTTTCGTGCTAAATATCTTAGCTCTAGCTCTTTGGGTTTTTTAAAAGAAGATTTTAGAAGTTTTTACTATATGCATATAGGGAAAATCAATGACCCCCCCGGGCTGGGCCAATTTTGACCCTAGGGCTTTTATTTGAACAAACTTTGGTAGACACCCATTAGAAGATGTTTCATGCTTAATATCTTTGGGTTCTTTAAAAGAAGATTTTTAAGTTTTTACTATATGCATATAGGGAAAAACAATGACCCCCGGGGCAGGGCCGATTTTGACCCCAGGGCTCTTATTTGAAGAAATTTGGTAGATACCAATTAGAACATGTTTCATGCTAAATATCTTAGCTCTACCTCTTTGGGTTCTTTAAAAGAAGATTTTACCAACTGCATATAGGGAAAATCAATGACCCCCTGGGGCCGGGCCAATTTTGACCCCGGGCTTTTATTTGAACAAACTTGGAAGACACCCATTAGAAGATGTTTCATGCTAAATATCTTAGCTCTAGCTCTTTGGGTTCTTTAAAAGAAGATTTTTAAGTTTTTACTATATGCATATAGGGAAAACAATGACCCCCGGGGCGGGGCCAATTTTGACCCCAGGACTTTTATTTGAACAAACTTGATAGACACTCACTAGAAAATGTTTCATGCCAAATATCTAAGCTCTACCTGTTTGGGTTTTTTAAAAGAAGATATTTTAAGGTTTTTTCTATCGGTTGCCATGGCAACCAGAGTTCTGCATGGAATGGAATTCTTTGAACAACTTTGTTAAGGCTTTACACAAGGAACATCCCTGTGAAGTTTCATTATGATCTGCCTTATGGTTTCAGAGGAGATGTCGTTTTAAAAGTGTGAACGGACAACGGATGAAGAGTGATCCTAATAGCTCACCATGAGCATATGCTTAGGTGAGCTAAAAAGCAAATCAGAGTTATGGGATTTATGCAATCATGTTAGATAATCACAGAGAAAAAGTGTGTGAAGTTTCAATCCATTCCCTTCAGTAGTTACTAGCTTACACGCAAAAACTTAACCACAGCGATGCCAACAAATGGGTGTCTGCATTAGCTTGATTATTCTGCGAATAGTCGAGGTAATAAAACAGTGAATATAAACCCAAACATTTTTTTCTGTTTAACCCATTACTTCATATACACGCCTTTTTCACCCCCCTTTTTTGTTGTCTCAAATGGTGAAAAAATGCCTTATTTAGGCCCCCAACACTTGGTTTTTGTTTGAGAAATGTTGTTAAAAAAGTGACCACTTTTTCGGCGCGGCCCCCCAACCAAAAGATACATCAGGGGGTTGCCAGAAGGGGGATGTGCCCCCTTCTGTTTGGGGGGTTTGAAGGGGGGCGGAGTCCCCCTCATCGCCAAGAAAATTTTGGACTTGTGAGAGGCTATAAATGACCTCAGATTGATCATAAGGTAACGTGTAACCAACACTGAAAAGCATTTGACTCTATCTCAATCCATTGAGAAGTTGCAGCACTTTGAAATCAATTATGATGGAAAAAATCAACGCAAAATAGTGATTTTTGGCAATTTTGAGATGTCCCCTCGTTGCCATGGTAACAGAAAATTTAAGCCTGAGCATGTTGTTGCAAGGGCATTGGTCCAGTCAACATTTGTGCCAAGTTTGATTAGTGTTGAAGCAGTTTTTATAGTATTATAGCAATTTGAACTTGTAACGAGAGACTTTTCAATGAAAACAGCCATTTTTCACAAAATGCTCATGAAGTAATGGGTTAAATTCTGCTTGTAAAAGCACAATAAAGATTAGAACTATTATCCCATTGTTTGTGTTAGGAAAAGCAAATCACTTCCTTATGTTTTTGGTGTTTTTATTAATTCTACTGAATGGATGTCAGAATTATAGCATTTTTCTTGAAGAAATACACTATATACAATATTTTTTTCTTCTCTTTAAAGGAAAGCCATGAAATCTATCTTTAGCTGAAACTCATAAAAATACTACCAACACTCACTTAAGAATACTTAATACAGTTTACATATATATACATGTAAATAGAATGAAAACAGATTTTTAAAAAAGATTATAAGTTTATTGAATGAGAAAAAACTGTCTACACTTTTACCAATTTTTGAAATTTTGCCTATCAATTAGCATATATTTCCTTTATCAAATGTTTGCATAAAAAAGCACCTATCTTTTCCTTATGTGAAAATTGTATATGATTAAAAGGGCATGGCATAGATCTACCTTTTTAGTCACATTTTTTGCCAGAATAAAGTGCACATATTACACCCCTAGTTTGATAAGCTGTAATTTGGTGAAACTTTATTAAACAATGATCATGCCACAAACTATTTTCAATGTCATGAAAATTCTGTAAAATGTTACACCTGGTCTCATAACGATTTATTTGTACTCGTTTATTATGTGATTGACTGTAAGCATTTAAATAATGTGTCTATTGAACCAACATATGATATAAACTATTTAACTGATTTATACATCAAATAAGTAAACTATCAAATAATATATCAAAATACTACCATTATGCAGATGCAAACTATAAACTGTTTAAGACACTGATAATATTGCCCCAGGGTATGTTGTCAAGTATGCATGGTTATATATATGGCTATACATGTAATATATATTACTTATATGGAGAGTTATAGAAAGATAAACTAAAATATAAAATACAAAAAAGCACATAAAAGGTTATTATTACATAAAAAAAAAAACAATAAAAAAACGTAACTTGTAATACTGTGTTAAGAAACAAAAACAGAGCTACTATTTCAACACTACAACAAATAAAGGTGAAAAAATTTGATGACTATTGGGGTGGCCCTGGGGGTGGGAAAGACACTGAATTTCCCCATTCCTCCCCTCTCTCCTCTCTTTCTCCACAATTGTTAACTGCACTTTAAAAAGTTTGTGTCTATAAACATGTTGATATGCACAGTCTTAAATACTGCAGAAAACACTTTCTCAATGTCAGTCTCTATATAAAAGCTCCATTTTCTTGTCATATTCTCAAACATGTTCAGTCATCTGTGAGATCTATTGTTCCTACTGAAAAAATATGTAAGAGTATTGTATGGCATACACTCAAACAAGAGTGCCAAAAATGGTCATGTATCTCTCTCACACAAGATTAAAAGACTTGCTGTTTTTTTTCTATGAATATAAATAAAGTTGATGTTACTGACAAATCAGAATTATTTGAACAACCTTGGTTATAACAGTCACCTATTTATCATTTGCATTAAATTATATCATATTTTAATTATTAAATTAATCAAGATGACTTTTTCAATAATTTATCTGTACATGATGTATACATATCACTAATGGTTCTGTTGTAGACAAATTATTTTTAAATAATACAATCATTGTCCAACAAAGGTACCAACAAAACTATCTAAGATATTTAATAATGAATAAATGTGCTAGAAGGAACAGACACGTGAAAGGATAGTCTAAGAAAGGACAAATCACAAGTTTTACTGTAAAAATATTTGGGATATAAATACAAGTGTTGCTGTTGAAACAAGCATACATTTACACAAATTTTTAAATATAGTCACGGCAAGTGTGCAGTCTGAATCAGATTTTTGTTTCAAAGCAGGAAATCTTACAGGATTAGCTATGTTATGGTGAAATGATAGGATTTGATGTTACACCAACACCACTGAGGTGATATGGAGACATCAGGTTAACGACTGATTGAAAACCCAATACATGACTATTATAACCCTTCATATCATAATAAAGGCTTCATTTTAATTTGAGACAACAGATGTACCAATCAAAACAACCAATTTGGCCTGGGTCAAGGGGATATTTTAAATCTACAGTCTGAAAATACAACCAATTTTAACAGCATTTCAACCTATGATATGAATCGCCAATCTGTTAATAACAAAAACCCTGAATCATACAGCTGGCACCTGTGTAGAACCAGATCCTCTCATACTATTGAAAAGATGCTTCAATCATGATAAAATTCAAACAATATATATATTTGTTGTATTGTATTTCATATAATACTAGTTTATCTAAATTAGTAAGTAAAAGTGTTGTTTTTTTCTATTTTTTGCAAATACTTACTCAAGACTTGTTAAAAACCCTAGAAAATATATCAGAAACATGCTTACAATCTTTGACACGTCCATAAACACCTCTGTCCATGGGTTCTGTCTTGATCACAGGAATTGGTGATGGCATCCGTGCAGGTGAATTTTTCTGTGAACGGGAAAGATTTATGGTTCTAGTCTTTTTCTTACCTTTACTTTGACTAGAATTACTCACACATGGCTGACTACCACTGGGTACTCCATGATTACTTCTATTTGAAGGTGTTAAACTAACATTTTCCTTCCCAAATACCATATTCAATGTGGGTATTGAAGACTGTCTCTGACTAGAATTTAAAACTGGCGTTCCATGTTGAAAACTCCCAACTGATTTTTTTACTTGTATTGTTGGTGTCTGTTTTGAACTGTTAACACTTGCCTGTGTTGCTAAATTAAGCAAGAGATTTGAGTTTGGTAGTTTATTTCCCGTACTTGTACCAGCAACATTCAATAAAAGATTTGAATTTGGCAATGATGTTGATTTACTGGCACTTGGTACAAAAGTACTAGAAACTGGTCCTTTCACATTTGGAAGAAGTACTTTTTGTCCAGTTGAAAGAATACTCATTTGATAAGGCTGGATGAAATTATTGCCATTGGGTAAAGTTTGCATCAGTCCATATTGTGCTGAACTGCCCTTCTGAGATGACAGGTGACCTACATTAGGCTGTGCTACAATTGCCTTAGTTCCTTGGTTCTTACCACTGATGGCAGGAACAATAATGCTACCAGGTTTGTTATATCTGGTGCTATTTCCATGACTAGAGGGCATGATAATTACATTAGGCCCAGAAGATGTAGCTGGAGTTGTCTTTACAGTAACTTCAATAGGCGACACCTCTAACTTTCCACACTGCAGATCTTGTAATGTCTGACAACCAAAGTTTAACACAGACCGATCAACAGTTGATGGCTTCCCTTCAATTTCATCTGCAAAAATGAATTACTCTTGACCATTAGAATGAATATATCATATAATCAAAAGCTTTAGAAGTATACTGTGTTGAAGAATTTTATTTATTCTGTTTTATATTTGTCACTCTGACATATGACTTTTTTGTTTTCTTAAAAAATGATCCATTTTCACATTTACGTCTTACAACATACTGGTTGCACAGAAATAAACAAATATGTCTTACAAAAAGTAAGCCTTTCAAAGTCCATGTAAAGTTTGATCATAAACAAAAAGGTTTTAAAAATCCTGAAAAATTAATAAACAAAAATTTGAGTGTAGAACTTTTATTACTTTAAAGTATTGCATCAATTTTGAAAAAGTTTAAAAAATCATATTCTCAATTCAAAACTCGAAACATATCTATGTCCGAAATAAAACCCATTGATGCTTAAGGGTGTCACCTCTGTAGTTATGAGGTAAAGAAATACAGATAATTCCCTTGTTTATTAAGAGTCCAGAATTAAGCCCTAGGTGTGACACATTTTTACAATAGAATTTCAATGGGTTGACATCTTTGCAACAAATATTATTCCTGCAAACAAGAATTATGATTGAGCAATACAAGTAGATACAATTATGAACTTTTTATACCAGTATTCCTTTCTTGCTTGATATGCATAATTTGTTCTATAGAAGCTGTTTCCATGGTTTCAAAATCATTGCCTTGACTTAACTTCTCTGTCTTAACTTGTAGGCTTAGTTTGTAACATTCATTTGTTGTACCTATAAAACAAAACATATATGTTATTGCTTTAAATTGTAAAAACTAGCTCGGAAGAAATAATGTGTGGGAAGGTGTTTATTAAAGATATTGGTTACAAGCATGATACTGCTCAAAGTTAACTAGGAGTCACTTTTGGTAGCATTGGACACAATCGGGTATTAAGGTAAAAAACAAAGAGACCATAAGTTAGCTGGACAGCTGACTTATATAAAAGAATCAAAATTTCTTTGCCAGGATTTAAAAGATTGTATACAAGAAACATGTTTTTATTGATCAGTATTTTTTCACACATTTAACAATCATGTTTTGGAATTGCTTTTTTTTTCAACACTAGTAACTATTTCTTCAAGTAATTATTATAAGAAAAGAACATCAAATTTTATTTAAAGACAGATAAATTAAGAACCATGTGACACATGGTTAATCCCCCGCCTTGAAGAAGTTACCTGAAGGTTGTACTATCATACATTTTAGTTGGCAAGATAAAATCCCTATATAGTCAGTTATGGTCAAGCCAAGTACAGTTGTCAATAAGTGAAGAAAGAATAAGGCAATGAAGATAAGAATATGGGTATATGCAGTTTAAAGAAAATCCATAAAAATATATGAAAGGTAAGAGTTACTGTTCTTGCACATTGTAATTCCCACCAATGTGCTTTGTATGTGCAGTGTATTAAGTTTGATGAAAAATCAAAGTACTTTTGGAGTTATGTTCTACACAACACTTTGAAAGTAAATCTGATAAGAGAATAGCAAGGTACTTCCTCCCTATGTGCTCTGTCAGTATATTAAATTTGGAGAAAATTGTTGACGAGTTACGCTCTCCGGACAAAGGTGGGATGGATGCATGGACGAAGACCATTTCTGATATCCCCTTCATATTTGGAAGGGGGATGAAAAAAAAAGAGAGATAACAAACATGGTCTTCTGCTTTTCAGGAAATAAGATGATTCTACCAAATGATTTTCACTGTTTCATTAATGATGAATGAACATCTAGTTTTTAAGCATTTAATTATCAAAATGCCTGCAAATTACCAGAATCATAGCTGCTTGTTGTAGAAAAGTTCGAGCTTTCCTGGCCAGTACTGGTGTTGCTGGTTGACATAAGAGCTCTCTCCTCACTATGTGACAGACCTGCCTCATCATATATGTCATGCATCCTGGTACATACTTCACCAATTGCTGTAAACATTCCATAATATCATACTACCAGTCAATAATGTCATAAAACAAAATACACTTCATCAAACAATATTCTTATATATAATGTATTTTTTTTATTATAAACAGAATGTATATATAATAATCAGAAGACAAAATATTGCCTAATCTTTAAAAAATTGCGTAAATTCGTTTTTATTATTTTTTTACTTTATTCAGGAGACTTGCCTTAATACTGTTTTCATAAATTTTGATTTTAGAATCATTAACAGAACAATGCATTTAACACCTGAACCTATATGTATCTGCAATTTTATATAAGGAATATGTCAGATCAATTTTTCTACATGTATACCATTATAGGAACTCTAATATCCAAACACTGACTTACATTGTCTAAAAGCTGATCTAATGACAGAGGTATTGGCTGGGGCCTCCCAAAGTGGCTCAAATGCTGTTCTCAAGTCCTGTATCAGAGTTTGACACACCTGGTGTACATACTGCACTATCTCATTCTGTAATAACCAATAATATAGCCCCTGTTAATTCACTGTTAAGTTCAGTATAATATTACAAGAAATATTGTACATAAAGCAATCATGTAATAAATTATAGCAAATATATATAGGAATTGTATCTACATATGTCTTATGAACTCTAGAGGTGAAGGTAGGTAAAAGAGATTTTAAAGATTTATCTTAAATTGTATACTGGAATAGTTAGGTGGTACGTAAAACCATTCACTGAATTTTTTTTGTCAAATACTGACATAAGTATTGGTTTCAAAGCAATACCTCAATCCAATAAAAACAAATTATAACTAGAACTATCACTAAATGTGATTAATACCCCCACAAGTCTGCTTCGGAAATGAGGATGTTACTAGTAACAGAATACCTTGTAATAGAATTGAAACATAGAGTTATAGTTGTGGGCAATTAAAGATAATTGTGGTTCATGTATGTTGAATTTCCTTTCAATGTGGTTGGCCATTGATGAAGTTTAATTGAATTTCTCTGTAATAAGTCCAGAAAGACAAAGAAAAAGAACAAAGGGCAATAACTCTATAAATACTGAAGATATAGTTATAGTTCTTGTGCACTGCACTTCCTCTTATTGTGCTTGACCATTGTATGAAGTTGTTTTGAATTCCAACCAGTACATTTTAAGTTATGCTCCGGACAAGGAAAAGTATCAAAGGGCAGTAACTCTGTATTTTGTCAAAATGGAGTTATGGCTCTTGTGCACTGCACTTCCTTTTAATGTCCTTGACAACTGTATGAAGTTGTACTGAATTCCAAACAGTAGTTTTCAAGTTATGCTCTGGACAAGGAAAAGTAACAAAGGGCAATAACTCTGTAATTAGTCAAGATGGAGTTATGGTTCTTGTGCACTGCACTTCCCCTTATTGTGCTTGACCATTGTATGAAGTTGTTTTGAATTCCAACCAGTAGTTTTCAAGTCATGCTCTGGACAAGGAAAAGTAACAAAGGCAGTAACTCTGTAATTAGTCAAGATGGAGTTATGGTTCTTATGCACTGCACTTCCTCTCAATGTGCTTGACCATTGTATGAAGTTATAATGAATTCCAACAATAAGTCTTCAAGTTATGGTCCGGACAAAAGAAAGCAATGGAAAAGTAACAAAGGGCAATAACTCTGTAATTAGTCAAGATGGAGTTATGGTTCTTGTGCACTGCACTTCCCCTTATTGTGCTTGACCATTGTATGAAGTTGTTTTGAATTCCAACCAGTAGTTTTAAAGTCATGCTCTGGACAAGGAAAAGAAACAAAGGGCAGTAACTCTGTAATAAGTCAAAATGGAGTTATGGTTCTTGTGCACTGCACTTCCTCTCAATGTGCTGGACCATTGTATGAAGTTATAATGAATTGCAACAATTAGTCTTCAAGTTATGGTCCGGACAAAAGAAAGCAATGGAAAAGTAATAAAGGGCAATAACTCTGTAATTACTTTAGAAAGAGTTATGGTTCTTATGCACTGCACTTCCTCTCAATGTGCTTGACCATTGTATGTAGTAATATTGAATTCCAACCATTAGTCTTCAAGTTATGGTCCGGACAAAAAAAGAAGGCAATGGAAAAGCAACAAAGGGCAATAACTCTGTAATTACTTTAGATAGAGTTATGGTTCTTGTGCACTGCACTTCCCCTTATTGTGTTTGACAATTGTATGAAGTTGTTTTGAATTCCAACCAGTAGTTTTCAAGTTATGCCACGGACAAGGAAAAGTAACAAAGGGCAATAACTCTGTAATTAGTCAAGATAGAGTTATGTTTCTTACGCACTGCACTTCCTCTCAATGTGCTTGACCATTGTATGTAGTTATATTGAATTCCAACCATTAGTCTTCAAGTTATGCTCCGGACAAGGAAAATGCAATGGACAAAAAAAAAAGCAATGGAAAAGCAACAAAGGGCAATAACTCTGTAATTACTTTAGATAGAGTTATGGTTCTTGTGCACTGCACTTCCCCTTATTGTGTTTGACAATTGTATGAAGTTGTTTTGAATTCCAACCAGTAGTTTTCAAGTTATGCTCCGGACAAGGAAAAAGTAACAAAGGGCAATAACTCTGTAATTAGTCAAGATAGAGTTATGGTTCTTGTGCACTGCACTTCCTCTCAATGTACTTGACCATTGTATGTAGTTATATTGAACTCCAACCATTAGTTTTCAAGTTATGCTCCGGACAAGGAAAATGCAACGGACGTCTGGACCGACCGACCAACCGCCCGACCACCGGGTGACTCCGTTATACCCCCCCAAACTTCGTTTTTGGGGGTATAATTATCATTTTGCTACGTGACATTTAGATTTTCATCATACAATAAAGACATGACACATATTTTTCATAATCATGAAACAATTAAAATCTTCTCTTTCCATCACAATGAGGAAAACATGTTTCATTTGAACACAACAACTTATACATCAAGAATTTATCAGGACATATAAGTTGTTTCAGTTCGCTGAGTAAGCAGAGTTGAAAATTCAGGGACATGAAGTTGTCTCTATTTAATGAACAATTATATTACTTATTTATATAAGTAGAGCTGTCATTGATGGAAAATTTTGTATCAATATATCGAAAGACAAATATCGATGAAATATCGACTTTGACAGTAAATACAATGAAAAACATGTAAATATGTTATAAATTGGGATCATGATGATATGCATGCTTGTATTAGATATTACAAATACTACATACTAACAGAAAGTTTATTTTTGCTGTTTTGTCACCGAAATTTGTTTATAGTTCAAATTAGCCAAGAAAATTGGAAAAAGTGACTTCTGTTATTAGGCAAAATAGAGATTTATATTCATTAACAGAAATATTTTTTTTTTTTAGCTTGTATCTATATTTGAAAGTGTGTATCGATATTGTATCGGATGATGAATATCAATGATATATGGGTATCGCGATATCCAATGACAGCCCTATAAGTAAGTTACCTGCAACTCCATGAGATACTTCATTAGTTGTTGTGTAGCTTCATCAAACATTGTGAATCGTTTTGTATCTATACCATTTGACATGCAGGCTTTTATCCTCATATACGTGCCTGGACCACATTCAGCGGCACCCGTCATGTATTCTGGTAACAGACTTGTCTGTACAATAGGTGTAATAATACGCGAGATGTCACGCTGCTTGTTTGTTATAATATCCTTTAAATGAGCCACCATTTCAGTCAACTGCAATATAAATTTCATAAAATTACTAAACTTGTTTAGGTACCTGGAATATCACACAGGTTACGTCAGAACACGTTCAAGGCCAATATGTTAATTAAGTTAGGACAATGAAGTGTTCTGACCTCAAGATTATAATTACAAAATCAATACTGATATGACAAAAGTAGTAATACAATTTTTTGAGTTACTACAAATTTGTAATCCTAAATATGATCCATATAGGTCTGCCTATAAAATATAAATAAAATTTTGTATTTTTTCTTTCCTCAATATATAAAAATTACAAAGACATACCTTATTGGAAGCACTGCTCAAAAGAAGGGTGGTAACTCTGACAGTTTTGGCTGCTTGGATACCAAGCCCCTCAAGCATAGGTGTAAGATCAACTATAAATGTCTTTAACTTGACAATGATTTCCTGCTTTAGTTTGTCCAATATTCGCCACAGCATTCCACTGCAAAAATCAAGAGATTTCAAGTACACATTTATAACAGAAAGGAGGTACTTTAAGGTTCACTTGTAGTGTACAATTTTTCTAAGCATTTTCACTGGCGCCCCATCACTCTACATCAAAGCAAAATAGGAATACAACTTCTAAAATTATTTTCGGACCACTTCCTTCATCGTAGATACTGGCATATGCCAGTAAGTAAGTAAGTAAATTATTTTCAACAAAATCAAATATTAAAAAATTAAAACAATCTTCCTCATCACAGGTAAAGTTAACCTTACCTTTTTCTAATAATTTGGGCCCAAGCTTACATGCACTATGTCTATAATATGCATACCTAAAAGCTCTATCCCATACAATGGTCATACTTCTATACATGGGTTCTGCTAAATCTTCATTAAAGTCAACAGGTCCATAGGAATGAGAGGTAAACACACCTTGTCTTCTAACTGTAGCCCTGTATGTTGCCCAGTGTAAACCACCAGACTTCTTGTCCTTTGTCTTATCACGGTTTACCTAACAATTGTTGTATAGTATATGAAATATAACAAATCACCTTTTCTAAATGTAAAACAAATTTAGTATATTATAAATTTATCTATGTTCTTGTCGTAAACAACTGGCAAAATTGTAGCTGAAGAAGCACAGTAGTAAAATATAAATACTACCATAGTTATTTCTGAAAATTTTGCTATAGATAAGCATAGTACTTAAAGAAGAATTAAATCCTTGTTTGTTTGCTAGAGTTATCAAATCGTAATAGCCCTGTAAACACCATAAGGTGACACAGTATCTTTTAGAGGTAGATGAAGAATCCAAGTGTTATATCAAGCACAGGTAAAGGCCTGGATAAAATCACTTACATTTTGAAAAGGTACATGACAAAAGTTAAACTTAAAGTTGTGAGGATCAGCATCTTTTACCTCAGCAACCACAAGTCTATCTTCATAATTGTATCAGTTGACCTAACTATAAGAAGACAGTGATATTTTAAAAAAAACATGCAGCTTTCTGAAGGGGAAAAATATAGCTTGAACAAGAGGGCCATGATGGCCCTGAGGTCGCTCACCTGTATATAGGCCCCCCCACCCCCGGGCCAATTTTTACCCAAGGGCTTTTATTTGTTTATTTGAACAGACTTGGTAGACACCCATAAGAAGATGTTTCATGCTAAACTCTAATTTCTAGCTCATTGGGTTTTTTAAAAGAAGATTTTTAAAGTTTTTACTATACACATACAGTTAAAAACAATGACACCCCTGGGGCAGGGCCAGTTTTGACCCCCGGGCTTTTATTTGAACAAACTTTGTAGATATTTACTTAAAGATGTTTCATGCTTAATATCTAAACTCTAGCTATTTGGGTTTATTCAAAGAAGATTTTTTCAGTTTTTGCTATACACATATAAGGAAAATCAATGACCCCCCCCCCACCCGGGCGGGGCCAGTTTTGACCCCAGGGCTTTTATTTGAACATACTTGGTAGACACCAATTAGAACATGTTTCATGCTAAATATCTTAGCTCTAGCTCTTTGAGTTCTTTAAAAGAAGATTTTTTAAGTTTTTACTATATGCATATAGGGAAAATCAATGACCCCCTGGGGCGGGGCCAATTTTGACCCCAGGGCTTTTATTTGAACAAACTTGGTAGACACTTATTAGAAGATGTTTCATGCTAAATATCTTACCTTTAGCTCTTTGGGTTCTTTAAAAGAAGATTTTTTAAGTTTTTACTATATGCATATTGGGAAAATCTATGACCCCCTGGGGCGGGGTCAATTTTGACCCCAGGGCTTTTATTTGAACAAACTTGGTAGACATTCACTAGAAGATGTTTCATGCCAAATATCTAAGCTCTAGCTCTTTGGGTTCTTTAAAAGAAATTTTTTTAAGTTTTTACTATATGCATATAAGGAAAATCAATGACCCCCCGGGGTGGGGCCAATTTTGACCACAGGGCTTTAATTTGAACAAACCTGGTAGACACTCACTAGAAGATGTTTCATGCTAAATATCTTAGCTCTAGCTCTTTGGGTTCTTTAAAAGAAGATTTTTTAAGTTTTTACTATATGCATATAGGGAAAATCAATGATCCCCCGGGGCGGGGCCAATTTTGACCCCAGGGCTTTTATTTGAACAAACTTGGTAGACATTCACTAGAAGATGTTTCATGCTTAATATCTAAGCTCTAGCTCTTATGGTTCTTTAAAAGAAAATTTTTTAAGTTTTTACTATATGCATATAGGGAAAATCAATGACCCCCAGGGGCGGGGCCAATTTTGACCCCAGGGCTTTTATTTGAACAAACTTGGTAGACACTCACTAGAAGATGTTTCATGCCAAATATCTAAGCTCTAGCTCTTATGGTTCTTTAAAAGAAGATTTTTTAAGTTTTTACTATATGCATATAGGGAAAATCAATGACCCCCTGGGGCGGGGCCAATTTTGACCCCAGGGCGTTTATTTTAACAAACTTGGTAGACGCTTACTAGAAGATGTTTCATGCCAAAAATCTAAGCTCTAGCTCTTGGGGTTGTTTAAAAGAAGATATTTAAAGATTTTTCTTTCGGTTGCCATGGCAACCAGAGTTCTGCATGGAATTAAATTCTTTGAACAATTTTTAAAGGGGACCACCAAAGGAACATTCCTGTGAAGTTTGGATGAAATTGGCTCAGTGGTTTATGAGGAGATGTCATTTAAAGCAAAAGTTTACGGACGGACGACGGACGGACGCCGGACGGACGCCGGACGAAAAGCGATCACAAAAGCTCACCCTGTCACTTTGTGACAGGTGAGCTAAAAATAGGAAATTTCGCAACTGAGAATGAAACATATAATAGCCACATATTTAATAAACTTTTCAATTTTAACATGCAAAGCAGATCTAAGTCAGCTGCTATTTACTAATGCAAAGCAGATCTAAGTCAGCTGCTATTTACTAACGGTTGTCAAGACAAATGTGCACAAGGGCTTTTTTTCAGGGAAAATATTGCATTTTCAGGATAAATATAACTTTTCTTAGCTGGGGGAACAGCTTTTATTCGGCTGTAATATATAAGCAAGAAATCACTGGAAAACAAAACTATATACATCTGTAGGAATGTTTAAAAGGTGACAATTTTAACTAATTCTAGAAAGAGGTATAATGTGTTACCGGAGCTCCCCATCTAGAGCAGGTATCATTGGCTTCAGCAGCAGCATTAGTGGCTCCTTCCTCAACCTTCTGTCTGATACTGCCATCAAATACACCATCAATATCTGATGTTAATTTCTCAAACACCGGAGCCAGGGAAGTATCAAACTTCTGAAGCTCAGAATCTATGGCTGTCTTGGCAAACACTCTGTCTCGAGATTTCTAAAATTAAAGGGACTCACTCCAATGAGGTTTTTTTGATATGACGGGACTTGAAATAAATTTTCGAGATAAATGTTGCATTTGATGTAGGTCTAGACATATAACTTGTGTGCAAAGTTTCAGATCATTTGATCACTCCGTTTTATCAAAATAAGTATTCTTATAGTATAAAATACCCAAAATTTGTTAAGCAAATTCTGTCTAAGAATAGTACAAAACTATGATTAGCAATTTATTCCCCTGCATATTTCTTTTTGTATATTGTTCTGTTTAAGGTGCCCAAGCTGATCTGTGTAAGAAATTAAAATTTTGTGTTTTTTAGGCTTTTTTTTTTTTTTACATAGAATACAATAAACATACTTACCATATCACCTCCCTCTGCCATGTACATCTGTAGATCAAACACAAATCTGCCTACATTACGTATCAGTCTCTCCACCCACTGTCTACGTCTCACACTCGTCATCTCGTGTACATACTGTCTTAATGCTGGAATCTGTGTATCCTCTAGTGTACTAAATACCTGAAATAACAACCATATATACAGATACTAGTTGAGTTGGAGCCGTGGCCCTGTTATAAAGGTGTCTGCCTCTTGACTGAAATTATGGGGTCATGATCATGTTTTCTCATATAATATACCAGTATAGGTTAGGCCCAGGTCACAAGACAGGTTCAAATATACCTCAAGCTTTCATCATACTCGAGCTAAATTAAGTATGTTTAAACTGTGTGGGTCTGTTTGTTTTAAGAGTATTAGTTATATCTTACTAAATAAACGCTGGCTTTTTCAATGTATATGTCAATTACACAAAACTCAACATGTAACCTCTGCTACAATCAACATGAGTATTGATAAACCTTGCCCTCTGACAGTGTCTATTCTAGGAGGGGTGATTCACCCATATTTTTGAGTATTCACCCCTATTTTTTGAGAAGGGGGAAAATTTTACATAGACAAAGAAGGAAAAAGATCAACAAATGTAATAAATTCTCACTTCGATAAAAATCCCCCGTTTTTCGAATCCTAGAATAAACACTGCCTCTGATGCATAATAGTTGACAAGTGGGAATTAAGCATCAATTTTAGAGGTAACACACCTGCAGCTGATTTCAGGGCTTGAATTTAACTTTTTTGGCCACTAGCAATTTTTTGCTAGTGGACAAATTTTTAACTAGCAAAAACTGTATTCAACTAGCACTTTTTACAATGTCACAATGATTTTTTAATTCCAAAATTGTTTAAACTTTTGTGTACATTCATTAATTGTTTAAATTATCATGTACGAATCAGCAACGTAACTTTCTACTCAAAAACTTGATTTAGGGGACAGGGATTATTATCAAATGTCAATCTACATGTAAAAAAATAATAATGCAATATTGTTGCCATACTGACGATGTCTGGTCTGGATTATGCGTACAACAATCGGCGCAAAATATTTTGGCAACATTTCCATCGTCATCGAGTTCGTACTTAAGACTGACGTGCAGTTATTTCTCCCATTTTTTAACCGTTTTAACTGAAGGTCTGATGTCTTTCTTTTGATAGACTGGGAATCATCTTCTGTACTCAGAGTATTGTTATCGGAAGACACATTTGCTTCAGTAAGTGGGAAGAAGTTCGTTATTTTTCATTTAGACATTTTATTTCGATCACGCTTGATTTACACGGACAAAAAAACATTTGGACTGGTTTAAATTTGTGTACTTTTTTAAGCGAGGTTAAGGTATAGAAAATGTAAACCAGACAGCAAGTGCGCGCATAGTTTATCACTCGGCTACCTGCGAATATAACGCCCCATTTATATTATGAGCATATTCCGTTTTTTCTTCAACTCGCAAAAAATTGCGAGTAGTCATAAATCTAACTCGCAAAATCATTTTTCAACTAGCATTTTGAGAGTGTTAAATTCGAGCCTTGGATTTTGTATATTTCTAGGACACAAGGAGTACACAAATTTGGAACTAACTTGTCACTATGTATGTGCAAGATTTTCTCTCATTTTAACAATTTCAAGCTGATTTTTGTGATATTTATGAGATAAATCACTCCTGAGAAAGATCCTGTCACATAAACAGTTATGGTCATATTGCAACTTTATAGTTTCAAAGAAATACTCTTTGCACTCTTGCATGCTTTTCTCGGAGAAAAGACAGGACAGTAACAATATACCTGTGGAGGGCCGTCATCTGTCAGCAGATTTTTCATCTTCTGATACTCTGTGGAGCTACAACAAAATACTTTCAGGTTTTCAGCATGACTACCAACATCATCGTCATCATCATCACTGTAGATATCATCCTCTTCATCATTATCATCATTTAACATTCCGGCTCTTCTCTTCATCTCCTGGTAAACACAATAATAACATTCATTCAAGTACTCTGAGTTCAATAAAATTAAAGCATTTTCATATATATGAGATATAGGGGTGCAACAATTCATCTTTCATCTTTCTCTTGATTTGACTCTGGATCATTGTTTTGCGATTCAATTAATTTTGATTTCAGGCTATGTTATCATTTATTTTTCTACAGGGAATACTTAACAAGAGGGCCATGATGGCCCTGAGGTCGCTCACCTGTATATAGCCCCCCCACCCCCGGGCCAATTTTTACCCAAGGGCTTTTATTTGTTTATTTGAACAGACTTGGTAGACACCCATAAGAAGATGTTTCATGCTAAACATCTAAGTTCTAGCTAATTGGGTTTTTTAAAAGAAGATTTTTAAAGTTTTTACTATACACATATCGTTAAAAACAATGACACCTCTGGGGCAGGGCCAGTTTTGACCCCCGGGCTTTTATTTGAACAAACTTTGTAGATATTTACTTAAAGATGTTTCATGCTTAATATCTAAACTCTAGCTATTTGGGTTTTTTCAAAGAAGATTTTTAAGTTTTTGCTATACACATAAAAGGAAAATCAATGACCCCCCGGGCGGGGCCAGTTTTGACCCCAGGGCTTTTATTTGAACATACTTGGTAGACACCCATTAGAACATGTTTCTTGCTAAATATCTTAGCTCTAGCTCTTTGAGTTCTTTAAAAGAAGATTTTTTAAGTTTTTACTATGACCCCCTGGGGCGGGGCCAATTTTGACCCCAGGGCTTTTATTTGAACAAACTTGGTAGACACTCATTAGAAGACGTTTCATGCTAAATATCTTAGCTCTAGCTCTTTGGGTTCTTTAAAAGAAAATTTTTAAGTTTTTACTATATGCATATAGGGAAAATCAATGACCCCCCGGGCGGGGCCAATTTTGACCCCAGGGCTTTAATTTGAACAAACTTGGTAGACACTCACTAGAAGATGTTTCATGCTTAATATCTTAGCTCTAGCTCTTTGGGTTCTTTAAAAGAAGATTTTTTAAGCTTTTACTATACGCATATAGGGAAAATCAATGACCCCCTGGGGCGGGGCCAATTTTGACCCCAGGGCTTTTATTTGAACAAACTTGGTAGACATTCACTAGAAGATGTTTCATGCCAAATATCTAAGCTCTAGCTCTTACGGTTCTTTAAAAGAAGATTTTTTAAGGTTTTACTATATGCATATAGGGAAAATCAATGACCCCCCGGGGCGGGGCCAATTTTGACCCCCAGGGCTTTTATTTGAACAAACTTGGTAGACATTCACTAGAAGATGTTTCATGCCAAATATCTAAGCTCTAGCTCTTATGGTTCTTTAAAAGAAGATTTTTTAAGTTTCTACTATATGCATATAGGGAAAATCAATGACCCCCCGGGGCGGGGCCAATTTTGACCCCAGGGCTTTAATTTGAACAAACTTGGTAGACACTCACTAGAAGATGTTTCATGCTTAATATCTTAGCTCTAGCTCTTTGGGTTCTTTAAAAGAAGATTTTTTAAGTTTTTACTATATGCATATAGGGAAAATCAATGACCCCCTGGGACGGGGTCAATTTTGACCCCAGGGCTTTTATTTGAACAAACTTGGTAGACATTCACTAGAAGATGTTTCATGCCAAATATCTAAGCTCTAGCTCTTACGGTTCTTTAAAAGAAGATTTTTTAAGGTTTTACTATATGCATATAGGGAAAATCAATGACCCCCCGGGGCGGGGCCAATTTTGACCCCAGGGCTTTTATTTGAACAAACTTGGTAGACACTCACTAGAAGATGTTTCATGCCAAATATCTTAGCTCTAGCTCTTTGGGTTCTATAAAAGAAGATTTTTTAAGTTTTTACTATATGCATATAGGGAAAATCAATGACCCCCTGGGGCGGGGCCAATTTTGACCCCAGGGCTTTTATTTGAACAAACTTGGTAGACACTCACTAGAAGATGTTTCATGCCAAATATCTAAGCTCTAGCTCTTAGGGTTGTTTAAAAGAAGATACTTAAAGATTTTTCTTTCGGTTGCCATGGCAACCAGAGTTCTTCATGGAATTAAATTCTTTGAACAATTTTTAAAGGTGACCACCAAAGGAACATTCCTGTGAAGTTTGGATGAAATTGGCTCAGTGGTTAATGAGGAGATGTCATTTAAAGCAAAAGTTTACGGACGGACGCCGGACGGACGGACGCCGGACGAAAAGCGATCACAAAAGCTCACCCTGTCACTTTGTGACAGGTGAGCTAAAAACCAATATTCAGCTGCATGGAATTACACAGACTTTAATGACCAAAGAGCGTCAACAATTTCTGATTTGTCTTCCTTTTTAAAAACATGTTTTAAAATTTACATTACACACATTTTGATTGGATAAGCGAGAATGCATAATCAATGAAAGAAACACTTGCTTAGAAAATGTCTGTTTAAAACTATAAAGGCGATACTTTTCGCAAATATTGTGACAACAGATCAAAATACAGCCATGACAAAACAAGAATCAAATTGTCTGCTCTGAATCACCATTCAGCATAATTGGTAGTGATTGTTTCATTCCTAATGAAATGCCAGACTTCTGTTAATACTGTCAATGTAACTTTCAAAAAATAAATAAACAAATGTCTCAATACTTGCAAACTCAAATGTGACTGAATTCAGTAAACATAGATAAAGTGACAATACAAGTTAAGTTTTCATAAACTATATGCTCAAGTTGTTTGAGTATTAAATAAGCTTGTCTCATAATGCGGAAGAGTTATGTGGGGTTCAACAGTTGGCATTTCAAATATCTGCCCAAACACAAAACTGTCTGTGAATAATGTATAATTCAGTCTTGTAATCAACACCTATGCCTGTGCTTTATCTTATGATAGATATAGGTCAAGTTTGAATAAATATAAACAGGTCATCTAGGAGAAACCTCTTTAAGTATAAAAGACTTCAATCAAGATTTTCTTAGTTTAAAGGCATCATTAAAAATCTTTACCAAATCATAAACTAGGACCAAGGACAAATGAACACTGAAACAGTAGACAAACAAAATTAAAAGAACCTGACCTTCAATCCTGCTTTAAAATCACGCTTTATCTGTGTTTTGGAGTACTCATTTCTAGCCCGTGCACATATTGCAGCTATAGCTTTACGGTGAACATTTAACACCTTCTCTAATTCTAGAGTCTGAAAGTAAATAACAAGAAACAGTTCTTATATATTTTTCACGAAATTCAGAAATTGTTGTATCATTCAACATCATCTTAAAACATCTTGTATCCTTTTTGCATGTGAAACATGTTGCTTTTGCTCTCTATATTTTGCTTTCTATCTAATACTTACAAATACAATTATTTTTGTACTGAAGTCTTTTAAAACTGTACCTGATAGAATCTACATACCAAATAAATCATTTTGAATATATTAACTTAAAGACCAATCATGCCCCAGAAATACTTTCATTTTTATTTCTCAAAGACTTTTTATTCTTCGTAACTTGTAACAGTATCATGAAACACTTTGTCACATAGATGAACTATCTTTTGTTTTCTTTTGCTCTGTTGGCAATTTGTATGATTATAGAGATTTAGTATTTTGTATTTTTGTTTTTGGAAGTCAAAATATTACTTTGTTTACAATTTGCATTACAACATGTTACTTCACGTTCAGCGCTACTTTCCTCAGTTATAAAAAAATCTAACATCCTCTACATGGTTCATACCAAATTCTCAAATCAAAATTCAAGGACTTTTCAAGGTAAAATTGTCATTTTCAAGGCATTTTTTTCCCGATTGATCTTATTTAAAATTATACTTTTACAGCCATATCTGTGATATACATTTTTATTGCAATTGATCTTATTTAAAATTATACTTTTACAACCATATCTGTGATATAAAACATGTAAATAAAACATGTGTATTTCAATTTAAGGTTCAAATGACTAGAATTGCAAAACAGTGACTATATTTAGAAAATCAGCACAGTCAGTAGAATATATGAACACCAAAACTGTAACATATAGGTGATTGAGTAAATTCACACAACTCTATCTAGTTTTTCCTTTCTTTTTTTGGATTTCTCTTCCAATTTCCTCAACTTCCAGTTTCTTTTCTTTGAAGCCCTTTCTTAGAATGTTAGATTCAGTCACAAATCAATGATTACTAGAAGTGGGTGGGGGTGATATTGTCATGTCATGCACAGTTCCCGTTGTGGATTGGGATGGCACAATGTTATTATTTGAATCAGATCTACTGCAATTTTCAGTTTTGACATTTATAGTTCCTTCCTGTCTGACAAATGCAAGGCCACACTTCGTCAATGACGACTTGATGTCTAGATTTTTTAGGTGCTTTGCACCCCTCGCATGCGATGTTAATGCACTCTCTCCCATTTGCGACAAATCGATGGTTTTCATACACATGGTACATTGTGCTCTTCGTGGGTCTTGTATAACTTGTTTTACCCAACTGTATTGTTGAAGCCATTTTAGCTGAAACGTACATTTCTTAGTGTATTTTCCCATTTTTTACTTCGCAATGGAAGCTGACATTTTGTACACAATTTGCGATGACGTCATACACAAGTGCTTGTTAAAATCCATGCCAAAACCGTAACGCTGGCTAAACACTACTAAAACAGATCCAAATGGGCGCACTCGATCGGGCTGCCTTCGTTCACATGTCCGAGTTGTAGCGGAAAATTTGCCTGACCTTTACAGCGACAGGTTTTATACCCTTTTGGATTTTCAAGGCATTTTACCGAAATTCAAGGGGGTTTACTGAAATTCAAGGACAATTTTAGTGTTTTTTCAAGGCAACCCTGAATTCAAGGACTTTTCAAGGTTGAAACCAAATTCAAGGACTTTTCAAGGCCAGTGCGAACCATGCTCTAAATCCATTATTTAACATATGTTTGAAATTTCTTAACAATTAAAAACATACACAATGTATATATTTCTGAAGCATAATGTGCCTTTAATGAAGAACATGATAACTAAAAAAAGTTGACAAACAAATAATTTAGCACAGTTATTCTGGTAATCAGGGTTACATTACATTTCATCAGATTCAGCAAATAAAATTGTTCCAATACCTTCTGAGTGGCTTCTAACTTCTGATCATGTAATTCATCCAGTCTATTCTCTGCTTCATTTAACTCTTCAACTTTCTCCTTCAGTTCTTTCTCATACTCTTCTATGGCCTCTTTTTCTTCTGACTATAACAAAACGTTAAGTTATCATCCCTTTCCAATACATTAAACTCAGAAATTATTCAACATTAATGTATTTGATCTCAAAACTCACTATATTTCTTAATCATCATGAACTTTTCTGTCGATTAAATTTAATCAAAAAGCAAAGGATGCAAACTATCAGAAAACAGCTGATAACAATTGGATAAATCAGCTAATTAGATATCATAGTCCCTGTTTATGTTAATGCTTTTACTTTCCAATGTATCACTACAGAACACATGAAAAGTGAAAAATATTAACCTGTGTCAAGATTATTGAACAAAAAAAGTGTACCTGACTATTATCAAGATCAGTGGAGTCAAGGAGGTTACTGAGCTCAGTCAGGTTGTCACGTAGTTCTTTCGCCTCAGTCTTCACGCTGGCAATAGTCTTCTTCAAGGTTCGAGTCTCCTTGGTAGCATTACTAATAGTCAGCTCAAGTTCACTTTTCTCAGCTTCCATCTCAGTTATCTTATCTTCATGCTCTTTTGTCTGCTCTTCTAATTCTAGTGGTCTGTAAATTTCATTTTAAAATTCAAACAATGAATAAGAGGATTACATTGCTGACAAGAATGTATGTATTCATATGATTTTTCACATATTTACACTAGTGTGCATGAGCTTTAAAATTGGTAAAAAGATCTTGCTTAACTCTCAAGTGCTGAACATTTAAAACAAAAAATTTAAATTTATTTATCAAAACAAAAAATTGTCTCATTTACTACACTTAAAACAGTGATACTGGCATATAATGTGAGTGTTGCATGTGACTTATCATCCTAATGTGATAAGCACGAATGCCATATGAAAATTCCTTCATGCAAGGACAAAAATAACAAGAGGGCCATGATGGCCCTGAAGTCGCTCACCTGTACATAGGCCCCCGGAGCAAGGCCAGTTTAAAGCCCGGGGCTTTTATTTGAACAAACTTTGTAGACAACCATTAGAAGATGTTTCATGCTAAACATCTAAGGTCTAGCTCGTTGGGATTTTTAAAAGAAGATTTTTTCAAGTTTTTTCTTTATACATATAGTTAAAAACAATGACACACCTGGGGCAGGGCCAGTTTTGATCCCAGGGCTTTTATTTGAACAATCTTTGTAGACTTACTAGAAAATGTTTCATGCTTAATATCTAAACTCAAGCTATTCGGGTTTTTTAAAAGAAGATTTTTAAGTTTTTGCTATACTTGTATAAGGAAAATCAATGTCCCCCGGGGCGGGGCCAATTTTGACTCCAGGGCTTCTATTTGAACAAACTTTGAAGACACTCACTAGAAGATGCTTCATGCTTAATATCTAAACTCTTGCTATTTCAGTTCTTTCAAAGAAGATTTTTCAATTTTTGCTATAGTTTTACACATATAGGGAAAATGAATGACCTCCGGGGCAGGGCCAATTTTGACCCTAGGGCTTTTATTTGAACAAACTTGGTAGACATCCATTAGAAGATGTTTCATGCTAAATATCTTAGCTCTAGCTCTTTTGGTTCTTTAAAAGAAGATTTTTTAAGTTTTTACTATATGCATATAGGGAAAATCAATGACCCCCTAGGGCAGGGCCAATTTTGACCCCAGGGCTTTTATTTGAACAAACTTGGTAGACATCCATTAGAAGATGTTTCATGCTAAATATCTTAGCTCTAGCTCTTTTGGTTCTTTAAAAGAAGATTTTTTAAGTTTATACTATATGCATATAGGGAAAATCAATGACCCCCTGGGGCAGGGCCAATTTTGACCCTAGGGCTTTTATTTGAACAAACTTGGTAGACACCCATTAAAACATTTTTCATGCTAAATATCTAAGCTCTAGCTCTTTTGGTTCTTTAAAAGAAGATTTTTTAAGTTTTTACTATATGCATATAGAGAAAATCAATGACCCCCTGGGGCGGGGCCAATTTTGACACAAGGGCTTTTATTTGAACAAACTTGGTAGACACTCACCAGAACATGTTTCATGCCAAAAATCTAAGCTCTAGCTCTTTGGGTTTTTTAGAAGAAGATATTTTAAGTTTTTTCTTTTGGTTGCCATGGCAACCAGAGTTCTGCATGGAATTAAATTCTTTGAACAATTTTTAAAGGAGACCACCAAAGGAACATTCCTGTGAAGTTTGGATGAAATTGGCTTAGTGGTTTATGAGGAAATGTCATTTAAAGTAAAAGTTTACGGACGCCGGACGGACGCCGGTCGAAAAGCGATCACAAAAGCTCACCCTGTCACTTTGTGACAGGTGAGCTAAAAATCAACATAAATATGAATCTAGAACATTCAATTCAAACCGGCTTTTTTTTTGGTAATTAAATGACATACATCCTAGTAAAGATTAAATCTGGGTTGAAGTTTTTAACATACATACAATATACCTCACCTAATTATTTCTGAGGGCATAAGAACATCAGTTTTGGTACAGATAAAGGCAATACTGCCATATTGGCCGTCCATGAGTAGTTGACGTCTAAAATTCTCTCCCAGCAAATCCTTGGCAGTCTTATCATCAATGGCACGATGTATACTTGACACAACCCATACTGCTGTGCAGTTCTTCAAATACTGTAATATTAATAAATTATTTTACTGCAAAATAAACAGGTTTAAAAATTTCAAAATCTTCAAAAATTTGCCTCGATATAATATAAATTGATCTTATTAATTCTAAAAATAATGTTTCAACCAAGCATTCAACACATATTTATAAAAATGTCAGCAGTGTGTTGATAAATATGGCTTTATACAATTGAATGTATTTATTAAAAAAGTTTGTATGCAAGACTGAATAAAAATCACATAATTTTTAGCCCTACACATATTCTTAACTTTACCTATCATGTTCCTCCCTTTACTTTTGTTTTCCTATCAAACTCATTTTGCCTTCAATTGTTTGAAACATTCGTATAAAACACATTTTATAAAAAACATGAATGTTATTTCAGGAGCTTTAACCATAGAATCACTTAGGTTATTAAACCTTTATTGGGAATTGGGAATAAGGAACATAAAATCACCCACAATTTAAGACTTATCATACCTCTTTAGCAATTTTATCTCGAGCTGCGTTAGAATCCCGGACACCTGGTAAATCTACAAGTGAGGCTCCACTACTACATACATCACAGTTGGGCATTCTAAGCCGGACATGTTTCACAATTGGCCAGTACTGACCCCCAGCTCCGGGTTCCTGTGTCTCTATGTACTTTTCTACTTGACGACGGAAATCACCAGGCTTAATGCAGAATATAGAAATTTTCATCAAAATGTATGCATAGTTCTAGTTTTTCTAATGAATTGTTCAAGAATTATATGACTTATAACCAAGCAAACTAAATTACTTTATTATCAAACTTTTTTCTTCAATCTTGTCATATCATACACACTTGTGTCCTTAATAAAAATGTAATCGTAAGAAAAAAATGGTATTACTTTTTTGACAAAGATTGTTATTCATTGACTGGTATGACTATTATTTCAAAGTAACAAACAAAAGTACTCTCTGCCAACAGTTTTTCTCCTTTAAAATGACTAAACATCAATATAACTCCATATCATTTAAACAAAGCATATTTTTTCATAACATTTATTAAACAGGGTTCGTACAGACATCCAATGCCAAAATTCAAGGACTCTTTATGCACTATTTAAGCATGTTTTCCCATTTTTTAAGCACATTTGTTGCACATATATCGACACAATCTTCAACCTAAGGATAGTTTATTCGCCATTTTTTGTCGAATACACATTTTTCTGCCCACAATTTTAAGTTTTTTTTATAGAAGAACAACAAAGGGCACATCAAAAACAAATTAGTTCAAAACAACTTTAATTTGTCCACTTACTGTTACATTGAGCAAACATTTCATTGATTTTGATACTAAATTGGATCATTCCTTTGATTTTGTTTACTGTTGACTTTTATCTACATTGTCATTCAATCATTTTCAAGTACATTTATAGCAAATTTAAGCACTTTTTAAGCACTTTTCAAGAGAGTAATCAAATTCCAGGACTTTTAAGCCCTTTTCTACTTTTTTAAGCACTTTTTAAGAAAGGAACTCAAATTTAGCACTTTTTAAGACTGTGCAAACCCTGTTAAAGAAACAAAAAGTTACCTTGCTCGATTTAATGACCTTGACCCTGCCTAGCCAGTGTGTGACAGTGGTGAGTCTGGCTAGAACTTCAAACTTGTCTATTCGTCCGTACACGGCCCTCACCTTACAGTATGACACAAAAGCATCAGATGTAGGATCAGGTGGCCGGTTTTTGACTGTACCATCCAACCCAGTCAAGTCCTTCAACAACACTTGTAACTCCTCCATCCATTCCTGTACAAATTATTAATAGAATTCAACATAGCAATCAAATGAAAAATGGTTTGATGTTAGCGGCTTAAACTTACTGGCAATAGCAGCTAACAATACTTTCAAAAAGACAGTCTTATCTGTCGACTGTGCATGAATAATCCAAACTCAGAAATCAGTAACAGGTAAGCACCAGATTTTTATGAAATGCTGATATACACCTTACATATAAATTTGTCCTATTCCATATTTATTACCTACTAAGGCATATATTTAAATAATGGAATCATTTATATTAAACAAGTGATCTCATATTTAAAGTAATACATCAATACGTGCATCTTCATTTCAGCAAGACTTTACAGAAAACTTCAATTCAAATAGTACATAATAATATGCAATTTTTCCCTAGATATTAAACAATTTATAGACACAGAGTAGAAAAATGCCAACGCTGACCTGTCATAGTATATTTACCTGTCTTTGAAGAAATTCTATATCAGCCTCAAAGTATGAACTGTTTGTATTATTAACCACCTCGACGACCACAGCAGTACACGCCCGGATACCTGATGTTGGTAGGACACTTCTATGATCCAAGATGGCGTTCATCAGACTGGATTTACCCGATCCTGTATCTCCAACAACTGCTATAACTGTCTTGGGAAACTCCAGTCTCTTCTCAATAGTCTGTAATTCTTTTCTGAAGTAAACAAAAGCTTAGTTATTTGATAAATTGGTTTGTTTTTTTTCATAGACCTACATGTAGATAAACAAGATCAAAGTGAAAGAGTTGCATATTTTTCTGTGTAACATGGTTTATTATTTTAAATCAAAAGACTTTTTCTTCATAGACCTATGTGAAGTTTAACAAGAACAAATCCCAGGAGTTGCCTATTTTCCTGAATAACTTGGTTTATTGTTACAAATTAAAGTTTACCAATAAAGATCTAAATTACATAAGTTCATGTATATTCTTGACAAAAATATCTATCCAATATTTTATTCTCCTTTAAAAGTACATGCAAAATAAAAGACATCACATTGAAAACATGTGTACCCACTTAAATCAAACAGATCATAGTGGTTCAATCAAGACAAATTTACCTCATACCAAACAAAAAAACTCTACACTTGCCTCCATGCAGTTACTCTTGGATTTCCTTGTAGAGACCAACAGCTATCAAACATCGCCTTTATTTTCATAATCACATCACGGCAACTGTAAAATGTAGACTTGTATTTTAGCTATTTTAGATACTTCCACGATCACAAATAAAGTCAATGGTTTCCTGTATTCTAAGATGAAACTGACACATAAGCTCATATCAAAACTTTTCAGCTTTCATTGTTGATCAAAATAACAAAAGATTATAATCCATAGATCATACTTATAAATGTTATATAAATAATGACTGGTTGTAAACAATATGAATAAAGTATCAAACTTTATATACATGTATATAAATGTTTATACCTGTTAACATGTTTGTTAACATCATCTAACACCACTAGTGCCTGGCTCCTTTCCTTATTTCCCATCCTACTATACAGTTCAATCTCTGTGCTCTGACTAGTACCTAGTGTAGGACTCGATGACAAAACCTCATCGGCTGCCTCTTCTTTGATGCGTCTTTTAGCTTTAAGTTTATCTAGCAGGTCTTTAGCCTTGTTTCTAGATGCCTTAGACTTGGAACTGTCACCAACCTTCTTCTCTAACTGCTCTGTTACATTAGTTACCTGTGTCATTGACAATGCATCTAAATCTGGTGTCTGAGGACTGTCCAAAAGCTGAGTACAACTGGTGTGGCCTGGAGAGTTCTCACTAGAAACCGCTGTTCTAGAATTTCTAGTTTTCAGTAATGACAGTGGTGTTTTAAAAGGTGTTGATGCAGAGTTCTCACCCTTCTGAGGGGATGATTCATAATTTTCTTCTACAGTAGGACTTTTCTGTTTCTTTGAAGATCTATCCTCTAAATCTGAATCACATTTCCTTTTTGAGGATTTTTTTCTACTACACATGTCTTCCACATCATCATTATCATCATCACTTTCATTCTTTTCACTGTCTGTATCAATATTAATTGTCTTCTTATCAGTAGGTACCTCTATAGTCTCTACCTCTGCTTCACTATCACAGAAGTCAAAATCAATCTCATTCATACCATTTGGCTTCTTACTGCTACCACCCCTTGTGACTTCATTGTCCTCTTCTTCCTCTGTACCATGGTTCATCAAGTTTTCAAGTGGATCACCATCCTCAGTATTTTGATCCTCTATTGTTCTTTCTTCATTTTCATTCTTATCTATATGAAAGTCTGAATTAATATTTTCTTCCTCAGTATCCTCCTCAATACAATTAATTAATTTCTTATATCGTTTATCCATCCCTACAACAGAATCAGTGTCAACTTCAGTGATTTTACAATTTTCATCTTCTGAATTTTCTTCAACCTCACTTTGGTCAGAATCTATTTCTGAATCATCAACTCTTTCATCATCTTCATCATTGTCATCACTGTCATCACCAAGGTGACTAAAATCTATTTCTGGTGAGCAAAAGCCATTATCATCATCATCTGAGAATTCACAGCTTAACTCACTCAATTCTTCACCTTTTGATTCATTAACAAATAGCTTTGTTGCACTATTTTTTGCTACAGCAGGTTCTGTATTGTTAATGTGGTTCCCTTGTTTGGCAATGATTGGGGATTGAGACTGACTAATAACATCTTGGCTACTCAGTGTCTTCAAAACAGGTGATGATATAGGTGAACACTTTTCGCCACAAGTGTTAGAAATGTGTTTGGATGGTGTCCTAAAAACTGAAGCTAATATCCTTGGTTTGATTATTTCATTTGCATCAATTTCACTATCTGTATGACACATACTTGTTTCCACTATGTCGTTATCTGAGCTCTCTATATCTTTCTCAACACCATTAACTTCATCTTCATTAACATCCTCAGTCTTTTTCTCAGCTTCTGCTTTTGAAATATCATCTGTCACATCAGTCACTGCTTCAGTACTTTTCAACTCTGAGTTTTCACAATGAACCTTTTCTTCAACAGTTGACGTTTCAAGACTATGATGGCTTTCCACCAAATTTTCATTAATGGAGTTGTCAACAATTTTGTCTTTAACAGATTCAGCTACCCCATTCTCATTTGATAAACTAACTTTGAGATGATCAATATCTGTAACTTTGAGATGATCAATATCTGTGTTAAGTATTTCATTCATGCAAATGACTTTTCTTTATGCATTATAATGTTCCTGAAACAGGTAGGTGCGCGCGTCGTATAGATTCAGACGAATCTTTAGATTCGAAAGAGTGAGCACTCTACACTCTCACGCAAACATTATCAGATAGGACTTCATCAAAAGTCTTAATAATTTGTATTCTTCCCAGCCCTGATCGATTGTAAATAAAGTGTATCCCCCGTTCACTCTATGGACTTTCTATTCCTTACTAATTTTACACATTTCAGAGATGATTTCTTTGACCAGAACTTAAAAAAACCGTTTAACTCGACGGCCTTTTTTTAGTTTCTTAAAAATCCCTTTTGGGGCTTGGAAGACACACACATATTACAATTTCATCTTATCCACAGAGAAACACCTGGCTGTCATTGTCTCCTGCTACCCCATAGCCCTTATCCTTATATCTTCTGTTAAAAATGTTTGCAGTATCACTGCAATGTCTTTTTCTTGAATTATCTAATTCAGTTTTCTAAAAATTTCTTCCTCTGAATTTTTTCTTTTTCTTTCAATTATCTGATCATTGTTTATTTGATCAGTAACTTTACCATCAATCAAAACTTATATCCTCGATAGAAACAATTTCCATCTTGTTCAAAGAGTTTTTGAACAAATCCCTAGCATCTGATCTACATTCAACATTCACTGAACCTTCAGACTGGTTTTCACTATTTTCATGAGCTGCACCTACTTTGTCATTATCAGCATTGACACCATGCTCTGATTCTGAACATTTTCTCAAAGAGTTATCATCTGAATTTATAAAATCTTCACTTTTGCATGTGTCATCACCACCAGTATTATTATCATCTTCTTCACCATCACAATTTTCACTTTCTTCACTGTCATTACTGCTTTCTTTTGTATCCATATCTACTTCTTCTGTTTCAGACTCACTTAGATTTCTGTCACTTTCACTACCACTATATTCAATAGAATTGGAGAAAAATAAATCAGGATCATCATTTTCTTCATCAGCTTCATATACTACTGAATCTGACAAGATCAGACTTGGCTGCTTACTTTGATTTTCTTCAGAGATTTGATCTTCTTCAATAAATTCATTTGAATTATCATTCAACTGCTGCTGGTGTTTTGACTTTATATAAACACATTCATTGTTTTCTCCTTTGGCTGAGCACTGTTTCAATTCATTTTCTGCAAAATTTGAAAAAGCTTCACTTATATCTAAATCTGGCAACACCATAGAAGTAGCATATTCTTCAACTGTGCTCTCACTTTCATTTGATTTACATGTATCTTCAATGTGAGGAGTTTCATTAAATTCAGTTTCTTTATTGAGCTCTTCATTACAACCCTCTTGGGCTGGTTCAAAGTCCTCTTGGATAGTGTCATTACTTTTCTCTGTAGATTCTTCATCATCTAATTCACTACCATTACTAGTTGCCGTGATACCAGTTAGAGAAGTTGTATCATCAGTTTTTTCCATTGTTTCTACATCATCAAAATCACTAGTTCCACTAGCTAACTCATTGCAGGTTTGGAACTTTTCATCAACAGTTGTTTCTACAACATGGCTGCTGACAGCTTGAGGTGGAAATATCTGACTAGTCTGAATTCCCATATCTTTGGTTGGTGAAGCTGTCACATATCTTATACCCACTTCCCCATTTACATTTTCACTTTGACTGGTCTGAATGCAAGCATCTTTAGTTGGGGATTTGAACACAATGGGAACTTCATGCCCAGATTGTTCTACAGAGTTTTCAATTTTTCCTCTCAAATCACATAAATCCTTCATTATAGAGTTCACTGTTCCTTCCAGAGCTGATATATCATTCTTTTCAGGTGATTTACTTGTAATATGTTCACTACATATATCAGTTTGTTCATTTAAGTCATTTTCTGGACTTATGTCAGTTTCTGTTAACCTGCACAGCTTAACTGTTTCATGATTTACATCACTAGTGACTGCTGTATGACTATTATCATTGGCACGACTGTCTTCATCACTTTCACTAAACATTTCAATGTCTTTAGGCATTACACCCGGTGATTCTGTATTGTAACTTTTGCTCTTACATGGTGACTGTTTACTTGGCGACTGTTTATCAGTGCTTGTACCATTTTTTTTATAATTTTCAGCTTCCACAGATTTGTCCTCCTCAGAATGGCTATTAGTTTCAGTAGACTGCTCATCAGCTACAACAACACTTTTTCTTGCTATGTTTAGTCTAGGCTCATTTTCAGCTTCGGAAGCAGAATCATCTGAGATGTCGGATGCACTGCTACTTTGTCTTTCTTCCCATGCCGCTTTCTACAATAAAGAGAAAGATTATTGATTATTTTATTTAAAGATTATTTTATTAAGGAATGATCAATGTCACATGTAGAAATTCTTGTAGGTTTACCACCTTCAGCCAGCTCTTCTGCCTCTTATGCTTATCAAATTTTTTTGGTTTTTAAGTCACACTTAAACCCAGCCAGTGATTTGACTAAATTCTAGCAGCACAAATACAGGACGATTGCAGGTAACTGTCCCTCTGTGCTTTACTTACTTATGAGCCAGCTTTTTCACAGTAACTGAATTTGTAATAGATTACCCTGTAAACATCTTTTTCAAAGCACTTTGAAAATGACTCACAACAAAAATGTATAAATCAGTCATAAAGAATGATGTCAATTAATTATCTAGAAAACAAATTTTACATACTAGGATAAAAGAATCAGAGGATATTATTCACTAACCAATTGTTTAACATCATCTGAGGTGAAACATTGTGTTGGCTTTCTTGTAGGTTTTTTAGGTCTCCGAGTTGAATTACTTCCACTGGCTTCAGCAGGAGATACTGGCTTCTTAAATCCAGTGGTTTCCTTGAAAAAAAAAAATTTCTTTGTTTCACATACAACTTTACCATACCTTGTTCATCAACAGTAAAATTTACTATTGAAATTAAATTTGTCCTTCAAAATTTGCTTCTAGCATTATCAATGTTTGCTTCCAATGTGTAAATCTACCTTTTTTAACAAAAGCCTTATACGCCCCAGGTAACTCACTGTAAAAAGTATTTCAAATCATATTTAAACTATCAATCAGAAATCTTAGACAAAATTGAAAGAACTTGCGTAAATACTTAGACTCATGAACTGGTCTCAATTTAAAGACAAAATATCAAGCCATTGATGTTTACAAGCAAGTTATTAAAGGTGTAACAAAAGGAAAGGGCATTAACTAAGCCAGCTTATAGTAAATATATCCACATGTGATTATCATGCGATACCGGGTCACGAAAGTTCTCAAATGAAAGTTGTCCTTACTGTTTACTTTCAAATACACTATGGCAATTTGACTAGTAACAATTAAAGCATTTTATCACACATTTAAACCATTCAAAGGCTGTTAGAACACACGGTTGTGTAATTAACACCTGTCACACAAGATCACTGGAAATCATCTTCGCGGCCAGAAACGATGTGAAAAATGTCTTGAGAGTGAAGGTTTCAAAATAATCAAAGTACTTAGACTTATTTGTGGTAAATTGTACTCGATTTATGCTATACAGACCAAGAAAAACTTCAGCCCATCGAAAAATTCGACACATAAAATTTCGACTCGGTATAAGTTTTTGAAACAAATACATAGGGGGGAAATCATTTTACTGTGACACATCTCAAAAATTGACTAATTCAATTCAACTCATAGAAGTTCTATTGTGTTACCAAAATCATTAAAAAAAAAGAAAAAAAGACTCAAATATTTGAAAATTTTACACTATCTTCCACTCATAAACAAAAACTGGTAACAATTTTTTATTTTAAACTATTTCCCCTTCAAACTTTTTTATTTTTACTCCCTGAAAAAGTCTCCCCCAGTGAAATATATTTTGATCTTTTAAATGCAAATTTAATAAAAAATCCTCTTCCCAAATATTTAAAAAAATGCCATCAAAAATTTTTGAAAATACCTTTAAATAACAAAAATTGTCTCCTTTCTCAATTTTAAATGGGCTTCTGCCAGTTCACAATTTTGCAAAATTTTTAAAACTGGGGTTTTTATATAAACTGAACTGGCCCCTATCCCAAAGGCGTGGGAAAACCCCGCATAAAACCCCTTTGGGCCCGAATAAAAAAGTGGCCATTTAGAAACTCAAGGACAACCTCCCTGCGAAACCCGAAAGGGTTTCTAAGGGCCAAAAAGGGAAATTTCTAAGTTTTTGTATTCTACATGCTTCAAATGTGAAAAAGTCAAAATCAATACATTGCGGACAGGACATTCACCTTTGACCAGTGACCTCAAAATCAATAGGGGTCACCTTATAGTCATGATCAACATCCATGCCAAATATGAAGACTGTAGGTCAAAGGAATCTTAAGTTATTGGTCGGACAAGCTTTTTGAAGTCAAGGCCCCTGTGACCTTGACCTTTAACCTCAAAATCAATTGGGGTCATCTACTAATCATGACTAACCTCCATGCCATATATGTAGACTGTAGGTCAAAGGAATCTTAAGTTATTGGTCGGACAAGCTTTTTGAAGTCAAGACCCCTGTGACCTTGACCTTTAACCTGGTGACCTCAAAATCAATAGGGGTCATCTACTAATCATGACTAACCACTATGCCAAATATGGGGACTGTAGGTCAAAGGAATCTTAAGTTATTAGGCGGACAAGCTTTTTGAAGTCAAGGCCCCTGTGACCTTGACCTTTGACCTAGTGACCTCAAAATCAATAGGGGTCATCTACTAATCATGACTAACCTCCATGCCAAATATGAAGACTAAGGGTCAAAGGAATCTTAAGTTATTGGGCGGACAAGAAAAAACCGACGGACAGCCGGACGGACAAGCTGATTCCAGTATACCCCCCTTACAACTTTGTTGTGCGGGGGTATAACAAAGATATATAAGCAAATCATCAGTGACCATCACATTTACAGGTTAACATACTTAACAAAAGTCAGGGCCGGCAAAATCTGATTTAAAGCTGTTTGTTTTATCGGAACAATATTTCTACTTGTCTGTACGATATTTATAATGTAAATAAATTTCCCTTGTGTGTGTAAGCTGTGGGACAACTTGGGCAATAAGGACAATTGATTTTGCCGCCCCTGAATGAGTAAGGAAATTGTTTTTATAAGGATTAAAAAATAATTTTCAGTTGATGTCAGATTGCAAATAAACTTCTTTCATTATGTAGTATTCTACAAACTAAGACTTTATAATATACATGCAATTTTAGTAAAAAAAATTGTTTACACAGTAATTTATAATAATTCATCTTAACTTTGTAAGCGTTATCTTAGAAATGGCAAAAGAACATTTATTACAGGCCTGACTTATTCAAACCATGAAATCTACAAGTCTTATATGTATAACTATATATCAAACTATGAAAACTCCTATGAAAAAACATGTTAAAATATTTACCAACAATTAGAATCTATACAATAATCTATTATATGTTCACAGAGCCTGAGAGGGAATATTTCAGTAAAATCAATGCTACAGAGTTATGGATCTTGAAAAAAGTGTCCATTTTGATTTTCAAGTAAAAATGTCCAGTGGTTAATGAGATGTGAAGTTGTAAGCAAAACTGATAACCATCCCTGCTTGTTGCCAGGGTAAGTAGGATAGCCCATTCTTGGTACAGCCATTGAAGTTCAAAATAATTTGTCACAGATTGGTGCCCAGAATATTACTACTTTTTAAGTGTAAATTAACTCCACTAATCAAAGAATGGGAAATTTTGGTTTTTAATGAAACCAGGATTTTTTTTCCAGGATTTTGGGAACATGACCCATACCTATGGAATTGGGAATTTCAGCAATGTTTTGTTAAAATTGGGAAAAAATTACAACTGAAATTTTGCTGTAATTACATGAATGCAAACAATCATTGTCTAGGATGGAATCTTCAAACATTTAAGCACTGTAACAGTGAAAAAGCCCATATTTTCAAAGGTTTTATAATTTTTTTATGCAATATTTCTATTTTGTAACTTTCAGTAGGGAATTTTTTCCTGTGGATTGGGAAAATAATATACTATATTCAACTGGGAATATGACCGAATATGGGCTATAGAATAAGCCAATAAGTCCCTGGAAACTGTGACATATTTACCATAAACTGATGGTGTGAATCTGGTTGTCTGGCTCTACTGCCTGCCGGGAGACGCGCACCACATGGATGTCCAAATGTCACCTTGTCTCCTTCACGTAGAACACAGCTCCCTAAATATGGTTATATATATCTGATGAATATTTGTCAAGTACTGTCAATTTATAACTTTACTATCATTGCCCTGGCTAAGTAACTAAGTTGGAATTTGTTACCCTACAGATGGGCTAAAGATGGAAATAATCTGAACGTTCTGGTCCAACAATATCCTTAAAGAACACCTCTTATCCTTCATATATGCATCTTATCATTAAAATATCTTAAGGGTAATTCATTTTAGGAAAATCAAGAATATTATCTATTGTGCCTCAGCTTCTAACATGTAGTAATATATTTATGTATATTGCTTTTTTACTAACAATGGACACAAAAATGAACCAATTTAAGACAGTCAATGATGTTGTTTTAAGAAATTTCAATTATCATAAAATGAATATCTTGTAATTGAAGCTATGGTTAATTGCCTAATTGGTAATAAATTAATGTCAAACTACCTGCAATTTTTATATTGTTCACAAAAACTCCATTCAAGCTGTCATCATACAGTCTATGCTGGTTCCCGTTCTGCCTGACAACTCTAGCGTGACATCGAGATATACTTGCACTCTGTATGTGATTGCTTGAATCTATGTAAAAATCCACCTGAACCTCACTACGGCCAATCATATATGTTACCCTGTACAGGCTGAAAATAATTATGTTATTTCAATAAGGAATTACATTATGTATATTAGAAGTTTTTTATTTTGAAAGTGGTATTTCTTCCAGATGTGAAGCTGGCATTTTAGAATTGCAAAGGGAGACCTTTAAAAAGTCCCTGCGATATAGTGATTGCAAAGGGGGACCTTTAAAAAACAACTGTGATTAAGTGAAAAAAAAGCCCTGTTAAATCATACACAATGAACCAATCACTTACAAGTGTAGCATGTTCTCGAATGATCTCAAACATCAATGGTCAACAGACATTGCCCAAACTAATGACAGTAAATTCAGAGCTCAAGATAAGCTTTTAGAGGTTTATGGCTAAAATCCATCTGACAAACTTAATTGGGAATTTTAAATATTGAATTTGGTAATTAATACCTGGGAAAATTATTGTCTTACCAATTAATACAAACCACTTACCCATACGTTAGTAGTCAAAAGTTTTTCATCAAAGAACAAAAAAAATTGCAAGTCAGTCTAATAGTTAAATCTTCTTGCTTGAAAAAAGTTTGCATATCCAGTCCTCGACACTAACTTTTTCATCAGGTGGTAAGCAGGACCACTAGATTTGAAATTAAGGTGGTCCTTTCAGAAGTCAAGTGGTCAATTATTATCATATCATTTACTGCAAGTTTAGAAAAAAGAATGCTTAAAATTGATGACAAAGATGTATTATTAACCTTTAAAGAAAACAGACATTTTAGATATATATTTTTATCTTATCATAAATTAAGGAGAGCAAGTTAGTAGGTATTCTGTCGTGAAGTTATTTGTTGTTGTTTTTTCATAGCTCATTCAAAAATACACAACAGGGCTCTTATTTATGTTAACTTTTATATTGAAGTGATTTCTCCCTCAACTCAAGTTAGGGAATAGTGAAACCATTTGTGTCTGTTTTTTTTTCTTACTGTTATTCAAATATTCATTGCTGATACATGGTACGTCTTATAATCATGATAATTACATGTATCTTTTAAAAATTTACATTTTTAATAAAAACTAATAAATTATCTTAAAACAAGGAAATATCTAAAGGATTAAAAATAAAAACAACTTATATATAATTAAGTTTAGCTTATTTTTCTCACAGATTTATTATTATTACATAATTTTTACCGCCCTGTTGCTTGTTGGTTGATATTTATTTTTTACATTGAGTATTTTTAACCTTTTATTTAAAAAAAGTAATTTTAACTCTGGAAGAAACGGATCTCTTATCGTTAAACAGTTAAAATAAAGATAACTAGCAAAAGAATTACTAGATGTTATTTTTTCCAGTTCCTTTAGTTTTGCTGTCATTATTCATGTATATGAAATTTAAAGTTCATACAGTATCCCATACAATAATCAAATAATTACCATTGTCGGATACCAACGTGTGATTATCATATAGCATAACATAAATGTTAAAGGTTCCACCGTGGTAATCCGACGATGCATCATTACTAGCATCATTTGAATGCAATTTGTACCTAGCTTAATATCAGAAATTCTTAACTCTTTTAACTTGCATAGACAAAATTTTAGCAACTTAAAATGAAAGTTATTGATGATTTAAGACCATCTTTAACTAATCAGATTAATCTATTAATGAACCATATACATGTTCATAGGACAAATGGTTTTAAACAAAATGTATATAACATGTTTTTGACCAAATCGCCATTCTCTCAAATGAGCCTTGCACAAACCAGAAAATTCAAGTGGTCCGACGGACCAGTGCATTTTAAAATTAGGTGGTCCTTGCCAAAATTAGGTGGTCTCGGACCAACGGACCACCGCTAATGTCGAGGCCTGCATATCAGTCTAATAGTTAAATCTTCTTGCTTGAAAAAAGTTTGCACATCATTCTTAAAGTTAAATCTTGCTTGACATCTTACCAAAGAAACTGTATTATTTTAAGATCCTTAACAAAAGCAAAATAGATATAACTCCCTCTGTTTATTTTTTCTTTGCCAAAAAGTTTTTTTTAATCCCTTAGACATAATACAATCTGTCAGACCAATGATAAGAATAAATCGCTGCATCCACCTATTAACCTTTACAGATTGCAACATATTAAGAAAGAGAAAGAACATGCAATGACCTAAATTAATGTTGAATCAATTCTGGCTTTACCAAAGTTCAGTTTTCAAGAATGACTAAAATCTGCCCAGCCTGTATGCCTCACTATAACAATGCTAATAAATCTATTGGGTAATTTATTAAAACAACTGAGTTGTTGTACCTGGAGATTTTATTTATTTGAGTAATTGAACATGTATAACTCTAACACAAATACAGAGCTTAGCTGGAGCTCTATAAATTCTATATTTTATCAACTTAACTTCAAAATGGTTACTTATATTACTTCCTAGTTTCATTTTCACTTCCTAACTAAATTTATGTAATCAGTTTGTCTTGCTTCGAATTAAGAACATTCCATTAAACATTTAATCAAAAATACTAAATCAAAGCTAAACAACAATTTAGTTTGGTCACTTAACAGATATGCATGCTTGCCGTCAACCCCCTTTTCTATTTTGATATCAATGATCTATATAAACACCACTAGCACTTACACATTACAACTAGCCTACCGGCAGCAACAGATTATATCCATGCATTGTGTGTGTGTTTGGGTTTGTTTACCCTCGCCACCGGAAAGAGACCATATGGGCGAGCATATACTTCATTTATAACCTTTTAAAAAAGGGGGAGCTGATGTTTAATTACTTATTGTTATATCCGTACATGTGTTTATGTGCATACCATATCCCCCATGACAGGGTAGTCACTACGTACAACCTCTGCCATGGGAGGAAGATGGGGCAATCCCATACTAAGATTAAGACTTCTAAAATTAAATTATTAAAAAGCACTTATTTTAAAATTGGCCAAGACGTTTATAGAAGTTACCGTCTTTTATAACAGGTCTATCTAATATTTAGTATAACTATAAAATTTTAAAATATTACCTATATTGTAGAGTTCGCAGACTTGCGAAGAAGGCATGTCAGGAACGTTCCGACCAATTCATTGTGGGCTGACTGTTGGTTTCTATTTAAATGTTATAAACCGTATACATTGGGATGCATATAATTAATTACATGTTTGTAATTAGCAGAGTTTGTTTTAAATTTTGTAATTTTTGTAAGTTCTACCGAACACCCGCTTTATAAAGTTAATTTTGATTGGTTTAGAGAGGATTGCCTCCTTTGTTCTCATTGGCCGAAAATTCTCTGTTTACAAAATAAGGAGGTCAATCCGGTTTTGTGATAATTTGCAAATTTTCTTAATTTTCGGATTGACCTATATCGACAAGTTTGTCGCGCGAACGTGATAGAGATTTAGCAGGTGCCCGTTGCATCCAATGTATACGTGTTTTTACCAACTTTATTTCAAAATTAAAACAAATATGATAGTTAAAATGTGGTGGAAACGGCCTTATCTATTTATCACTGTCTCATGGTCTATAAATTATTATGCATCTAGATATCACACATAATAATTAATCTTCTATTACTTAAACAATTCATAGAAGAATAAGAAAAAATCTAAGTCCCAAATATGGCTAATAATAATAACTTGGTTACCCATAATGTGATGAGATAGTCTTTATGTAACATATTTAAGAAAATCTCATGCTTGAGTGAACCCGTGATAAACGTGTTGCTCCATATGGGGGCACGGGTTCACGTTTACTAGTATTAAGGATACTAGTTTATATATACAGGAATAAAAAAGATAGATAATAAATAACACGGGGCGGGGGGCAAAGGGATATATACAATATGGAGTCTTTTTTGACATTATGGGTAATCTGTAGCCAGCACCTCCCAATTTTGATAATAACCATGAGACTGTATGGTAAAAATAGTCTGGTGCACAGCCTATTTAAGAAATTATTCAATTAAAATTACATAGCAATAAAATTACAAAATAAATAAATAAATAAACTTCTCAATAGCACCGTTTCACGGCCACTTATTAGGGCCACTTTTAAAAATAAACACTTAAAAATAGGTTATGTACACTTTATACAATGGCTGTGCACTGACTCAAAAATTTAAAATATAAAATATTTGTCCAAACTCACGTACAGTATACTATACTGTAGTATATAGCTTAGGCAACTACCCCTCGCGTATTGTTTATATGTTCGCGTCTTAACCTAATATATCAAAAAAGTTTTGTCTAGTTAGACTACCTTGTATTTATCTTGTAAAGTTTCATTTTACGGCATTGATTATATCTTAATATATTCATCTTTTTGCTGGAGAAAATGTGAGCTCGCGGACCACGCACTAATAAATCACTCAAACCTTTATCAGAATCGGATAGGTGGACCAACCACCACATATAATGATGTTAAACGAGACGAAAAGTATTTTAAATTTACGAAAATAGAAGAGAATAAACCTTTTATTGTACACAATAGTTGTGACCAATCATATTGTTGTATTTCTGTTAATTTGAGAATACTTCAATTTCATTGGTTGTTGGAAAATACCATAGAAGAAAATATGAAAAATTTCCTTCGCGAATACCTTATTTTATGAGCCCATAATTTTATTGATGGGGACATATTTATAAAAGAAACCATTTTTCTACAATGTCCAGCATTATTATTAAATGAAAAAGTGTTTGGTTTTGTCAGATCTTATTCAAATTATAAGTTCTGATACCCCATTTTCTTCTTTTCGTGTTGGATAGAAAATGAGGTGAATTAACCTATTGGATACGTCAATTTGTACATTCGATAAATTTTTATTCTGATATTGAAATAACTTGAAAATTGTTTTCTACAATGTACGTTATATGTATTAAATGATAAAATATTCAAAAACATTATATCTGATCTATACAATCAGATCTGATATGTCATTTTCTTCTTTCGGTGTCGGAAGGATAGAAAATCTAAATTTGAAAGTGTGATACAAAATGCTGTATATGTGGTAATTAATACATTAGAGGGCAAAATAGTCTATAGTTATAGATCTTGTATCACTATAAACTGAAATAACGACAATTTTTAAATTAAATATTAACCATTTAGTCGAAAATCTACTTTATCGTTATTTCATGCCGAACATGGGATTTGATACGTGCTCTCTCATTGGTTGAGAGCAATTGTCTCCTATGCGGCCATTGGTCCATTTACTATCCGATTCTGACTTCAAGCTCAAGACTTTGACCTATGACCCCCTCAGGAATGTGGCATAAACAAAGATTTGTTTACATTTTGTGCTGTACACTATGTAGAGCATTTAGACCCTATTTATATTAAAAATTTGATTTTTTAAGATATAAAAAGTAAAATACATTTAAAATAATTGCCACTAATCCTTATAGATAAATTGGTAACACAATTATATTCATTTTACCTTATTAATTTGTTTGAATTCATTCGGTTGAGAGTTTTTAAAGGTATACTTTTAGATTTGAATCAAATAATTAATTGCTGTTGGAATTTCCCATGAATACAGCTGGTAACGGGTATATTCCCGATGTAAGGCCAGTCCACACGCTCAGGTCAACCCGTACCAAAACTGTTATTTATAAAAATATGTTATGAAAAGAAGAACAGATGGAACTATGTTTGATATTTCAAAATTTATTGACAAGGGAACCTGGAGTCAACCAGAGCTCCTCCCCGGTAACGTAGGATACTAGTATCCCCCCTCCCTGTTGAGACAGGGCGCCGCCGGGGTGCCCGAGACAGTCTTCTGCCGTCCTTCCCCTGATGGAATGGGCTGAAGGACAGCATAGGCTGTCTCTGAACCCCTGCCTTACCATAAATAGTCAGTTCTATTATTAGTTAAGATATGAGGTAAAGGTTAAGAGTCTGTTTATTGTTTATTGCCAGGGGGAGAGTAGATAACCCTGTTATTTAGTTGTTTTTTATAAAATTGGCCGAAGATTTTCTTAAATAACGTATATTAACTGATTGTTTGATGGTTTTATTCCGAAACACCCTTAAAAGTTTATATATTAATAAATTTTGAAACATTTTAATGTGTTTAGGTTAAATTTGTCTATTGAAATGTCAATAAAGTAAAAATATGGTATCAGATTATTAGTTAAAGTTTTCTCCCTTGGACTGTTATTAGCCAATATATAGGAATTTTTGCAAATCATTATGGAATTATATACCATAGGAAAATGGCTATAAATATTTTATTTCTTAATGGATTTTGTTGGGGTTTTCTTCTTTTAGTCCATTATATGTATCTGTTATTTAAAAAATAGAGTTTATGATAGTTATCTTACTCTTTCTTAATTATTGGAGAGTTATATTTGTATAAAATTATCTAATTTTAGAATATTTGGGTTTGATTTTGGGAAAGTTACCCATCATAGGAAAATTTCTATATCTTTTTTAATTTTTAATGAATTCTTTTGGGGTTTTCTTATTTTATTCAATAAGATATGTCTATTAATAAATACTGTGGTTTAATTTTGATTTGTATATTAGATTTCAGATCATAGAAGGTTAAGATTCATGTAAAATTTTCTTTATTTTAGTACTTTTGTGTTAAATTTGTACTAATAACCTATTACAGGTAGAATGATGTTATATTTTCATTTATCAGTCAATTTGTTTAGGAATTTTCCTGTATGTTATGTGGATGAATCTATTAATGTTTAAAGATGATTTGGGATGGGTTATCTACTCTATTTCATTTTATTGTGGTATATTGAAATCTGTTACTAAACCGGTGTCAAGGGACTAAAGTATGCAAACTGGGTCCCTATTAACCTGTTATTGTGAGGTTATATTACCATATAATTATGGTTATATATAAATTGGTTATATATCTTAGATATTTAATTATGGTTATATATTTTTTGAGTGAATAATTGTGTTACCTGAGGGGGACACGGGCACATTTCAAGTTGATTTATTAAATTTTGTCTGTTAATTTACACTCAAGGATAAATATCTCAAGAGCCCCATATACATGGTTATGATGTTGTTTTGGGGGATTTAAAATGTTCTTTACAGTAAATCCAAGCCCCACTGATCCAATGCGACCCACCAATTCTTGCCGCTGGGCTGCAAATTGGGGACATTCGATCAGTAGGTGGTCAGAACCATATCTCACTCCACATAGTGGGCAGGTCGGGTCAATTTTCTTAATGTATTGCCCCACACTACCAGGTAATAGGCTTGAGCCCAGTCTTAGCCGGCTAATGATTTTATCAATTTTGGTATTTTCTGAATATTTTATTGGTCGTTTAAGGCTGACTGTAGTATTTACATGTTTAATTTTGGGGAGATTATCATTTATTTCTTTTTGCCACTTAGATAAAATATGTTGGCGTATTATAGAATATATTTCAGTGGGGGAGAGTGGTATAGGTTCTGTTACACTGCTGAATTTTAGGCCTGCTTTGGCCGCCATGTCCGCCTTTTCGTTACCATAGATACCTATAGCCTGGGCCCCAAGGTTATAAAGATATTCTCATGGTTGAAACTCAGATCTCAGGCATTTGATTGGTCAGAAATAACAATGTACATTTACCAATGAAAATCATGGGTATGAGAGAGTGCAAACCAAATAAGCTGGAACATCTGTGCCGTCACTGTCCACTATTCAGTAATTAAACTTTTTAATTTTCCCTAAAAATGAACGTTTTTGCTCAGACTGAAATATGGAAAATCCATATATTAAGTGTGGTTTAGGTTAATTAAATCAGTACTTACTCCATGACGTTAATCACCCTGTCTTTATTGGGAGGAGGTCCTATCCTTCTCAGATGATACATGGGTAATCCACTCAAATTCTTGTTCATTCTGTCTGTCCCCATCTTTTGTTTAATTTACAGCAATCTGTTAATCTTTGTTACAATTAACCTGGTAAAATAACATTTACTTATCATTACTTGAAACTTCACACTGTACATTTACTGTACAATATATGCTGGGTTTTACGTGTTTACTACTTCAAGTACAAAATGACATGCAGTTATAATATTTCCGTATGCATGTGCATGATAAATACATATTATTTTTTATAGAATTACATGTATGTACAAATAATGCAATAGTTACATCTTTAAGTCTCTGTAAAAGTAATAGAACTCATTCAGATACAAAAACTAAACACAAGTAAAATAAACAAGTTTGCATGTACAATATTCTATTTTTAAACCTATAGATTTACTCATTCAGATACAAAAACTAAACACAAGTAAAATAAACAAGTTTGCATGTACAATTCTATTTTTAAATCTATAGATTTACTCATTCAGATACAAAAACTAAACACAAGTAAAATAAACAAGTTTGCATGTACAATTCTATTTTTAAACCTATAGATTTACTCATTCAGATACAAAAACTAAACACAAGTAAAATAAACAAGTTTGCATGTACAATATTCTATTTTTAAACCTATAGATTTACTCATTCAGATACAAAAACTAAACACAAGTAAAATAAACAAGTTTGCATGTACAATATTCTATTTTTAAACCTATAGATTATCAGATATCATTACCGGTACTAGAAAAATAAGTTCAGATAAAGCCAAATCTATCCCCCTCCTCATTATTGGAGGCATAAAAATTATCACCTGCAAAAAATAGCAATTAACATTTTAATTGCATTTTTTTTTCAATCAAAAGAGATATCTTAAAACTCATTAAAATCCATTAAAATATTGCATACACCATTTGCAAGACAATTACATGTATTTAAAATCCAGATTATAGATAACGGTTGCCAGTTGATAAAAAAGTGTAAAACTGATAACCCCCAACCCCCACCAAAGAGATAAGTTTATTAAATATAACACAACTGTTAACATACCACAAACATTAACACAGATATCAATCAATATAACATGTATATTGCCCTATTAAGACTTTCTCCCTTGGACTGGTCAGTCCTATGCATTTGCATTTACACCAGAGACCTGCTGAGTTTCAGTATGGGCTTATCAGTTAGTAAATCATTTTCAACTGTATAAATCCCATTAACAGGTCCACTTAGTTGAGTCTTTTTATCACTAATTGGCCATCTGTATTCTAATAATGGCCCTAAAGACCCCCCTCTACACACAATAAAGCATCATATTCCCTTGTCTTTGCCTAATTATATGTTGAAAGGGCCATTTATATAGCTTATCTAAATGTAACATGAAAGAAACTTGACTAGGTGTAGTTGACATAGTGCTTGATGCATCTTATTTTAAAAGATAAACACATTTATATCAGTGTTTTTTGCTCTATTCTCTGTGGTCCATTTGAAATGATGAAACTTAGCAATAATTTGTAAATAAAATCTATACCACAATATTAATTTTAGCTACTCTAAAATGAATTATATGTTGGGTTAGTGATAATTATCTTCTTTATAAATAAAGTTCCATAGTAAAGTGTCACTGTTACTCATGTTTAAAGACATTAACAATGTGTCAATAACTATGATTTAACAAAAATTAATTGTGAAAATAGATACATGTACTTGTGGATTTGTGAATTATTCCCTATTTTGGTCCCAAAACTGCATGAAAAAAAAAAAAAATTTTTTTTTTTTTTAAAAAGAACTGAACCCTGCAGGGCCAAGTAAAGGTGCCATGACATTGCAGGGCCAAAACACCATTTTTGGGAAAGGGGCCTCAGCCTTTTTCTTGGGGAAGATATACATGATTTTGGCATACATGTACTTTGGGAAAAGGGGTCACAAATTTAACACAAACTTTAAACAAGTTCTTCAAAATAGAAAAGCAAAAAGCACTATGAAATACTAATAAGGCAGTAAAAGACCTTAATTTAACACCAACAATTAATTGTGCCCCTACTATGGGGGGGGGGCATTAAGATTTACTCTTGTCTGTCCGTCCATTCTCTTTTTGTGTCGCACGTACCTCAAAAAGTAAATGACCTAGAGAGTCATGAAACCTTACAGGAATGTTGATCAGCATGTGAAGTTGTGCACCTGGGTATTTTCGAGTGGATATATTTTTAGAGTTATTGCCCTTCAATTAGTAAAATTTCCAATTTTCAACTTGTGTCACACATAATTAAAAAAGCATTTGACCTAGTCATGAAAGTTTACAAGAATGTTCCTCAGCATGTGAAATTGTGCACCTGAGTATTTTCTTGTGGACATTTATAGTATTTTTAGAGTTATTGCCCTTGACTTAGTAAAGAAGTTGCAATTTTCAACTTGTGTTGCAAGTAACTCAAAAAATATTTGACCAAGAGTCATGAAACCTTACAAGAATGTCGATCAGCATGTGTATAATTTATGCACTTGGGTATTTTCATGTGGATATTTTTAGAGTTACTGCCCTTGACTTAGTATAAATTTACAATATTCAATTTGTGTTGCATGTAACTTAAAATGTAGCCAAAAAAAAATTTGACCTAGAGATATAAGATTTACAAATCGGTGGAGTGTGGGGGCACCCGTGTCCTATGGACACATTTCTAGTTTTGTTCTAAATTCTATGGGAAATTTCAAAAGACAGGGGAATTTTGAGGACCAAACTGGGGAAAAAAAGAGGCTAGTTTGGTTGGGGAAGCAGCCCCTACAAAGAAGGGTTTTTTTGGCCATGCCTTGACTTGCATCATAGGCATGGTTAGTATAAAAAGAGTGTTTCAATAATTTAAAGACATTAACAAATATTTTCTTATATTCTCAATTTGCCCAATCATTTAAAAACTGGAAATGTGTCATCATACCATGGATGCCCCCACATGCAGCCAAAATTTCAGATGTTATAACAGAGCAACAGATAAGGTGCGTATTTGCGTATTTACGCAATTAATTTTATAAAATACGCAATTGATTTTGTGATAATGCGTATCAAAACCCATTAAAAAAAATAAAATACGCAATTGTCTTAAAAATCCATGCGTATTGTCATTTTCATCACCGCAAAATTAATCTGTCGTACGCTCGTAGTTTTGGACAAATTATATCGATATGCACGCTATCCGAATATTCCCAAATCAATGTTAACTAATTTACGGTCTCCGGTCTTCGACGGTCCCCGATCTCCAAAGACCGACTAACCCATATCAATAAAGCATAAGAACTCAGGTCGACGGTCTTTACAGACCGGCAGAGACAGTTGATTTTGGGGAGACCGTCAATAAGTAGGTCCCAGCTGTATCAATAGACGCTTTGAAAGCAATATGGCGTCGTTTTGAACAAAACAGTCGTAAATTATCAAAATCAGTCAGAAAACGAACTTGTTAAAAACATTATGAATATAACATAAGCATTTTATATAACAAGATATGTTTGTAAAACATGTATGCCCCCTATCGGCAGCCAATTAGTCATGTGATCAGGTTATTATGCATGACTTCTGACCCAGTGAACAAACAATTAATAAGGGTTATCTAGTATCTACTGGTCATGACTAGTCACAAGTTAATAATTATTGTGACCCCATAGGTTGTGTGCAGCAATTTAAGTTATTACAAATCTTACCAAATAATATATGCATAAATTTTATGAATAATGTAGGCCTCATTAATCACAGCCAAGTTGTTATATTACATAAGACCTTCAAATGTGTATACCAAAAGCATTTTTAGTTTAATATAAAAATATCAACCAAGGCAACTTGAGTTGTTGAGTTATTGGTCAGAAACCGTCATTAAGTACAAGGTCAATATGACATTGACCCCTTGACCCCAAAATCAATAGGGGTCATCTACTGGTCATGACCAATCATCATACAAAGTTTGAAGTTCCTAGGCCTAAGCGTTCTTTAGTTATTGATCGGAAACCATTTTTACCTACAAGGTCAATGTGACCTTGACCTTGGACCCCTTGACCCCAAAATCAATAGGGGTCATCAGCTGGCAATGACCAATCATCATACCAAGTTTGAAGATTCTAGGCGTAAGCGTTCTTTAGTTATTGATCAGAAACCGTTTTTACTTACCAGGTCAATGTGACCTTGACCTTTGACCCCTTGATCCCAAAATCAATAGGGGTCATCTGCTGGTCATGACCAATCACCATACCAAGTTTGAAGTTCCTAGGCCTAAGCGTTCGTTAGTTATTGATCAGAAACCGTTTTTACTTACAAGGTCAATGTGACCTTGACCTTTGGCCCCTTGACCCAAAACTCAATAGGGGTCATCTGCTGGTCACGACCAATCATCATACAAAGTTTGAAGTTCCTAGGCCTAAGAGTTTTTAGTTAATTGATCCGAAACCGTTTTTACCTACAAGGTCAATGTGACCTTGACCTTTGACCCCTTGACCCCAAAATCAATAGGTCATCTGCTGGTCATGACCAATCACCATACCAAGTTTGAAGTTCCTAGGCCTAAGGGGTTCTTTAGTTATTGATCGGAAACCGTTTTTACCTACAAGGTCAATGTGACCTTGACCTTTGACCCCTTAACCCCAAAATCTATAGGGGTCATCTGCTGGTCATGACCAATCACCATACCAAGTTTGAAGTTCCTAGGCCTAAGGGTTCTTTAGTTATTGATCGGAAACCGTTTTAACCCATGAGGTCAATGTGACCTTGACCTTTGACCCCTTGACCCCAAAATCAATAGGGATCATCTACTGATCATGACCAATCACTATACCAAGTTTGAAGATTCTAGGCGTAAGCGTTCTTTAGTTATTGATCAGAAACCGTTTTTACTTACCAGGTCAATGTGACCTTGACCTTTGACCCCTTGACCCCAAAATCCATAGGGGTCATCTACTTGTCATGACCAATCACCATACCAAGTTTGAAGTTCCTAGGCCTAAGGGTTCTTTAGTTATCACTCGGAAACCATTTGGTCTACGGACCGACGGACCGACAAGTGCAAAGCAATATACCCCCTCTTCTTCGAAGTGGGGGCATAAAAATAAAACAATTGTGG